TTTAGAGCAACAGCGCGGAGCGCTGTGGATGTCCGTTCAAGTCCTGCTCGAATCACATATTTTTTTAATCTAACCATCGATTTTTTTTAAATCTACGTCATATCCTAAATAGTACCTTATTTATACTACCGTATTAATACTCAACCTACTCCTCCATATTATTTTAAAAGGCGATCAACCAGTTGCATTTAACTTTTGTTTGTTTTAAAGGAAAGGCGGAACTAGAGACGGCGACAGATTAATTATTATCCACTCATTGCAGTTGTATCTTATTTACATCATGAATACACTTGCAAAATAAACGTTTTATGAAACGAGTTATTAACCAAAAAGTTTGTTTACTAAGTAGTTTTAATATCTCTAAAAAGGTCTTTCCCAGTCTGTAGTTTATAAATATAATGTAAGCATGTAGTTAACTGTCATTGTTTCCCATTGTACAATAGTCGCGAGATAAATACGTAAATTTAGATATATGTTTATATTTCGTTGCGCTAAATTATAGTAATATTATACAAGCTCAAAAAACCAAAAACTTTAATCAGCGCACTGAGTCATACACCTTGACCTTCCACAATAGAGTATGAACACTTTTTTATTTTAAGAAAACATGCAGGGGCTGTTTGCTGACCGGCCGCCTAGACTGTAGACACACGCGAGAGCGGTGTCAAAGGGTCATCGACTGGCTCCCAATAAGTATGACACCATCTTTGGTGATTACAAAATGCTGATACATGTTCACGTAACTCGGCAAGTGCGTTGTGCTAAACTCTACCGCATCTTTACTTGCGCTATCCCATATCGCAACTTATTATTATTAACAATTACTTTCTTTAGTTAAGTTATATTGTACAAGGGCGGTTTCCGGGGCTCAAAAAGCGTTGCCGAGCATTGCGTTACGTCCCAAAAGTCCTGGGCTCAATTTCTGGGAAACCAGCTAGAGACTGCTTATAGACATACAATCGATACGTTAAATAGGAATATAGAAATGTCTTTTACCACATACAAATACGGTAAAACTAGAATTCACATGTTTCAGCACACGTTTTATATATTATGTAGGTACTACTACAGAACTATGTAAAATGTTTCTATCAATTTTATATACAAATTGAAACGAAGTAATCATTAGAATTTACAACTGAAGGTTACATTAAGATTACATTTGATGAATTTAATTTTTTTATCGTGGAGACATATTTTAATTTAAAAATGGCTTATACACAGTAAGCAATACTAGGACTTAAAATTAACAATTAAGTCATGATTTTCTTAGCTTTCAATATATAAAATATGAAAAGTCAGAAATGTGTTTAAACAGTTGAATTTCATAATAGAAAAAAATTTAGACCGGCGTTTCATATGCATGCATGCATGTATTATTTAAGAACTTAAAAAGCAATCAATCTCTTGAGCAACACTAACAAATTGTGTCTTCAATGACTCGTAAAATATCAAACTCTCACTAAGTTTAATAATATTATGAAATATTCTTACGATGTACCTAACATAGAAATGTTTTATTTTAAACAATAATTATAAAGAATAGCCCCTTAATTACTTCACTTCACCACAAAACAGCGCTGTAAAAAGTATTAAATCGGCTGGTATATGTAGCTCAGAAATGAAAACAAGACATACTAAAGCATTGATAAATGTAGGAATACGTTTTATTGCAGTTGCAATTAAATTAAACACCGATAAGATAATTGCACAGTATTATGTAAATATAGAAACTATATCTTATTGGTGTGAATTTGGCAGCCGTGTTTGCATCCCCATAACTATATTTAATCATAGGTATATATGTGTTCTCATAATAGTTTTAATACTATTTTAAATGAAACACTATGGGTTTAAAACGCGTTATATTTTAGTTAAACTTGTTTGAAAATTATTTTTAACTACAGCCTGACGTTTCGAATGCTTTGCAGCAGCCGTGGTCACATCTCCCCGTCAATAATTTCCAACAAGTTTAACTAAAATATATCGCGTTTTAAACTGTCAAAGTGTTTTATTTAAACACTATTCGGGTAAAGTACAGATAGTATTTAATACTATTTATCAATTGTAAGTTATCTGTTTTTAAATCTATATAAGTATATCTATACGATATATCTGAAATATTATCGATATCAACGAAAAATATATACGATGAGTATACTATTTATACACATTTATAAACATATATTTTTTGTATTCGTTATAAGGCATTTAAATTGTGTAAACAAGCGCAGTTTTCACAGTTACAATCAATAATATTAAAAATACTTATTGGTCATCGTCCAATAAAATAAAAGCAAAGAGTATTAAGGACGCCTTAGTAACATAATCAATAGAATCATAATAGAAAACTTGAATGTTTAAATGAATGCAGAAATAAAAATCCTTGAATCACATTTTGTAATATATAAATAAGCGGTCCAAATCTAGACTTTTAGCATAAAGTGTCCAATGTGCGACCTCTAAACATGCGATTAATATGCAAATATATTTGCGTATTGGGCAAAATCTCGTCCTGAAATAGCATCCTGAACGTCTGATGCTAAAAACAATAATAAAGTATCACCAAAAAATGCAGCCCGTTGAGATCTACTTTCATTTAACCTTGCTTTTTTATGGGACAAGCCCGCCTCCTGATGCGCGTACATATACTGAGACTAGCGATTCAAATGAATAGTTATCTGCTATTTAAACTTGATCGAATTCCTGTTAACAGTGACGTAATATTCGACCTTGAAAATATTCCACATTTAGGTCATATTCGAAAATGATATATTGATTATGTATGTAAAGTAGTGTATACATGTACACGTATATCTACAACGGCGATCTTAAATTAAAAATAAGCGTAGTGAAAATCGTTGCATCTGTGACGAGCATGGAGCAGACACATTTCTGAGTCTATTTCATTGATTGATTTGATGAGAAATATTGGCTAATTTGTTGTGTTGTCCAGAGATTCTAACCCAGAACCTGCCCTTAGGGTTATGGTAGGTAATGCGTTTCACTATTGTGCCTTCAAGGTGAAATTATGTATATTAAGTGTTGTTATTTTTTACTTAGATTTATACACATTTAAATTCCATTCTCTGTGAATGGTGAGAAGTAAAAATCCCTATATTCGAATATAAGAAGTCGTACCCGTTATTGATCGGTGATTAAAAATTATTCGTTCGCTAAGGCATGTTTCGCAGCATCGTGTAGGCAGATTTGTCTCACAATCACGCGACAAGCTTCCATATTTATTTAGCCAGTGTCAAGTAACTTACCGGTTTTGCCGAGTGGGCCGCCACTGCTTCATAGTAACGCTAATTCGTTAGTCTATTATAAACTTTTATAGCTATCCTAATAATTTTAATAACCAAAGTTGAGATTGAAAATTTTCCTTCATTCATTGAAGCGAACATAGCAATAGCCCACAAATAAATGGTTACCTATCAACGAAAATATTGAATTCGGACTGGTAGTTTTTGAGAGTGCGCCTTTAACAAAGGCAACTTCAGTTTTATAAAATAACCCAAATACTTGGAAAAATAGTAATTTATTTTATTCAAAAAAACACCAATGGATTTTTAAATAAGATTTTTATCAGGAAAAAGTGTACTAAGAAATATTAATCTCAAATAGTATATAATATACTTTGTGTTCGTTTTTATTTGAGAGTTACTGAATACAGACAAACTGATGTAGCGATAAGTGTAGACTTTAACTACCGTCTAATATTCTCATTTGAAATATTCAATTTTATAAATACTGTAAGTTAATTGAGCAGCTTTTTTACTATCAATTGCTTGGCTAAGGCTGTGTATGTCCACCTGCGAAACCATATTTATATACTGGAAGACTTTCATTTAAAATATATAAAGTGTTAAATCATTCTTAACGATACAAGTATTGAGTGATTTTAATAACTAAGACTACTTTCAGTTATCCAACAGGCAGGCTGTACAAGTCGCCAGCTATAAAATAAAAATAGCCTATTTATATCCGTCGGGTTGCAATATACGACAGCTGGCTAGTAAAAGATAAAATAATACCTTCATGAAGTAAAAGATACGGGGCAACCTTGAGGCAAAGTGGATTGTTCCGGGTTCAGTCTACCATCCAACCGGTCGCCGCGTCTCTGCCACGCACTGCACTCACTTTTACACAAAGTAGCTGCATTTACAATCCCTATGCAGTCAAACAACATATCTACTGTATACTGTATGAGACTAGCTGTTCCTTGCGTATTATCAGACACAAACAACATACTAACTTCTCATTACGTTCATCCGTGAAAACGGTTTTGAGGTATAAACTATAAAGTAAGCTATTCTTTAAAAATACATATTATGTTATCGCGGATATTTGTAGACATTTTTTTATGAGTCTACATCATTTTCATGTAACTATGGCATTGAAGCCTGCGCGCGCTACGGTAGTTTTCAAATAAATTATCTTCTGTATCATCGAGATCCATATCAATGAATAGTATAAATACTAAAAGTAAAATGATCTAAATTCTAAATAACTCGTATTCTTCGATGAGATAAAATGTTTGCTATTAAGTCACAGTACATTGTCTGAATTTCAATAGTTTGTTTCTAATCACAACGCAAACCCGCCTTCATATTGAATTAAAAAACCCAATCCTATTTTTAATTAAAAGAGTATTTTGTCTAAAGTTTTAAACTCCTTTTTTCTTAGCTGACAATTAAACAATATTTTTAACCATTTCCTTTACAATGTTAATTTACAGATAATGTTCTACTGATAGGATACCTATGTAAAATGTCGACATCAAAAAATAAAACTCTGCTAAAATATTTTATTGAATTTCAGCGTCAGTTATTTTAAACAATTACTCACAAATAAGGCCCTCGCACGGTACGTGATGAAAATTTGTCACGATTAATATATTGATTAACATCTAATAATATAAGGTTAATGTATATGAAGATGCAAGCAAAAAGCGTGACGTAGATTTTTATGTTATTGTATTTTAAATATCTTTGGAATCATTCCTCTCCGTTACTTTCTTCTACGATACTATTTCGCGATTTGTGAACTTCATCTACATTAACTAAGGGTGAGGCAACATCTTCACATTTGGGACTAGTATTTATATCAGTCTCTGTCAAGTTTTCATCTGATGCTAAATTCACAGAACCAACGTTTTCAACGTTTGATTGCAAATCGGCGTTGTTTTCCTCAGGTACATTAAGTTGAGTTTCCAATTTTGGTACTTCGATGGTAATTACTTCGCTATCACTTTCTTTCGCTGCCTCAGGAACTTTATTCTCTTCTAAAGGTCTAAAAATTTCTTGAAGCGAAGAGACTTTTTTCTCAGGTGGTATAATCCTATTTAAATATACTAAAATGTCAGATAAAGAAACAATTCCGACGAGTTTATCTTCCTTATTCACTAGCAATAGTCGATGGCTCTCCGTTCTTACAATTACTTCTAAGGCCTCATACAAAGTGATACTTGAAAAACATTTTTGTAGCTTTTCCTCCCAGTCTTTCCTTCTTGTTCTCACTTCCCCGATGGTCAATGACAAGTTCAAGTATAATTTTTCACTAACCAGATTTAATACTTCATATTTAGCATAGACATCAACAAGAATACCATTATCATCTAATATCGGCAAAGCAGAAACATTATTTTCTAATAATAGCTGAAAAGCATCTTTAACGGACGTAGTGTCAGTAACAGATATTATATCATCAAATGTTCCTATTTTTAAATCTATAAGTTTTTTATGAAAGAATGTTAATTCAGGAAATTCATTTAAATACACGAACAAAAATCTCAATATTCTCTTGTGGGACAGAATATATTGAACATCACCAGATCCTGGATCCATCATTAAAAGACGATGAACTCTGTGTTTTATGAGTAAATTTATAGCTTCGTGTAATGATTGATCGGGGCCAATACTACATAAAGGCTTTCTAGTAGCACGCAGTAATTTTCTCCAAGTATGTAGTGTGTGATTTTCTAAGTCATCCATAGGTAAATTTTCGTTTTCAAAATGTAAAAGGATCCTTATAAAATCAGTAACTGTTATCATACCTACAAGTAATTTCTTACTGGAGTCCCACAACGGCGCTGATCTTATTCCATGAGACACTAGAGTCGGAAAAGTTTTCTTAACTAAGAATTGAGTATCGAATATGATAACTTTTGCTGACTTTGGTAATATCTCATAACAACGGTGGTACTTGAAAAAATTTAGTAGGAGCCTGGTCTTATCTCTTCCCCCCAAAGAAATTTGAACAATAGACAAATAAGGGTCATATTTAGGAAGTCCGCGAATTTCTCTAAATAACTGTTTCGCTTGTAGTGGATCAAGGGAGGCGTAAGAGTTTTTATGATATGTCGGTGAAGTAGTATCTAAAGAAGATCGTCGAATCTGCTTTGATATTTTCTTTTTATTAGTGTCAACAGAAGACGACTCTGATGTTGAAGGTTTACTTCTAAATATATCCATGACTCTAGTTATCGGACTATATTTTCGAGACGATACTCCCGTCACTGTATAATAGTACTTTTTATGAGACTCTTTTGAATCAGGAGCTTTGTCATCCTTGGATGTATCTGGAGATTCTGCTGGTTTAGATGCAAGAGCGTCTTTGACATTCTGCATTAGAGATTGATGTTTTTTGGCATCGCTTTTTCTCCTAATTCGAAAAATGTCAAAAATAGAACTCCTTGGACTAGTTGATGTTCCATGAAATGTTTCATATTCTTTTTTAGGTCCTGAGTCCCTTTCAGCGCTTGCAGAGCGCACTGTATCAGTATGCCTATCTTTAAAAATTGATCTTACATGCGGACGTTGTGATTCTGCTCCACGAGTTCCAAAATGAACAGTATGCACGTTGCTATCGCGTACTCGACTGCTACCCGCTTCTTGGTCTTCCGAAGCTGAAAGTTTAGTTACGACGAATTTTTTACGTTCTCCTACAACAGTTTGGTTATCTTTTTGCATTTCTAGATGGCCTTTCTTCTTTTTGTGTTTGTGTTTGGATTTGCTATGTTTTCCTGGAGATTCGGCGGTGGCTGATTCATTTTCTAATATTGGGTCCATGTTGCATGTATATTTTTTTTCTTCAATTTACTAAGCACCATAATACTGAAGGGAAATTAGTAATACCTGAAACAAAATAACAAATTCTTAATATATAAAAAAATACCTTGAAGATTATTTCAATAAAATAATTACATTATAATTATTACATAAGAGACACCTATTAATGCAATGTAATAATTGCAGGTCAATTTATTTATTTTTTTAAACATAACATAAATACAGAAACTAAAAACACATATTAAAAAGTTAAGACGTATTGTTGACCATATATAAATTAATAATTAGAATTAGCTTCGTTAATGTAAAAAAAGAGTTTACCCAAAAAAATCATTTACAACACGATAATGTGCAATGCACCAATTTAATGCACCGTTCCACAATACTAAGTACAAATGTATTATAAGTTCTTATAATAATTTAACTACAATAGTACAGTAACTTCTTGGTGATTACGTATATTTTGTTCCTTATAACGTCCTAAAATAAACATATAGTATCGTAAATTAAAGACATAACCGATGAGCACCGCACTTGCACAATAAATAAAATCAATAAACACAACATAGAAGTGGCAAGACCGAAATTAAATGTTATACAAAGCTTCTATCGCATACCTGGTTTTGGTTCGTATTTCATTTTTATACCAACTATAATATCTATATTGCATAACACAAGTTACATTACAAAACAACGTTAATTAAAAATTACAGGAGTACCGCGTGTTACTCGGTTGGTAAATGGGCCGCCATTTTGTGTTTTGGCTACAAGTCCAGAGACATCTACCGTAATAGAAGGGAATCCGGGGAACCGAGGGGAACGTTATAAATTCAGTCCTTTACTATTTCGAAAGATGTCATTATTATGAGGTCAACCAAAATGGTATAACTACCTTAAAAAATTCAACAGTTAGCCTTATATCTTACCTTATGATATTAAACTACCTCGAGATCAATGAAACGCTTTACTTATTATTACTAAAAAACCATTTTATTCTGTTAATATAGATGCTTAAGACATATAGGAGTACTACGCATGCGTACAAAACTATGACGTCACATGTCGTCACCGATATATGACATCATCGTTTCCGAATAGGGAGAGACTATGACGTAACAGCCACGAGGGGTAATGCAATCAATACAGTCCCACTTTAAAAGTATTCGAGCGATCTAGTAACGCTCGATTAAAGAATTGAGGAGTAAATGATGCCTTTTCATATTAGACACGGGTCGATAGTTCACGTGCACTATTCTATATACATAGGTCAGGGGTTGATTTAAGAGTTAATAAGTGACATTCTGATTAGCGTATTAGTTGACCCATAGTGAGATTCATTTGTGATGTTGAACCTTATCGCAGCGGATATCAATACCCTTAATGATGATAAAAAACATAATATCACATATACGTACTACGATGATATATATGATATTATTTGCGATGTAAATCGCCTGAGTAACATTTCTGTCGTATACTTTATGTCAATTTTCGTAATTTGTTCGTTTTATCAAGGAAAAAAATACTTATGATTACAAACAAATTTAATTTAACACACTAATGTCAACTACCTACTTGTAAATAGATTAATTAATATATAATTACAAGGGAAAATAGCTTAAGGACTTACCCATTGATAAAATATTTTACAAATAATTTCGTTCATAAGAAGCCTATAAGGCAGCAAAACTGTTAGACGAATATGAGATAAGACGCGTGTCATTCCAAATTAAATCTTTGATACACAATTACTCATTCTGAAATCATAACAACAATCAATAAAAGTGTTAAGTAATCCCTACCGCTTATATAGAAGTAGTACTTACGTCGATAAGATAAAAAAAAGATTTTCTTGACGGAAGCGGCCACTCTAGGTTGAATTTTATCGAAATACGCAAAAGAATATACAAACCAGGACAAATTAATTTATAACTTGTTTTTGTATTTTGTCGTTAAAACAGGGTTTTCAAAAAAAATATTTTAACACAACACACATAGTTAAGTCATTTAGTAATATAGAATTACTCACAAATGTTTTATCACGGTAGGTAGGATATTATGTTGCAACGACAATGTGATAATAGTGTGGCCTAAATATTGATAATAATTGCATTCAGAAATATTTATGCATATATAAATATTTCATTAAAAAAAATATAACTAGTCTCAAGTATTTGATAATATGTCTAAATAAATCACTTTTAACGGTTTAAAACGTGATGTATAAGTTAACTTATTTTAATTAATTAACTTTACTACCCGACGCTTTCGATACTTTGCAGCTACTGTTGTCACGGGGAGACGTTTTAATCCGTTGAAAATGTTTTTTAAAGGTGTATTAACATTGTATCAACCATAGGCGGTACTTATTATACGGGGAAAGACGAGAGTTCGTAAGACATTCTTTTTTTAAATTAAGCATTCATCTCTTACCAAAACGAAACCCACTATCAGGTCAACTTGTATGGATCCTCCTATCAAACAATGTTCATACATTATCTAGGTACGTACCTACGTGATAAAAAAAATAGGTAAACATTTCATGATTTAATTTATTTGATTAAACATGATAATTATTAGGATATTATCAAGGTTTCCTTTGTTCGCATAGATATTATATCTGCAGTTAGCAGATGTTTTATAATAGTGTTATTTATATTAATAATATTAAATTAATCAATATGTACTCCACTCATAAAGTCTTGCTTTACTATATAAAAAATACCTAAGCTAAATGTGAATATGTTCATCTTTTATTGCTATATAATGCTTATATGGAATATAAAATACTTAATATTGGATAAACATTCATTTATAATAAACAAGCTACACATTTGAATTCTGTAAACATAAATAAATATGGTTCTTACGTATACGGCACATCATAACCTAAAAATCTAAAATAATTAAAAGCAGCAAGATCTACTTACAATAGAGATCATTTCTCGGATCCCCTTCCGCACTGACTATTTGTGAACAATTCACACACACACTTGCAATGTGCATTATGCACCCGTCCTGGTACTGCAGAACGGCGTATTTCGTCTACAACTAATTGTTGGACTATCTCGTTTCACTGGATGCCCGCAAGGTTATAAAACATCATCAACACTTAATAAAGAGTACACTGTGCCGATAATAAGGGCGGCCATGCTCAATTAGTGTAATTTACAGTCACGCACAATATTCTGACAATAGCTGACGGCATACAAAGATGTTAGTCGCGTTCACGTAATGCCCGCGCGGGGCGCTGCGCTGCGTTCGCGCACCAATATTATGACTCACTCACACATGCGCATGAGCGTTTGGATACAGCTATGGATATGTGTTTCATAACACGACGCGAATTGCCGACTCGCTCACGCGGGACACCGGTCGGACTCGGGATTTGCAGCTTCTAACATTGCTGATAAATGAAATTCCTTATCACAGCTCTTGTTTCAAATTTGCATCGTTTATATGCCAATGTATTTTTATATAGTAGCACTAATTACAAATAAGTGAGAACTATTGTTAATTTTATTACTAATACGTTTAACATTTATTTAGGGTTTGTTATCTAACAAGTATATATAAGTACTTTTTGAAATATAATAGAACCTTAGTGTTATTTGTATTGTCATCATTTTAATTATAACTAAGTAATAACGTTATTACGTATATGTACTTACATAACGTAGACAATGATTTTAAGAGTTTTTTTTATAGACGTACTGTGTCCTAAGGTACTGAAGCCGGTTCACATAAACCGCTAGACGGTTTTTACCGGTGGTAATAAATTTCATAAAACGATGAACTTATGTAAAATAGTTAAATAAAATAAATAAAGTAGAAAATAAGTATTGAGTAAAATCTCAAACTTACATTATTATGTAATTGGAAATGTTTTCTAGGATAATTTTTAGCTAGGTATACTTGATTTTCAGAAATGTCAAAAACTGTTTTACTTGGCTGTTTCAGTGTCTCTTCGGTTGTAGCATAGCATTTCATTTTATTGACTTACCAGTTTTAATGGAGTGTTATGGGTGGTCATATATTTTTTGTATATGAAATTTACAATGTTTACTCACATCTTAAGTTGTTGTATCTGTATGATGTTAAAAAGGAGTGAAAATTGTTAGTAGCGTCTTAAAAGAAAATCCTGTAATAGAACGAGCTCGTCTCTAAATTGATCAAAAGCGAAAGGGCTTCACCTCTCCCTGATAAAACCCTTGACGGGTGAACAAGTCTTCTGTCGGTGAGTCAATAGTACGACGGCATCGATTATAAGTAAAATTAGAATAACTGGACGTTTGCCCGACGTGCCGGCAACAAATAGTACTAGCGACTAGGGCATGCGACCAATTTACCAACCACAAATAATATGCAACGCACTGAATGCGGACACTGCTAAGAAGAAAACGGATTAACTGACAAGATAAAGATTTAAAATTTCACTTGAACCTATACAAAATTGAAATTGAAACAAATTAATGTTTCAGCCGGAATTTGAACTTGCAACTCACTGAACAACGGTAGCATGGCAGGTCAATCAGTAGTACCTACACCGCCACGGCACCCCGTAAGTCATGTGTTAGAGGGCCATCTTTTTAACCCCTCTTTCTAATCAAAGGAAATTCGTCATTTCTTATATTTTTTTGCAAAAAAAAAATGTTCAAATAATATCTGAAATTATACATCTGTTAACTAGATCGGGCAAATTAAAAAAAGACAATCCACCAATGATAAGTAGTTATATAATGGGCACTGATACTAATACGCAAATTAAGAACTTCGTTACACAAAAACCATTTCGAACAGGTCGCGAAAAATCTGAGCAACAAAATAAATCCAAAGACGTTTATTACGCTGTATGTAATGCTGTATACTACTACTACTTCTTATTTAAAATATATACTTCATTTATTAAATAGCCACTTTCATCATGTTGCTAAACATAGGTGGTAAAGTAAAAAACAAATTAACCACAGGTCAACGATTGTCACATTTAAATAAAACATTTTAACGGTATAAAACGCGATATATTTTTGTTAAACTTGTTTGTAAATTATTTTTAACTACGGCCCGACGTTTCGGATGCTTTGCACCAGCCTTTGGTCACAGGGAGACATGGTAAAGGTGTTTTATTTAAATGAATGTCACAGTTTGTGCTTATTCGGAAAAGTTTAGACAGTTAACAAACAGTCATATAAAAAGTCGTTGCTTTTGTTTGTTCTTAAGTTAATAGCGCCTCGTTAGTCTAGTAATTAGTGCATACGAATGCAGACATGATGCAGACCACGAGGTTTCAGGTTCGAATCCTGGGTCAGGCTGAATTATAAATATTATTTATTTTAAACGAAATTTCCAGCAGATACTACCAGCCCGAAATTTCGAAGGAGAGTGTCGCTCCCATGCTACGAATCACGTTAAGTTCTCCCTGCCTGATTTTGCCCCTAATTTAATAGCGGTAGTCGTCAAGGCCCACCAATCCGTATCCGTGGATCGAATCTCGGAACCCTGGAGAGGATACCTGTGCCAAACTGTGTGTGTGAAGATTAAAGGACTGAAACGATGCTTTGGTATTATGAGGTAGGACGTGCCCTCCTACCTATTCCCGTTTCCAGCCTACATAGAGTAAACTGAATTGCCCTTTCTTTATAACGAGTGACAATTCAGGCCACACCTGTATATAGCCGTGTTAAATTGCACTATAGATAACCGCGTGACGGCGGCACAATCAATGCGGAAACGTGTCTCGAAATGAGAGCGGGATGCGTTAGACTCCCGCCGTCACCGCTGCATTTGTCTCTCGATGCACGCGTAATTGCATCGAAATTAGTTCACACGAATAAATCAGTCTAGACTAGAACTAAACAATCGATTTTTGGATATAAAATTAAGCTTCGATAAGTTAGATACAATTAATAACGTTATAAGCATCTATATTAAAATTGAACACTTTACGGGTTAAACTTATGTGGAAATTATTTTAACCGACGTTTTAAATGTAGCATCGTGCTCGCGACAGTAGCATCTTTTTTCTTGGCTTATTAGGTAAGTTTCATAAACTACATTATACATTCTTTTTACGTTATTTTATTCAATTTAAACTAGGAGAAAACAAAATGTTATTAGTGACACCGACAAAATACCATAACAAAACATTTTAACCTAAACTACATACATCCATATGCTCAATTGACCTGTATGTATAAAAGAAGTCAAACTATTTTTAAAGCAATTGTAAGAAAAGTTCTTTGACAGTTAAAATACTATATATTGATTAAGATAATGCAAAATTTTAATGAGCCTACAATGAGTAATCAACTAAGAAAAATAAACGCTAAGAACAAATCGCACGAAGATACCGTGTGATCGTGCAGCAAGGGCGTCGCTATGGTGTTTGTGAGTTCGGCACTTACGAAAGCTCCGCTCTGTACTAGCGATTCCGTTAGCGCAGGCTCGGGCGGGCGGCAGGCGGCGGGCGGGCCGTGGGAGGTACCGTTAGTGACGTCGCAACCGTGACGTAGCGTTCGTGACGTCAGACCTCGCGATATAGCCACCAGGCTCGGCGGCGGCGGCCTCAGTATCGCACCGCCCGTCAGCCTGCGCGTACTTCCACGCGTACCTCGCGACCACTTCTACAATCGCTAACTGTGAGTGAGTGCGCGTGCAGTGAGTGCTATGTGCTCAGCCGCATGAGGATCCTGTTGAGCGAGCTAGGACTATCTGGCGCGTGCCTCGGTCTGACCCTGGAGCCGCGCGCCGCCGCTGAGGACAACAAGCCAGCGCCAGGTCAGCGCCCGTCCGACGATTCGCCTCCCTCTTCTGTGTTCATTTTCGCTTTCATTGTGTAGAACCTCTGGGTGTACCGTAGACTCTGTGTGGAACTGTTGTGACGATGGCCATCGGCTAGAATGCGAGGTGCGTTGCTGACGCCCTCCAGCCAACACTGCGGCCTTAGAAAATTCCTTTTTACACGTATGTACTTTTTTGTTGCGTTTATTTTTATTTATTACCTATTAAGTTTTCCCCATTAATTTTAACCAGAGCTTTCGCTACATAAGCTTTAAAACGCCATTGCCCATCAATGTTATCCAAATGAACTGTTGAACTTAAAGTGTAGTTTACCTATAATAGTAACGCGTAGGAAGCAATTTCTATAAGCAACACTTAATCAGTGACCCATTAGTAAATGCCTTGGGCTTTAAAGGAAAGCACCATAGTGAACTTTAAAAATAACATGAGGTGTTAACAACGATTAATAGTCGTATTGTTTTTAAAAAATAACAGTTTTTTTATGAATTAATCAAATTATATCTATTGAGGATTTTTTTTTCAAAATATTAAGGGTACATTATTTATATATGTAATTCATAAAAAAACTTTGTGATCTTATTGTTCACCAATAAAAGCACAAAGTCTTTCTTACTGGCGACAAATTTTTTAATTCTTAGTAGACGCACAAGCTTCATGTATAAAAAAAAGATTACAATACAAGTTGTCAAACTTTTTCTACAATTATAACTATGTTGAAATTACAGGCACAATCAAGTTTTACTAAAAGAAAACTTATCAAGTGTAGTATAAGTCTACCAACAATTAATTAAATGTATATAGAACTTTTTTTTTACTCTTCAGGTGTTAGAATAAATTAAATGATATACTGTAAATATTATAAGTTACTATACGAAACATGTAGTACAAGAAATGTAGTTGGTGGAAATGATGTGATTATAAGAAATCACTTATTTATTACACGGTAATGTCGCTTCGAATTTTACATCACGAGCGGCTAATGAAATACTAAAGTGTACGTTAGTGCGGCAAAATTAATATAGTTTTTGTTATACACTATTAGGTAACTATAATATGGGATGAGAGCCGCGATCGCCTCCGGTTTGATGCCGATGGCCTCAACTAAACTACCTTCCACTTGCCCAATCGTCTGTCGCAACCGGCAGACGCTGCACCTGCCGTCAACCAACGAGATGTGTCCGCAAATTGCCAATGATCACTGGTCGCATAATACTGTATTGTAACGTTCAAAAACATACGTCTAAACAAATATTATTCACCTCACTTTCACTTTTTACATGCTGTAATATATCTAAATATCGCTATCGGATGAGTGAAAAACAAAAGTGGATCTATAAAATTCAACATTAAGTCCGCAAACTCGTCTAAGTTCGGAGCCGGATTACAAATTCGTAATGTGGCAATTTCGATAGATATTACGAGTATCTGAGTATCTCTTAAATTGATATGGGTAACGATACAGTCGTTAATAGGGCGATATCAGCGTCCAGCTGGTGTGACGTGATTCCGGCGTACTTTCGTCTGCCTCTGACGTCACACTTTTACCGTAAATTTAAAGCAAAGTGTAACTCAATGAATGGAGGAAAATAATTAAATAAGTAACGACAAGAAAATTCCTTTGTGCTACCGGTATTTAAACTCGGCTTGGACTGAAGCTATGATTACTTGTTTACATCGGATAAACAAAATAAAAGAAAGAAGCTGCAACATTTAATTCTTTAATAATACAATAAAATCACATTGGAATAAAATCTTGATATGAAGTTAAAAGCGCTGCTGTATACATATTTAATTTACGCAATACTGTAAATATCCACTTTCATTCCTCAATATTTCTACGGCCTAAAAATAAATGTGTATATGAGGTACTTTAGCATATAAGTGTCAAATCAAATTGAAGCTGCGCCGCCAGCAGTATTACCTTTGCATATTTTTAGCCATTCATTTCAACTGCTGAAACGGAATAACGTCACGGCGGACATGTCTAAAAATACGTGGGTGGTGAGATGTGGTGGTAAGGGGGTTGGGGAGGCGTCCCACGGCCTCGGCCTCTGTAGCCGCCCGTGACGTCATGTGCGTTACGTCACGCATCGACCCGCAATGTGCTTCAAGGTCGCAGAGATCTTACCCTCGGGTATCGACTTCCACATTGGTTATACTATGTTGTGATTTTCGTATGGTTTAATAAATAGTAACCAAGAATATTGCACATAGAATGAAATAATTAGCGATAACAAGTTTGGTTGTTTGCAATCCTCATTCATAATAGTTTTTGTAAAGGGGGTAACTCACTAATAACAAAGTGTGAGTGGATTCATATGGTGATATTTTTTCAAAAATAGTTGACAATCGATTAACAACATATGTAGTTTTTTTTGTTCTTATTATTTTAGATAATTTGATTTCATTACTCTCAAATCTAAATAAAAATGCTATAAAACAATTAAAGTACGTAAAAGAAAATTTGAATTGATTTATCGCACATTGAGCAAACTCAACACTTACGAGTTAATACTTGATCGAATGACTACAATAAAATTCAAATTTATTCAAAATAATTACATAATCTTCGAAAATAACCGCGGCGACGACCAACGAGACGGACACCAAGGTCAAATATGTGTGGCTTTACTCATACAAAAAAAATATTTAATACACTAAACCGTATTTAGATGTCTTAAATTTTTTGTCAACCTATGGTAACACTGGCGGTAGACTGGTGTCCTCAATTATAGGCTCTCACAAACATTAATATAAATTAGTATGTTAGGACAGAGACATTATTACTTTGTTAGTAATAGTTATAAAAAGAGTTAAATTAACGCCCATATTATATTAATGAATAGGTAACTATCAATAAAATAGTAAGCAACTCAAAACTGTTACTGCATACAGCGTATTGTGACTACAGCATTGACTACATATTGTCGGGTAGGATACCTACGTCAAAGGGAATAACGTCACTACCCACCTCCCCCAACCGACCCACTAAACTCTGACGCTGTACAGCTGACTATTTGCGGTATCAGTACCATTCAAATAGCTACACGATAAATCAAAACCACATGAAATAAGTGAAACATTCTATACTTATAAGGGTATTTTGTTGTTTATCCATTTTTGTACAAGCTATAAAAACATTTACCGTTATAATAGTGAAAAACATCGAAATAGTTTGAACTTAAGCTGGGTTTAAAAAAGGAGCAAGACAACATTATTTTATTACATTTTGATCTTAAAGTTTTGTGTGGTTTTAAAAAAATAAAAATAATTCTTACAACGCTGTGTAAAGTCCTAATTGCCATTTATAAATATATTGGTATTGAAATAATAAACTTACTTTTAATGCCTTTTATTCGGACATAAGTAAAACCATACTTCTATAATAGTCATAAAATAACACAGGTTCAAAATTGGCATCTTCATATATTTCTAGCGCCATCTATAGTTCTACGAGGACATTAGCGCCGAGTCAAATAAAACTAAAAGTACGGCGTAGAAGCGTAGCACTTTAACCCCTTAAAGAGCTACGAGCATCCCGCTTAAGTATTTAAAAAATCCTGTAGATGTCGCACTAGATTTGCAAGACAAATTTGTTATCTTAATTCCAAAAATGTTGTCCTTTATTGCAATAAATATGATAACATAAAATGAATTTATTGCTAAAGCGTTTTAACTTTCACATTTTTTAAAGCACTCGTCGACAAAAAAGTTTAGAAGTTTTCGGATTCTTGTAGTCCAGGGAAAGTTATTACGAAATTAGAGATAGATTGATAATTCATACTGCTTTACTTACTTTTCTGCAGTGTACTGAGAAACAAAAATTTCACGTTTATTTCTCATAACAGTATACTTGCGTCTACTCGAATTCTTCGAAGCCCAGAAGTATGCTTATTTATAAGGCTCTAAAAAAAATCGACCAATGCCACGGATAGAGATGTGTTCTCCACATAGTTCTAAAAGTTGAAACATTAAACATTTAAGCTCTAAAACTCCTCATGTGAGGGAAGACCTGTACTATGCATAGAGAAACGTGGTAACATATAAAGATACAGTAATAATAATAAGACGCGGAAGTTTATTTAATATAATGGTAAACATTTTTTTGCAGTAATATCGGGTGACAAACAAGACCTGCGCTTTAAACAGGAAAGACTTAAAATTTGCAACTCGTTTATTTTTTTATTGCTTTAGTATAACCTGATAAAATAAGCATTTTTGTATTTTTTTTTTCTAAACAAAACATGGTGCATAAAGTAGAGACATAAATATAGACCTTCTTTTATTTCTATGTTTTTATAATAGAGCATTTGATGATTTATTTGTTTGCAGAGGGTTTACTTGATGGTAAGTGAAATAACCCAGCCATATAACATTTTAAACAGATGCGCTGTCGGCCTATTTTGGCTTTGAATATTCGGACTGAAACCGAAACGCGATTAAACTTTACGGATTTTTTAACTGTGTCCGGTGGTTCGTCACCCGGAGGAATCGATATTCCCCCACTAATTAATATCAAGGTTTCTAGACGAAATCCAACTTTAAACCCGGCATCGAAACCGCGACCCGTTGATTATTATTAACCATTGCCATTTTACACCAACTCGAGCCCGTAAAAAATATTACAATAAAACTAAATAATCCATGGATAGTGTAGATAGCCTGATAGAATTATAGAATACCACTTCAGAAACAATACAAAATAATTTCTTTTGTAGTATTACTACAGGTTAAAAAAAATTTTGTTAGGAATCCTATCGACTACGGAAATGGTCTTAATTTCTTGTTATTTAACCATCTTACTGAGACTTATAAAAACACGTTACTTCTATTATTTTTCGTTGCTACAACTAATTTATTTAGATTCAACTCTAATGTATATTATGTTTAAATATTTCAGTGAAATTAAGTTATTATATTTTCAATTAAAGTTCTATATGCTAACATTGTTAATATTGTAGGGTAGGAAACATATATATCAACCCTAATAATACATACTTTAATATCGAAAGAACGAGTTATTACTTACAAGCTAGTATTAAAACCAGAGATAATAAAATCTGAATCTTAATGATTTCAAACTAGTTCTCACTTCCACGGCTAAATAACTTCCTGGTAGCTGATAGACAGGATCCACAATATCTGCTCTGGTTCATATCAAAGTTTTCTTATGAGGATGAATTTGTAAGTTTGATTGATTACACGTAAAAAACTTCGTTGTGCCCGGTAAAAGTAATTGAAGTATAAGATACAATTGATAAGAAACAATGCATTTCACTAGAAGTCTGTTTTAGAAACTTCCATAACTAAGTCGATCTAAACGTAGGGAAACTATATGAATAGGGAAAAAACATATAGGTATGTGTTCATATATCAAATTTCTATAAGTTTACAATAAGTTGTAATTATTTAAATAAAACACTTTAAACTGTTAAAAACGCGAAATGTATCTGTTAAACTTATTTCCAAATTATTTTAACTACGGCCCGCCGTTTCAAATGCTTTGCAGAGATAAGACTTGTTAATAAGTTTAAATAATAAATTTCGCTTTATAAACAGTTCAAAGTGTTTTATTTAAATTTTTACTACTCGCGTAAACTACAGACATCACTTATGTTGTAACTAATGCATTTTTTAGGCACAGCATAATCTTAAATCTTGATAATTTTTAAGTTATATATATATAAGGCCATTAACATAACACTAAAACACGATGTATAATATTTTGTGTATACTTTAATAAGCTCGAAATTAATGGTTCTTAACATAATAGAAACTGCAAATGCCACTGATTTCATAACCTCCCTGGGGATCTATCGCCTTCGCGCCCCAAAAACTTTGCGCTGTTTTCCCTGAGCCAAAATGCTCCTAATAATCTGCCCCTTACAGTTTAATTTTGTGACATCGCTGTTCGCATTAGTATTTTTTTTTATTTAGACTTAGATGAGGTGTATACATTAGATTCAATTTTCGGGGCGTGGCGAATCAAGCACCGTAACACGATGTATTCAAAGAGGCAATATTTGGCTAACAAAACAGCAGTATAAATTAAAAGACCTTTCTTCTAGTCGCGCAGAACTTGCTATGGCGGGGTAGCGTCTGGTGGTCAACTGATTACAAGAGTTATTGATTACTCCTTGTTATTGTGAAGTAACAAAGTATGTACGCTGAGGGTAAATATAAATAATGCAAGAATCGCATAGCGTGATAGTTCAGTCGTGCTGTCATTTGGTAGTCCAAGTGCGCGGGGGCATTTAAGACCAACCCTCTGTAGAGGGTTACTCAACAGTTTCTATCAAAAAGTTTAACGAATCAAGGCAAGAGAAAGTTTTATTAAACTATTGTGTTTTTTTTATAGGGCCGAGCGCAATAGAGTCGCGCTCGCCAAGCGGTTTTTCGCCAAACTCTTCCAGCATGCTACTGCTGCAAACACAAGTGAGTAATTAGCATTTTAAACTTTAAAAACAATCTTATACTGTGTCTATTAGCTTTTACGTGCATTTCACGTCCCCCTACAAAAGCCTCATACATTCTTTACGTGCACTTATTAAAGCACCTGCACGTCAGTTACTTCGAAACAGCAGAATAAACACAAAAAATAACGTCATTGGCTTATTATGACCGCCCATTATGTCCGCCTACAATACCGTAACGCCTCTATTTATTGATTTGTTTCAATTGCAGAGCAACTACAGTTCGTCCTTTGCTGATCTTCTGTCATCGCAGTACCAAGAAGATTCCTCCGAAATCTTAGACGAGAATTTAGACCCCTTTCCGGACGTCGAATTCCATGCGCCAATACCACCGGAAATAAAATCGCACCGGACAACACCTGTGAGCGAAACTCCATCGCCAACACCCGGTCCGGCATTACCGAGCTTCGAAGAGACTTATTCAGTCCGATATCCGAAGCAGGAAATGGCGGAATTCGGAATAAAAATGGACGAAGACTATTATAATGTCGGGCCCTACTCGCATCAAGGCCATGCATCTACTCAGTTACTTTATCAATATCATCAACCTTCATTACCGTACGTACCGACACCGTACTATGCCCCGGCTCAACCCTCGAGTCCAACGTTTGACACTGGGGGCGTAACTCCCACGACGGATTCGTATTCTTTGCCTCCATTTCCAAGTTCTGTAGACTTACATATAACAACAGATCAAATTTCAAGACAACGGCGAGCGTCCCTGCCTGTTCAAAGATCTGAATCTAGCAGTTCTAGTGAGAGTCCAAAGCTTCATGGTGGGAGAGTTCACTGCATGCAAGCATCGGCGCCAAGTTCAGCTGCTAGTTCACCAGGCGGAGTGCCTCAAGACAGTGTTATATCTCGTGCCGCTCCACAATCTCCCAGTCAACTGTGTGCCGTTTGTGGGGATACAGCGGCTTGCCAACATTATGGAGTACGGACGTGTGAAGGTTGCAAGGGATTTTTTAAGAGAACAGTACAAAAAGGATCAAAATATGTATGCCTAGCTGAAAAATCATGTCCAGTTGATAAAAGACGGCGCAATCGATGCCAATTCTGTCGTTTTCAAAAATGTCTCGCCGTTGGCATGGTGAAAGAAGTGGTCAGAACCGACTCCCTGAAAGGTAGACGAGGCCGTTTGCCGTCAAAACCTAAATGTCCACAAGAATCTCCCCCTAGTCCACCGATATCATTGATAACGGCGCTCGTTCGGGCACATGTCGATACATCACCGGATTTTTCAAACTTGGATTATTCTCAATACAGAGAGCCAAATCCAATGGAGCCACCGATATCAGATTTGGAAGTGATTCAACAATTTTATTCTCTGCTCACAACATCTGTAGACATGATAAAGGTATTCGCGGAAAAAGTCCCCGGCTATGGCGAGCTCTGCCCCGAAGATAGGGAACAGTTATTTGCATCCGCCCGCCTCGAACTATTTGTATTACGGCTGGCGTACCGCACTCGTCCCGAAGATACGAAGCTAACTTTCTGTAATGGACTCGTGCTTGATAAGCGCCAATGTCAGCGATCTTTCGGAGATTGGCTCCATGCAGTACTTGACTTCAGTAATACCTTACATTCAATGGACATCGATATTTCCACATTTGCTTGTCTCTGCGCTTTAACGCTTATAACAGGTATGTTATCCAATTTCTTGATAAATGTATATAAGTACACTATGTTTTTAAATTTACGCTCTAACAATATTCGAAATCGATTATTTCTTAGCCAAATATGATTTAATGAAAGCTTGCTTATAGATCCAACTTGTTATTACAGAGCGGCACGGTCTGAAGGAGCCACATCGTGTGGAACAATTACAAATGAAGATAATTGGGTGTCTACGTGCGCACATGCCAGGCGGTCCTGGAGTCGGTGGTGCTGGCGCTCCGCATTTCAGTCGCGTCCTTGGAGCTTTACCAGAGCTTCGATCCCTCTCCGTGCAAGGGCTTCAACGCATCTTCTACTTAAAATTGGAAGACCTAGTCCCCGCACCTCCTCTCATTGAGAACATGTTTCGTGCAAGCTTACCGTTCTAAGTAGCATAACTATTAATCTCGGATCTTGCACTAAAGCGAGCCCTGTACTATCTAGAGCCCAATCCATTATTTTTGTAATTATTTACTTGAACTATAAATATTTTTCTATAGGCTAGCTTAATAACTTAGCATTCGATCTCCATGCAATCGGTTCATATCTAATAATTTTATTATTGTGTGAATTTCTTTACGTAGGTATCTTTAAATCTAAATTTAATCGTCGATGTTAATTTTTAATCGTAATAATGTACTTTAAGGATAATTTATTGTTTTTTATAAAATATGTGTGTGTGATTCAGTTACTTATATCTTTAAAAATATCTACTTAGTAGTCTGCATTTGAGTTACCGCTCGTGATCAATGGCATCTCGTCGTACAAATATTCCTATGTTATTGTGTATTTAATATTTGTAAGAAAAATCTAGTCACAAGACTTATAAATATATAAATTTGGCTTATAGGTCACCGATTTTTATAGTATTTTACAAATATTATAATATTAATATTGAATTATATTATGTTAATGTCCAGATCGGTGTGATACATGGATGTAACAAGTGTTTGCTACTTTAAGTACCTACCGTTTTGTGAGTACTTATTTATTATTAGATATCTGACTTAGTCAGTAAAGAATCGATGTCGGGAGTTACCTTTTTCATTGTGTACCTAGATGTTTACCTAATTATTTTGTTATGTTTAATTTTTTTATACAATATACAGGATCAAAGAAAAAGTTCAACATTACCAGCTATAGGTAAAAAACTCCTATGTGTCTTAAAAAGTACCTTTGTAGATAGGTGTCTAATAAACTTTATCTCCCTTATGATAATAATTATTCTTAAATTATACAAACTTCTTACATAAAGGCATACATATCAGTGTATTTTGAGAAATGCACGTAAATGATAATTAAGGCTTTGTGTTTAATATAATATCGGCATCGCTTATTAATAATATCCACTAGATATATAACTTATTTGATAGGTTTACCTTTCTAGTGGGTTTATTGATCCTAAATTGACCAAATAGTTTTAAAGTAGGTATATTATATATAAAGTCTTAGGCAAATTGCAAAATCGAACTTGATTCTCTTTTGAAACAAAAATGCATTATCGTTCTGCTTTGTGTTTTAGCGAAAAATAGTTTCATTTAAAAGATATTCTTGAATTAGTACCCATATTTCAAAATGATTATAAAAATAATATGTATGCATATATATAAATTTAAGCACAAATGCATATTCTTAGATATAATGTTTTTTTTTTTTCAAAAAATAATGAAAATTTTATATGAAATATAAAAGTAGAATGAAACTTTTGTACTTATCAATTTAGGTAGCTAGTTTGATATTAAGAAAGTGCTGAACTTTTTCTTTGATGCCCAGTGTAGATAATTTATAGATACGATTAGGTACATATTATTTTAACTTATTGTGTCTTACGTCTAAAATCTCACTTAGACGCTTTTATGTTCGATCGAAAAGATTACACAAAAATTATGTAATTTATGCCTGGATACTTTGTCTTAGACTAAATTTTCCTTAAATAAGTACATAATCTAATATGTATTAATTATAAAAATACCTACTTTACTAACTCGTCCACTGCTAAGTAGGCTTGTCCGATTCGTTTTAATGACCTGCATATATTATGCAATGATATTAGAACAATATAGTCGTAATAATAGTAGTAAATTATATTCATGTCAATTTCGCGTCTCATATTCCCTTGCCATTAAAATACATTCCAATACACAAACAGCATTTTAAACAATCAAAGCACAAAGTACCTAGGCGCTGTAGAATTCGTAATTTAGATTTTCTTTAAAACCATTTTTTATTGTAACTGTTTGCAGAATCATTAAATAAGGCTCGTTTAATGTTGTTGTCATAATTATATTGCATTTCTTTTATAAAATTATTAAGTGTAATTACGCGATTTTGTTACTTACTATTAATTATTATTATTTTCCTTTGTAAATATTTTGTCACAATAATTATAATAACGCGATAAGCGTTAATTGAATTATGTAGCGGTATTATTTTAAACACCTATTTACCTACTTATATTTAATTATTTTCCGATAAGCGGGAGGAACACACTACATGAACGGATACCTACTTAGAAGTCACTTAAGTACGCCTGACCCAATTTTTCGGATGGAAGGTTATATTTTTATTTTTTAAACAAACAACTCGACATTCTTTAATTTTTTGTCAAAGCCTCATAAATTAATAAAACCAAGGCAGATCTTTATCATTCTAAGTATATATACATTCTGTTTTGATTGTAAAGCTATTCTCCTTTTAATTACGCTTCCTACATTTTTTTTAAGTTTTGTTTGTCTCTTACCATACCGACAATGTCTTTGCTCTAAATTATTTAGACAAAGACATTAGTAGTAGACAACAGTAGTATTTATTTATATTTTTGAATACAATTTGAAATCTGATTATAATATTAACTCTAACTCAAGCATCTTTGGGTATTCATTAATCAAGTAAATGATTAATTTAGCCGTGTAATAAATGTCTGTTGTATGTAGTCGGCCTTTATACAATTCTGTTTAGATTATCTGTGGAGTATTTGTGAAATGTGTCAAATTACCTTCTTTCACTTCTAGGTTGACAGTTGATTGAGAGCAATCTAAAAACAATTCGTTTTTGCTTATGCTTAGTATTTTATTTGACCAAAATATAACGAAGTAAAATAATAGTATATAACATTTAAATTAAATACAAATCGGTACATACTTACTACTTACCATATATATAATTTATTTATTTATATTATTAAACGTTCTTAAAGTAAGAGAGATAACTGAGTGATATATGGCACAGCAGTAACAATGTCAAAAAGTGATATATCTGAGAGCCTTGACAAAAATTTAGAAGATATTGAGATTCAAGAAGTTCTTAAAAATGGCACTGACCTTCGAGAATATGCTCTACAAATTGATAGAAGCATCAAGGAAGCCGAAAAAGCGTCTGTCGCTGATTACCTAAAGGAAAGTGAGAATATTGGGTCACTGCACAACCAGATTGAGGAATGTGATGGTATTCTTGAGAGAATGGAAAATATGCTATTAATCTTTCAGGTATAAATCCATCTGCCACATTCTACTACCAATAACAAGTACTAAAATTTTGTTTTATAAAAATAATATGATGAATACTACTAACATTTTACAGAATGATTTGGGAAGTATCAGTAATGAAATCATCAGTTTGCAAAAGCGTTCTGTTAATATGTCTATACAATTATCAAACAGACAAGCTTTGAAAGGTCCACTTTCTTCATTTATTGAGGATATTGCTGTATCAGAGGCTCTAATATTGTAAGTACAAATAACTATAGTTATATTCAAACATATGAAAAGATTTTGTTGATGGGTTCATTAAAACTCTTGTTTCAGTGGTATAAATAATGTGCCTGTTATTGACAAAGAATTTATGGTGCAGCTGGCTATCTTAAACCAAAAACTTAACTTTGTGAAAGAGCAAGACTTTAAAGAAACAAAAGCTTGTCATGATGTTAAAGATGTTTTGGAGAAATTGAAAATCAAGGCTATTGCAAAGATTAGGACTTATATTTTGGAACAGATTTATAAATTTCGAAAGCCAATGGCAAATTATCAAATACCACAAAATGCTATGCTTAAATATAAGTTCTTTTTTGAGTTCGTATTAGCAAACGAAAGAAATGTAGCCCAGGAAATATGTAATGAATATATTGATACATTAAGTAAAGTTTATTATTCATATTTCAAATCATATGCGTCAAGACTGGATAAATTAAAATACGAAGAAGTACCTACTAAAGATGACCTTATGGGAATTGAAGATGGCTCTAAAGGAGGATTTTTTCAAAAATCCAATTTGAAAAATAAAAGTACTATCTTCACAATAGGTAACCGCGGAGATGTATTAGCTCAACAATTAGAAGCACCGATCATTGTACCTCATGTTCAACAGAAAACAAAGGTAAATATAGTATATTAGAGGCACCCTAAAGCATTGCCTACATATATGTTTTTATCCAATTTACATAACTGAATCATTGTGTGTATTATCTTCCAGTATTCCTATGAAGCATTATTTCGTAGTCTTCAATATGCTTTGGTGGATAATAGCTGTAGGGAATACTTATTTACAACTGAATTTTTCCATGTCAAAAGCAGCCATGCACAAGAACTTTTTGACAGAATTCTTGGAAAAACCCTGTCTTTACTGGTGGTAAGCTAACAGCTATTACACTTAAAATATTAGTTGTTACGCAGTTTGCTCTTTAAATGTCCTTCCATTTTCAGAAAAATGTAGAGAATTATGTTGTGGAGTGTTTCGACTGTTTAGCTCTTTTCCTCTGCATTCAACTCATAAACAGATATAGGTGGATGTGTCACAAAAGAGCAGTAGCAGCTCTTGATAGGTAAAGTTTTCTTAGATCTTCTCAGACTAACATAATAGACAAACTTACCTGTGCTTAAACTGTCACTTATTTACTTAATGTTTTCAGCTATTGGGATTCATTATTATCTACACTTTGGCCTCGCCTGGAACTTGTTTTGAAGTTAAACATCCAAAGCGTCCGTGAATGTGATCCTGCAAAGTTGGCTAATAAGGAATTAGGACCGCATTATGTATGTAAGATTCAGAACTTAATTTTAATTACTTTGTGAATATGTTATTTTATACATAATAAATCTGTTTTAAATTTCTTATAGATAACTCGTAGATATGCTGAGTTCTCCGCTGCAATGCTTAGTTTGAGTGAACAATTTCCATCACAAGAGCTCAGCAATCTTCTTCTTATGCTGCAAGATGAAGTTCACTGCTTTCTGCTTAAAATGGCAGCAGAATTTCCGCAGAGAATACAACAATTGATTTTCCTTATTAACAACTATGACATGGTGTTAAGCATATTGATGGAAAGAACAAGAGATAACACAAAGGAGGCGGAAAGTTTTCGAGAACAATTGCAAGCTCGAAGTACTGAATATGTAGAGGAAATATTGAGCCCTCACTTTGGTGGTTTGATGCAATTTGTGAAAGAAGGTGAGCAATTATTGGAGAACGACAAGAAAAATGAATTAACTAATTTAGAAAAGAAATCTCTGACTCTAGTCACATCATTCTCATCAAACTGGAAGCAAAGTTTGGAAGAAATCCATCGAGAGGTGCTTGTATCATTTCCTAATCTGGTCACAGGTTCTGGTTTATTGCAGATGGCTTTGACTAATTTCGTACAGTATTATCATAAGTTTAATAAACTTTTGACACCAAATGCTAGAACTCAGCTGGTAAATATTCATGTTATCATGGTAGAAATTAAGAAATATAAGACAAACTTTTAATAAATTCTATATTTACCTTGATTTGTTGTTTTCGTTGAATATTACCTTATTGTAAGTAACGTTGTTCAATTCGAATAAAACAATGTTTTAACTTTGGGTTTCACATTTATTGTACCTCACCTTGAAGCATACATAATTATAGAAATTTTACAAGTACCGTTCATTTCTTCAACTGACAAATATTTTACAATGCGTACAGTAATCTAAATAATATTATCACAATTATACGAGACATTTGTCTACAGAAAAAGAATAGGCGTGATGTAAACATAACATCTTACACTAAATCAAGAAGTACTCCAGCACTAATTCAACGCATTCAAATAGAACAAAACAATTTTAAAACAAAATCGAAATTATAATCATACATTCACTGAGTAAAACCTTATTTACAAACTTAACACAGAAAAGCACAAACGACTACATGAGTAATTCTAAAATTCAATCATTATTAATATTACCTTAATACAAACCAACAAATACGACTAGCAAGCGAAAGTTACAATTCTCGATATACGATACTAATTTATATATTACATATTTATATTGTGTCATTACGTATTCAAAAAGAAAGCATAAACACACAGTTAACACTAGATTTTGAGAGGAAAGAAACCTATTATTTATCGATTTAGAAAAATACACATTTATTCAACACGTTTTTAATTCACACGGACCCAAATTTAGAACACTCAGCATGCCTTTAAAAGGAAATGTTTCCACGCTTTAATAGGTTTCTCCTGGACGTAGGCTTTGAGCAAGTTTTCTAATTGCGGCGTGATTGTGGGCGGTTGCCAGTGCATCAGTGCCTGGAGGACCTGCGACGGATTCTGTCTACTCATATAAATTAAACTCGTAAACACAGCTTCCTTTATATCATGTGATACTGAAATACAAGAAAATAATTAGTACCCAAGTCTTTTCTATTAAATCCAGATTTTACTCAGTGCAAGAACTTGATAATATTTGTTAATATTATCATCAAACCGTTTTTAATCAATAAAAGCCGCACTATTGATATTTGTTAGTAAAGTCATTATTGTTTTAACACTAAGCGGCTTTCGCGAAATAAGTTTTTATTCCGATCTTTTTGTAAATAAGTGTTGACATAAAGTAATACTTACAATTATCATTATCTACCATATTAAGTAATTTGTTGAGTACTATCTCAGAATGCACTTTCATGTCACTGGGATAGGGTTTAAGCAGTGGCCCGAGTAATTTTATACAAAATATTTTAGTTTCCTTTGACGAGTTTTCATTTTCTATTATGGGTAGAAGGAGATTGTTGATGAAATTTTTTTGACACCACTTGACTCCCTGACGCTTGGCAAACAAAATCATTGCAATTCGTAACATATTCATCTCTGCTGGTTCATCTGCAATCAGTTACAATTTTTAAACCTGATATTTTATTTCTTTCTTCAGTTACAGACTAACTTAAAATTTATAATTATTTATATAAGCGTATGATAGTAAAAGCTTAAAAATTCTCTCCAATATTATAAAGACAAATGATTTTGTAGCCATACACACAATGGAAATCCGTTTACATTTATATTACCTTTTATAGTCTTTATAGAATCGCTAATCATTTCCAGAATTTTAGCCTGGTTCCAGTCATTGAAGTCATAGAAGTACTTCTTATTTAAAATCCACCGAAGGTCTCCTACCCTGTTTAGTTTGTCTTGATCACATTGGTAAAAATGGAGTAGATAAACTATGCATTGAACAAGTGGCGATTTCGCTGAAAGTTACAAAGACACGATTAAGTAAATAATTATATTTAGGGAGAACTCCTAATTTTATTAGAATGATACTTACCATGAAGCATGTGTGCCAAGGGTAAAACATGCGACCAAGTACTTAGGCACTGTTTTATTAGGGGAAGCGCTTTAAAATTTAAACAATACATCGCGTCCAATAAAAACGTTCTTAAGCGATTTTTCAAGTGGAAGATCCTACAAATCACTGCATAGAAATGTGATAGACTCTCGATTGTATCAAAATTTGGGGACTTATTCAGGCAAAATAAGGCAAACTCTATATTTGCTAATACTTCATTAACCATATTGCATTTGGTTGTATTCAATTGCCTTATAACATACAAAGTGTAGTGCTCGTTTTTGGTCATGGGTACCTGTCCGGTTACTTTGTTATGTAATTCTAGTTTCCTAGCTGGATCTTGAAGATGTTTCATAATACCAGCTATTAATCCCGTTCTATTAAACCTTTTTAAATCTTCAGCGAGGTTGTCCAGTGTCAATTGAATCTTATCGGACGGTATGTCTATAATATCAGTTAATGTCTTATCTATCCTCTCACAAACTGAATTTCTAATTTTATCTGAAATAGATTAAAATTATTATGCAAACCATAGTATTTAGATGAAATGTTTAAGCTATGAAAACAATAACATATAAATATACCTGATACTTTACACGCAGATGTTTTTACAATATTTTTTCCATATTTATTTATCATTTTGCAAATTACACTATTACTAAATACTTGAGTTTGAACAGAACTGTTAGTTGTCTGACCCGATTCCAACCAACCCAATCTTTCCCTGCTGAGTTCAGAAAGTTGTGATTTTCCTATTTTCTCCTCTTTTTGGATTTCTTCATTATTCAGCAATATTGCTGGTTCAGTATCTAGGTTTTCACTATTAAGGCTTAAATTTTTATTTTCTGATGATCTAGTACTTCTTAACAATCGGTTACTTGAATGTTTTAAGAAATTTAATGAAGGCCTTTCTCTTAGTTTTCTTTTCTTGATAAGGCTTTGCGACATAGATGTATCACTATCTGAATTTTCTTTATCATTTGAGGATTTATTTATGTTTTCCTTTGCACTGGTAAATAGTTCTAAGTCATCGTAATTTATTGGAAGTGATCTTTTTTCATTTGAAGATTTTTCGTTAGTTTTAGAGCTACGTAACAATCTTTTACAACTAATATTAAAACTATCGGAAGTAAGACGTTTACGTCGTCGCGTAGTTGCTTTAGTTTTACTGGGATTAACAGTATCGTTTTCATCCGTATTAACTAAACTCATAGTTTGAACCGAGTCATTATTGTTGTTTTCTTGAACAGCAGCACAATCATTACTAGGTGGATTTAAATCGATAATCTTATCACTCTTTCTTTTTAAACCTGCTTCTTGTTCATGGCTAGTTAATTTGGATATATTGTGTTCATATTTCAATGGAGTATAATCAGGATATTTTTTATTTTGAATTAACAGCACATTAGTTTCATTTCCTTCTTGTGTATCTTTTAATGTTGTAGTATCCTTCGAATTTGTGTCGCAAGATTTATTTTCAATTACTTTCTTTTTTATGTCTGTTGTCTTTGAGGTTTGTACCTGTGTTTGTTTAGCTATCTTTCGTCTAAAAGTCCTGATGTTTGATTTCTTTTGAGATTTTAGTTCAACCATTAACTTTAACGCCTTGTTATATGCCTCTTTATTCTTTAAGATTTCCATAGGTTTATTTTTTACGTCTTTCTTAACAAATGGAACTAGTGGCACTCTTTTAATTTTTCTATTAGGCGATATACTTACAGCTTTTATTTTACTCTTAGATATTACTTTCTTTTTAAATCTGTCAAGCTTTGTTAATTTACGGGGCTTTGATCTTGCGCTAAAAGCATTCTGAGAGAGATCATACTTACAACGCCTTAAATGATCTGATGTTCTTTGAAGATAATTGATGTCTGTTACAATGTCACAATTTTTTTCCTTATGTAGAATCTCCAGTACATTATCATCTTCTGGGATTCCAAGAGACTCTTCAAATTGGTGTTGTTGTAAATCAACGTCTGAACTGGACGTATTTCTCTGAGATTTATGCTGTGGGGATTTATCAATAGAAATCAATGATATAGGATCATTCTCAACTTCATGTGCAGCATCAAAATCACTTATGTTTGAATCTTCATTAATTGTCATACTTTCGGGGATAACATTATCAAGGTTTTTACTTGGTACAATAGAATTATTATTTTTAAGACAGTTATCCACAGTTGCAAAATGGTCCATATTCTCAATTTGATTTGCAAGATTGTAGGAGTTTTTGTTTATTAAAAGACTTTTAATGAGCATTATTTCTTTACAAAGGTTATCAACATTTGCTTGTAAAGCTTTATTTTCCTCCCTAACTTTAAGAGCTTCTGAACATGAGTTATGTTGTTGAACTGTTTCCTTATGCAATTCTTCTTTATTTTTACGAGAGTAATCCTTCATACGTCTAGGAATTGGGCTGATTGCTTTATGTTGTAATCGCATTCTATTGAGGATCATTTCTACTTCACAATCAGTAACTCTATCACATACTGGCTGCTTACTATTTTCCTTTTCGAAATATTTATTTTCTTGCGATTTTTTTTCTATTTCTAATTCACTATTAATGGATAAAGTATTAAAGCTCATATTGTGCACTGCACTACCATTACAGTTATCAACTAATTTATCATTAGTACCACTGAAGTTAATGGGACTGGTACATTTATTTTCCATATCAACAGTCTGATGAACAGGACTTGTACAAGCATCAATCAATTGTGGTTTTTCTTTAATAGTCACTATTTCATTACTAAAGGGAATATCTGTGACAAAGTATTCGGGACTCTTTAATGTGATATCATTCACATTTTTCTCACATAGTAATGCTTCATCATCAAAATGTACTGGACTAGGTATTATATGTTCTTCTACTATTGTAATTGGGCTTGTGGCAACATCAACATATTCAACACATTTGTCAACAACCTCGTTATCTACATCTGGACTGTTTATAAATTTATCTGATAAAGCCAAAGAAGATCCCCTGCCTGTATCTTCACTAACAATCTCATTGCAATAATCATAATTTTCATAGTCTTCAACAATGTCACCTGCAATAAAGGTTTTGTGTCAATGTTTATCTATTATACAAAATTCTTTATACAATTAGTTAATGTACAAAGCTTACCTTCTTTCAGTTTAGTGGTACCATATTCATTTGAATTCTTGATAGCATTTACCTTCACTTCATCATCTACTATCTTCACCTAAAAGTAGATAACTTTTTACATTTTCACACAACTGCTTGATTAAGATAAATTTACAAAAATTATGTATTAATTAAATTACCTCTTTGTTTAATATTTGGTGGACTGGTGACCCAATGGGGCTGTCATCAAAATTACCTTCATCACAACTGTTATCCGATACCTCACAATTTTCTTTTTCATCTTCATATTTATTAAGTATATCTTGAATTTGGTTTAACTTTTCTGTAAAAATAAAATTAATTTAAGCCAGCCAGGCAAATAAATGCTTTGACCCTACTTTTCAATAATATATTATCTCTATATCAGATTTTTTAAGGAGGAAAAAAGGAAAAATTCCAAGCATATACTTACTTTTCTTAAGAATAACATCCCTCAGCCATCGAATATCACGTAAGTAAGTTTCACGTTCCCTTTCAAATGAAGCAAGCTTTTTATGAAATTCTTTTTCACTACTTTTTTCTAGTTGCTTTTCTAATTTTAATCCAGCTATCTCAGTTTCACTTTGCTTCACAAGTGACTGAAGAAGATAAACAATATAATTTCATTATTACTGTATAAAGTTTGGTAAGCGGTAACATTAAATATAATTGTAATACAGTACACAAATATGTACTGTATTAAATTACAGAAAAAAAATGTATAAATAACTAACAAACCAACATTTTAAAATAAACAAAAAACTTTAAAATTAAAAACTCATATACCTGTAATTGACAAGTATGTGACTTCATAGCTTCAACTTCATTATCCAAATAAGAAACATTTTTTGCTAAATCTTGATTTATCAATCTTAGCTTCACTGTCTCCTGAAATAGATATTAATTAAAAAATTACTCTCACTTATCAAAGTGTAAATTATAAAATTTTATAAAAAAAATTAAAATTTACACTGCTTAAAAGTATCCTTTCAAGTATGCATCAAGGTTTTAGCAGTCATAGGATTTTTAATATAACTACAATAATAACTATAAGAAACTAACCTTTTCTAACTCTGTGTATTTTTCATAAGTTACATTATAGTCAATGCAAGCTTGTCTACACTCCTCTTTTGCTGCTAAAAGTTGACTCTCCGTTTCTTCAAGCTTTTCTCGTTGCTTATAAAATTTTTGCAGCAGTGCACTAAATAAAGATATAGTTAGTATATTTTAAAAGCTATTGTAAATTGTAATAATGCTTATAATATAATAAGGGCATAAAGGCATGTACGGGTCATTGGAAACACTTTTCATAATATGCAGCATAACACCAATTAATGTAAAACAGTGTGCCAAAATAGAACGAAACACGATCATGAATCCTGAAACTATTTTTTAAAGATGCTTTCCAAAGTGTAACATTACTTATTTATGGAGTGCAAAAAATTTAATTTTAAGAATAGTAAGAGTTATTTAATAAAATATACTCACTTGCTTGCTACAATCTTCTTCTTCACATTCAATATAGACTGTCTTTGTTTATCTGGATGTGGAACCTTCTGTAAAGTCTGTAAAATTTAATGATTTGATACTTCTTGTTTTGGTTTTTAACATAATAATATTTACTATAAGGAGAGATACCAATAAAAATAAGTATGCAAATTTAAAGGGATTTTTTGTATCAAAAACTCCAATTTTAACATTAAGTGCAGGAGCAATATTAATAATAAACAAGTAAAAATTACAGAAAGGACAAGTAACCTAACTCACCACATCGGTTGTTGAAGATTGCAAAAGGTTTAAATCAAAATTGACCACTGAATCTAGGTGCACATTAGCCATCATGTTTAAAAAATATAAGCTTTTTAAATAAGCTAAATTACAAACACATTACATATTATTAGCTTGTTAAAACATTTTAAAACACCGGGAACGCGGATTTTTTTGGTATATTATTGACTGTATACATGCTGTACATTGTAGTTCCGTCAATATGTCAATTTAGTGACAAGCACCGATATAATGAGATGACATTGACAAGGTGCTATTATTAACATGACACTGTCAAATAGTTATGCTTCTCATTTTTTTTTTTACATTTGTGGCAAGAAGAATTAACTATTTGCCAGTGTCATGCTTCTCATTATGGAGAAAAATACGGTATTTTAACTAATGGCAATTTTTTTTTACATCAAAACAACTTATTAGTATTACATGTCCTATACAGAAATTATATCAATGTCAACAATATATATATTCATAGTAATTTAATGAAAATAGACTACATTATAGTATCTTAGAACGTGCTTGCCTTCAAGTTCCCGCCAAAAATCTAGCACTAATGAATTGAAGAATACAGATATAAAATATAGACTATAGTTTAGACAATAGACATATTGTATGTAGTACACATATCATATGATATATGAATTTATATTTCATTAATTCTAATTCTACTTCTGTTAAGAATAATCTTGATTTGCAAATAACACTAACATCTATATCTATACAATAGTCCGATAATTCCTTCTGAGAGTGTTAAAGTTTTAAGCGGATTATTGTGAGTTTTATAAATTAGACGCGGCTGATAAAGAGATCTCAAGGTTTGTTTAATTTTTTATCCAAGGTGCGCTTCTAAAGGAATATTACTTAGTGGTAATTATTTAAACGACCTTCTTTAAGATGTTTTTCTTCTAGCGAAGCATCATTAATACATAGGTATAATTCTTACGTACTTTTGGATACATATTTATATTGAAACTTGTTCACTGGTCAATATCAAGTTCAAGGTGTTTTTAAACAAAACAGGTACAACCGTTATTCTAAATATTTATATGTCTGCGTATATATTATATTTACGAGTTTATTAGATGATACATCTATTAAAATTTAAGGGAACATAATATTTAGATATTTTTGTTTGGAATAGTTTTTATCTTAAACAAAAATCGCAGGTTTTAAGTTATTTAATTAAAACTCATAAAATCAATTTATGTAACGTGTATAACTAAAAATATTTTTATTTCAAGATTTTAAAACTTTCAGTATGTCTTTGAGATAGATATGTAGAGTTAAGTTTTTTTGTAAGTCTTTGTGTTTACCACACATATTTTTTTCAGATGAGGCTTACAATGGGGGACTTCAAGCATAATAGCTTGTATGAAAGAGTTAACAAGCTACTTGTCTCATACAATTGGAGTGATTGCAAGTTTTTAGTTTGCGAAAAAGAATTTCAAGCACATAAATTAATATTAGCCACTAGCAGTCCTGTATTTGAAGCCATGTTTTATGGGCCCCTATCAACAAACAACAATATAATAATAACTGATATAGATCCTAGCATATTTCAACTGTTGCTGAATTTTATTTATACAGATAAAGTGGATATTAAATCGATTGAGGAGGCATATGATTTACTATATGTATCAAAGAAATACTTATTGGATACCTTGACTGATATTTGTTTAGAATACGTACAATCTGCTATGAGTGTTGACAATGTTATATACATTCTTAATATACCAAATTATATGCAAGAAAATAAAGTGGTTGCCTCTGCTTTGAATCTCTTTTGCCGCCATGCATATTATTTATTAGATAATTACAACTACGATATTTCTACAAGTTTGTGGAGGAAAATTTTAGAGAGTGATGAACTGAATATAAAGGAAAGAGATTTAATTAAATTATTATTTACATGGACATTATGTTACAAGGAAAAATACAAATCAACCACAGACATATATAAGAGGAGAGATATTTTAATTAAGACAGGCTTATTCTCATTATTAAGATTTTATGCTCTATCCAATGACGACTTAGATGCCATTGCCAATGATCCATCAAATATACTCTTACCAGAGGAGATAGAACATATTAAATTTAAAATAGGTAAATCAGAAAACTATATCAAGTATAATGATCAAATATGTGCATCAGCAATACCTCGTAAGACCATTGATATTCAGTGGCGTCTCTGCCTTCGTGCTTTAATCAGATCTGAATCTCCTATAACAATTGATTCTCACAATTATTGTGCTCATACACGATTGAAAGCTGATAAGTCATTTTTCTTATATTCCCTTATAGTGCAATCTCGTGTGGCACCGGTAAATAATTTCTGTAATTCTATTAAAATATATAATGAAGACCTAATAATCTCAGTATTGTCTGAAGACAACAACAGTATTATCAAGAAGATTACTTTTAAGAAAGATGTTGAATATGATTGTAATGTTGGTATTGACTTCTCAGAGCCCTTGTGCTTAAGAAAAGATCAATGGTATACCATCAAATTTGTTTGGCCTCACTTGTCATCATATGATACACATTTATATAGTGTGCAAAGGAGGGAGAAGAATTTGAGCTACATGTCGCTGTGCAATAATATCATACAATTTGAATTTGAGGATTTGCCCTCTAAATGTAATACTGGTGGAAGTTTACTTAAAGGGTTTAAATTTTGTTTGTAAATTTAATTTCGTGTTTAAATGTGGTGAAATATAATAATAAAAATCCCTGTTCCAAGCTTGTATCAACATATAAGACGAAAATTAATTTATATAATTATTCTTCCTTATAGTTACAAAGATTAAGTAGTTCCTAGAATTTAATATATATTTATGTATAATTTTAATAAAATTTTATTTCAATTAACTCTTTTATTTTAGATTCAAAGCAAGTACAATAAAACCTGTTCCGTGTTACTTCAGTAATATTTATATATCTTATATACAATTACTAATCAAATCAAAAATATAAATATACTTGAAAGAAAATTTTAAACAAAATAAACAAAAACAGCGGTAACTTTTTGTAGACATAAGTACCTGATGTTATTACTGAGGTGGACCTTCAAATTTCTTAGTTAATAAAACAACTCGTTCAGCTTCCCTAATACCGCTTAATCGTGCACCGTGTGTTGTCGCGAAATATCCTGGTACTGTCGCTTCCCCAGCGAAGAGTATTATCGGCGGCTGAGAATCGCACGGTCCTGGTACAGGAGTTCCTAGTTCACATTGATGACTGACTGTTGAACAGCAACCCATATACGAATATGCCCCACAAAAATGAGGATCTGATGCCCAACGCGATCTTAACATCATTTGAGGATACGGTAGACAAGGATTGCCCGTGAATCTTCTTAGTAATTGAGTGAGACCTTCGGCCACATCATTATCTGGCATTGACTCCATTTGAGCAGCTTCTTGACCTGAAATCCAGGCGCATAAAACATGTTTACTTCCTGGCAATTCGTCGATCGCACAGACCCCTTTGCTCCAATCACATCTGCATTGAAGCTCTTCAGCCGACCATGCCATTTTTAGATTACCTTCATGGCAGACCCAAAAAGGCTCGGCATATTCTAAAAATATCTTATCACTCAAACCGAATCCCAAGCCGCAAATAGCTTCCAACTTGCATGTCGGGAGAGGAGGTGAAAATAATTTGTCTGCTTGGCACTTTAAACATCCTAGAGACATTGTTACGATGACATAATCTGCTGTCATTTCCTCGCCATCACAGCATTTAACTAATGTCCGTCCAGTGCCGGCTTGACCTTTACCCCATCGTATTACATTCACCGGTTTGTTATAACGGATACAATTGTCAGGTAGAGCTCGTATTAGTGGCGCCATTATTCCAACGTATCCTAAAGGAACTCTGACGCTACCTCCCGGTAATTCTATGTAGCTCCCATATTGATCTGCACTCACAAGAGATAGGTCATCTCCACAACGGTTTCTTAAGATATTAGTCAATCCGAACATTACCCTTGCTGCGTCGTACCTTTGGTCTTCAGGAAAGTTATGTAACTCCTGCTGTATTCTTAGTCCAAGAAAATTAAGTAACGTTCCATGCGGTCGTTCACCACCGAGCCTAAATAAGTTTGCTGCCTGTTGTTCTATTTGCCGGAAGGTATGATAAGCAGTGATCGTGACTGGCAAATCTACAGCTCGACCTTCACTTGTACAAAATAGCCCCCGAGATGCGTCCAGTCGAGGTAGTGGAGACTGCAAGAGCCGATCACACGATGCTAATGTGTAAACAGCGTTAGGTAAACAGGCTCCATAAATCCATTCTGCGCCCATTTCTATAACCGCGTCCCCTAGCCAACATGAATGTATCCGACCACCGGGTCTAAAAATAATAGTTATAATTAAATTACACTAAACATATAATTTGTCTAATAATAAGTAATTAATTATGGTAAAGATACCTTTCTTTTGCCTCTAATACAACAAAGTTTCTGATCCCACATTGCACAAGACGATGAGCTGCAGATAGGCCTGCAATCCCAGCTCCAACAATAATAACACGAGGTTCTTTACAATTAGGACCGATGCAGCACGAATCCAGGATACATTGCTCCTCCGAAGCACTCAGAGCGCTGGTTTTACGAAAGGGTGTCAGCCCGACATTATTTATTGCCAAGATGCTTTCCAAATGGGTATTCCATTTTTTAAGGAAGGTAGCAGGTATACGAGATAATTTCATTGTGTTATTCCAAATATTATTTAAGCTTCGACATCGGGAAGTTATACTAATACAATTTACCTACAATATTGCTTTTCTAAAATTACACTATAATTGACACTATTTGACATAATTCTGAAAGAAGATTTCGTTGTCTAAAAATTTTGTCAGCCATGTCTCATATACCTATTAAAGATATTAGATATGTATATCCTACTAATGCCTAATAGTAATAATGTATTGTAGTATCCAGTGCGTTGCGTTCTTTAACCTCGATCTTGCAAACGCATTAGCGACAAAGAAACAGGAGGAGGTGGAATAAAGTAATTTAAAATGAATATCTTCTTTTATCTATTTTAAACAGAACTTTATCAATATTTAACTATAGGAATTTTAAGACATATGTACTTATATGTCTTAATGAAATAATCAATTACTAAAATGCAACAACTTTTAATAGTTTTAACGATTTATTTGTAGTTATGAAATTATATAATCACGATTGTGAATACATTAAAACTACTAACACTAGAATTTACATCGTACACTTGTGTTAAACGTGCTAATTTTTTCTATTGAAACATTCTACCGACTCCTAAAACAGCAAACATCACATTGTCATAATAATACTTATGTCAATTTTACAACCTTATCAGGAACAAACATATTATATAACATTATCTATATAATTAAAAAGAATAGCAAAATAGAAAAACATATTTTAAATACAACTTGTTGGCAAGACAATTAACTACAAATAAATAGACTTCGATGTATTTTATAAGTTAGCTATCATCACAAAGCAATAAATAAGTTTGTATATACTTACTATGCAATAAAAAGTAAATTTTGTAGGTATACACTAATCTACTAACTAGCATAAACTATAACAATTATAATAATACTTCATCGACATCCTAGTGAAAGATCAAATTTAATCATTATTATTGGGGGTTAATGTATTAGCTTTATTTTATTTCGGCAAGAACATCATTAGCTGATGCTTGTATTTCCTCCCAAGACTCGCGAATGTCGGCCTCCTCAGAAAAGCGAGAGCAAATAGCGAATCTTAGAAAATATGAATCATCAATCTTTGATGGGACTAAATGGATCTTACCGCGCCCGTTGATACGTCTTAGCAAAGCTTCGTTAATTTCATTATTACCTTTGAGCCTGAAACACACGAGACCCATAAGAACTTCTTCGACTACTTCGAATCGGCTGTCTTCCTGGCAGATTTTTTCGAAGAAGTGTGCAAGCGAGATGTGCTTACGAATGTATTTCTGAAGATTCTCAATTCCATACAATCGCAGCACGAACCACAGTTTCAGCGATCTAAAACGCCGACCGAGAGGGATTTGCCAGTGTCGATAATCAGGCGCCGACCCTTGTTGGTCGTGTTTCAAGTAGAGTGGATCGACATTGAACGCATCGACAATCCAGCGAGGTTGTTTTAGCCACATCGCGGAACAGTCAAAGTTTACGAGTAACCACTTGTGGGGGTTAAAATTAAATGAGTCCGCTTTTTCTACGCCTTTCATTAAGTATCTGTTCTCGGGACAAATAAATGATGATCCAGCATACGCGGCATCTATGTGTAGCCAAACGTCATGTTCACGGCAAACGTCACCGATTTCATCCAATACATCAAAAGCGCAAGTTGATGTGGTCCCAAGTGTAGCCACGACCTGTAAACATACATTTATAAATTATACTCTAAAGTCAAATTTAAAACAGTCTGAGTCTTGAATTTCGATTTATTAAGAGTGTATAAAATAAGAAATAATAATATACCATAGAAATGGAAAATCGCCCTTGCGATCAACCTTGAACTTATGGCATCGCTTTGCCATAGCCAAACCAGGTTTTTAAAACTAAATTTTCCATTAATGAACAAAATTACTTAATTTAATAATAATTTAAGTAATTTGCTTACATAAAAAGGTATAAGGCCATTGTATATATCTTCTTTTATCGCTTCCCGCAATGTTTCACCTCTTAACCTCCTCTTGTTATCGGGATTTAGGGATCGCAGTTTCACGCCGCCGAGTAAACCAGCGCGTTCAACAGAAGAATGAGCTTGTTCTAAAACAAATTTTACTATTAGAATATGCTATTAGTTTGGCTTTATTAATCGACCCTCTTATCCAGTCAGCTTACTTCAAATACCAACCAAGTGCCGAAGTACGGACCAGCGCACGACTTCGTACATTGGATCCGCATCTTTGAATTTATTTTATTGACCCTTACAAATACATTCTTTTAATCATCTTTCAGTCTCATTAATGAACGAACTTGAAGAAGTTGATTCCTTGCCGAACTTCGAAAAAAGTCGGACACTCACTGTTACAGTATCCGACGAGTTTAGACATAATCTCAACGTCGGTCCACTCGGGATGTTTCTCTTTAATACGATGAATTGTTCTTGATTTTGCCCCCAGCAGGGCAACGAGCGTAGCTTCACTGGCTGTCCCCTGGATAACACCGCCAGCTTCCCCCCCAGAGCGCGCCAGGAATTCCTCCGGAAGACCGAGCATCTGACCCAGCCAATCAAGCATGACGACTTCGAGTTCCGTGCAGGCAGGACTTGCGATCTGTAACAAAAGATTTACTTTGAATACCTTTTAGTAAGTTTAAACCTACTACAGCGAATACGATAGAAGAGTAATTTATAGTCTATGTTCATATGTATGTACCTATGTTTCACTGTAGCATTTAAACTATAGAACCGATTTCAATGAATGAGGTATCAAACGAAACGCCATTACGTCAACAGTGATAAAGGCTAAAATATAAAGAATAAAAAAATATATTGTGTGTCGAATAAAATTTCATAACTAGAACTTAAGTCGGGGTTGTAAACTCTTCTCTTAACATACTCGTAACTACGTAAGGTAGTAACTTGTATCTACTCTATAGAATTTAATTCATTAACTTATAAATTACTGGTTCGCCTTCAAATTCACGTTCAATGCTGATTTATTGGAATTTATTCATAAAGTATGCAACGGCAATGCGGTAATTGATAATTTGCTTACCCAAGTAAAGCCAATGCAAGCGATCGCTCCGCTCAACATATCAGCTACGATGGAAGGGTAAGAGTTCGCAGTTGGAAAGTAAGCATGGAATCTGGGCGAATGCCAGTGCGTCACTCCTGACATCACCACTCGTTCGATATCAGCCATCACCGCTGTCCAGGGTTCTGGTTTTTCGGGCGCTTGTTCTGGCACTAGAGGCCTTAGGTAGCCAGGCTTGACAGAAGGAACCACTTGACTGGAATGAAAAATAATTATGTGAGGAAATTGTGTAAGGCATTCGCGGCCATTTTGTATCATGAGAATTTTGGGGTTCGAACTGCTTTTTGTCGATCAAAAGATCGAAAATGTTAAAAAAATAACGCAGAGCATTAAGATTTTTAGACTGTTCAGATTGTATCAATTCGGAAAGGTGTTATTCTTACCGGTCTCGTATGTTTTCAAGATATTCAGCGATGTAGTCCGTCATCGCTTTAGCGAACTCCTTAAATTCTTTAGCTTCCATTTTATCTGAAGAGAAAAAAAAAATGAAATATGTAGTAAATTTGAAGGCCTTCCTTGTAATTATTACCTATGAATACTAAACATGCTATTCTACTACATATATGACTACTTATTTGAATATATAGTCGGGTCCACAATGTTCTGTTGCACGTATCGACTAACAGCCATCAAACCAGAACGAGCCATCAATTTTTTTTATGGAAAACCTATTATGTGATTATAATAACATAATACCATTTTTTTAACAAATACATAATACCTATTCAACTTGTGAAAGGCACATGAGAATAGTAAAAAGGATTGCGGACAACTTCCGAGCTTACTTCCTCTGACCTTAAATTATTATTTTATAATAATATTATTATCACATCGCTCAATGTCGAGAGAACGGTTGACTGTTGGTTACTGGTTAGCAGTAGCGTTGCACAAGCGCAACCAAGTGGTGCGAGGTTACTCTTGGACCTCGACACTAAGTTACGTACCGCAGTGAACAAAACGCTATAAAACGTTGTTTGGAATTATAATCGGATACCTATGACCACTAACTTACGTATGCTAAACTTACAGACTCGATTAAAAGTGTTCGTAAGTGATCTTCAGAGATTTGCAAAATCTAGGCTAGACGAGACTGCTATTTTTTATTTTTATACATACTACAAATTATTAAGTTTTTTTTACATTTATAGTATGTACATAAATGTGGCGGTAAATAAACTAAATTTTATTTACTATATATCAATAAAACATAAACACCACGAATAAATGTGTATGAATGTTAAATTTTCAATGCAACAACTTTTTATAAAAACAATATTGCAAAGACATCTTCACTAAAGAAATAAAAACCAATATAAATAAGCATGAACCAATGACACTATATATTTTGTTGTATCGCGATCTGTACTATGCAATATAAGGGCTGATTGAAATCAGTTATGAGGGAAAAGTTACAGTCACTCGTTTATTTGCTAATGGCTGTTTGATATTTACGAAAATAAATATATACTCATGTATCAATGGTATTACCTAAAGGGGTTGGCTATCTATGTTAAGCCATAAGCCATTATGATTATTGATAGCAATTTATCAACACTTAAAAAGATATAAAACAGACAACTTCAGGTTAATATTTTAATACCAATAATCTAAGCTTATCGCAAAGATGTCAAGTTTACTTTTTATGTTGATACTAAGTACTGATTATGAAAATCATTTAGAACAAAGCGATTTGAATGTAATTAGAAAGAAATTCACGCAATAAAATGTTATTAGCAAAGTTAGGCCTCGACTATCTTTTTTTTGCAGGTACATTTTTACTCAATAAATCAACAATTTCTACGAATTTAATTGTCAAATGGTACACGGGTGTGAAGTAGGGCGTGTTCGTCTAAAATTAAACTGCGTTATCTTAACAACGCGAATATAGAGTTGGAGAGACCAAAGCTCTTTTCTTGTTTCTTTATATTTTATTTTATTCAAATATTTATATTTTTTCCATAACAAAAGCTATATTAAAGTCAAGGGACCTAATGTACCCTTTTCTATTAAAACAAAGTACACTAAATCAATTACAATAAAAATATAAATATTTCGGGCCCTCATAACCAATGCACTTCGTACATCATCAGTGTTTTTTTAATATTACATATAAAATTTAAATTACGCGACGGTTTTCCCAACGCGACATTTGTAGAGAACGGCGGGTAATCCCTCGATACCGCATATCACCCAAGTGAGATGATTACTTGGAATCCAGTTATATTTAACCAGTTTTTCCTTTACGTCAACAAATAATTTATTATGACAATAGTTCTTTCGATTTTTGAGAACAATTTGGAGAAGAGGTTAAGTAGAAGCTTAAAACAATGTGTCAGTTCTTTCAAATACCTATAAAAAAGGGTGGAAATATCTTTCAAGTTAAAAAAAATGAATGAGACCCGAACCCACAAGTGTTCTATGGTTTGTCGCTTTTACGGACTGAGCTACCGTTTTAATTTATATAAAGCTGTCATGTGAAATAACGTGCAAAAAAAAATGTTTCAATACCTATCTTGTTTCTAAGTACTAATTGTTCGTGTTAAACCTAGAGCCTTGACAGCTAGACATCAATTGAAATAATCACTTCTAAGTAAAACATTAATATTTGCACTCGTTTGTTTCAGAGATCAGTTGAGATTTGTGGCGAAAAAAGCTACTTATTTAAGGGAATACTATATAGAATATTGAAATTCAATGTTACAGTTTAATTTTTGATAGGTTCCGTTCCATGATCAAGGCCAAAGTTTCGTGATTGTGATCGAATGTCAAAATTGATTACCGTAATTCCGAATTATTATAATATTCTGCTTGAGGTCAATTTAACATTATTAGACAGAACAGTCAGTAATTTAGCAACTTTTTCTATCAAAATTTACTTATTACAAATATTTGCATTCTTATTGACTTAAATAAGAAATATTTTGTAAGAAAAGAATCTCGCACAAAAAATCAAACTATATGCAATGTTACGGAATTCCACCTTTAAAAAACTAAATTACTTCTTTGTCTTCTAAACAGCGAATTTACGATCAAAACTCCGAGTGCACACAATAGGAACCGCAACAGGTTATATCAAAAGTTTAAGATTTAATTTATTTAATATTCAACGAGTAATTATTCTAGCACTTACCTAGGTGTTAACTGGTCACGAGAATTCCTAAATCTAATATTGATATACAAGATGCGATATCGCTAACAGGATATTGTATTATTCAAGAGGCCCCTGCCCACAGTAAATCACGGTTCGTTCTATCAAATGCTTTTCGCGCACTACGCCCGCCGCCGACACTCTCGAACTTATATATTCGCTGGCCGTTCAGTCAGCTAATATCTATAGGATGTTGGATACACGCCGTGACGTAAAATGCACAAAATGTTATCAAAAAGAGAACTCGCCAAATTTTTGGTATCAATATTTTAAGGGGATTGATGACCAAATGTTTTTTTACGCGCCGTGACTCTACAGGTCTATTTACATTTACAACGTTTGACTAGGATTATGGACATTAGCACTATATTTATTTGATACCGTAGCTAAAAACCGTTTTAAAAATATCCGAATTTAATCTGTCTGTCTAAGTTATAACCGAACTAACAAGTATACATTTTAAAATACCTACTTATTATATAACTTCAATAGATTGCTAAAAGTATGTGCAAATGGAGTGTTGAGAGGATGTGTTGGTTTATAAGTCCCGTAAAATAACGATATTATATAATATCTTCGGCTGAGAAAAAACCTTTTCTTTCGCTTATCGCACAATCTTTTTCCTGATTGTATTTTCTATGATAAATTTCAGCTTTTTATTATATACGGATCATGAAATAAAAGCGTATGCTGTATTGAACTGGTTTTCTTTTCAACCTATCATACAATATGATTTTTTTCCGGTTAAATCACAACTAATTTTAAGTTCACTTACCCATCTTTAGCGTTGATTGTAGATCGTAGATATAGAGAATAATATTCAAAACAAACGACTTTGCTAAAGCCCCAAAAAGGTTAATTCAACACTTGTGCGTCGCGTTGCACACAATGCACTAACTTATTAAAAAACTAAACTCTTATATTTATATAGTCATTTATGACTCTAGCAGTCATAAAAATGACGTCTGAAAATAGCTTTCATTAATAAATGAGAGCACGATAATGTTTCCTGGACCTGTTCTAATAATTTTGCCAATTTAATTGAAAAAACCCTAATGATTTTCTCGTTATTAATGATGGTACTTTTATGTGGTGAAATCATCGTTAATATTTTAAATCTTTAAATATCTAATGATTGGTCTTTCCTCGAAAACTAATAATCTATAGTATGCAATAAAAATTAAAAAACTGTTTGACATATGCTAGAATATTTAGAAAAAGGAATAGGAAAGTTGAAATACTGCACATGAGGGTCAATTATTAGACATTTCTTAATTTTTCATTATAAAGAAAATCGGTATGATCTAGTATGAGTAAGTATGCGAGTTAAATTATAAAAAAAAACTATACATAACGTATAATACAATATAAAAATATAAGCACAATAACAAGGATATTTGTTAAAAAAAAACTTTATTAAAAGCTGGCCATCTTTTTTACAAAGAAATAGATATCATACTTGGTTATTAACTTTTTAAATCAACGCTCAATATAACCTAAAATCTACAAAATGAATATAATGAAACAATCTTTGTATTTTAGTTGGTATATCGTTACTTGTATGATTTTTAATGTGCATACAGAGTAGGTGTGACCGGAACAGATAGCGGTTTTATTGAAGATTATGGAACTAATAATTATTTATTATAAATTATAACTAAGTACAATAAAAATCAGTACGTTTTCCTAAATTGAATGCAATGTGCAAATAAAAATGACCGCGTATTGTAAACGCCCATATAAATAGTGAATAGTTTTAATATCCTACCAGATTGCTAATGAAAAATTATGGCCTTCGAGTATCATATAATTATTATGAAAAGAACATATTGTCTATAGAGGAAGTTCGCAGGTTTTCTTGATTTTATCATAGAATCGCATATTCAATTGAGAACGCCTGCCGGTTTACAGGATGTGGAATGAGTAACTCTCCATTCCACCCCACAGTTGCTCTCGAGTCTTGGTACTCGGGGAATTGACTCAATTATCTAAAAGCGTTGACTGAAAATCTGGGACAATGTTATTTTATCAAGACACTATTCAATATAATAAAATCATCTATTCAACAGTCGTAGTTTGCATATGAATACATTTTGCAATGATACTTGTATCAGGCAAAAATTTTGAATGAAATTTAATGTTTATACGTAAATAACTAATAATAATAATAATTAATTCACAAACAAATAATTACATTGATTAACAATACGATGTTTAATAATGAAGAGTTTTCAACGTAGTCAACAAATTTACAATGATATTTTCATTCGGCAAATCCATCAATATGTTTATAATATGTACACTTAAGTTTTATTTATAAGTTAAATAAATATATTATAAAAGTTTAATAGTTTTGGGTAATGTTAATACAATTTCTATTCTACTGTATAAAAGTAACTCTTCCCAAAACCATTGTCAGTTTGGTCCAACGAAAAATTTTAATAAATGAATAATTCAAAGAAAATTCTTTTTCCAGTAGCTGAGCCCTGAAAGGTAGCCATATAGTATAAACGCATACCTATACATAAAAGCACTTGTTGCAAATGTAGGGAGGTTGGGTTACCATGACAACTGGGGGAGTAAAAGCCTGTCACCCCCTACCCATTCTCGGACAAATCATGAGTAGAGTGGGTCTGCGTCACTGGATAATTATACTTCTAAAGCCTTTGATGAAGTGGGATTATGTGGAGCTGTCATGGACATAAAGCCAACGAGCTGTGACTTTTGCTATCGAGAGATATATATATGATACGCATAAAGATAATATATGTATGTAACAAATATTTATATCAATTAAGAAATGTTTTAAGAAAAAATAAATTCAACAAGGTTAATTATGCATTTCATTATTGATGATGTATTTTTAATTCTAATTATTACTAATTATTTATTTAAATTTAAAATAATATGATGCCCAACAAGGTAATAAGTCAATGCAAGCCCGTTTCCTCTACTTCGAGTGTGTAGACTTACTTCTGTGTTCGTTTTACTGCTAAATTTTATGTACACAAGAAGGATTTTTTTGACACATATGACCAATTTACTAGACTAAAAGTAAACTGATTCCATAATTTTTCCAAACTATATTAATTTTTTTCTAATTCTAGGCACTAGACAAATATTTTTTTAGAAATGCATATGGCGACACTGATCAAACTGCAGACGTCAAAAAAGTTTTAGGTCCAAAGCGAGTCCAAAGTCTGAGTCCAAATTTCTTGATTTATCGAGTGACTTTTTATTTAACGAATATTTTTTTAAGAATTGTATTGTTTTATCATTTTTTGGAAAATGTCTCATAGTAAAATGTTTAACGCTCTTAAAATTCTAAAACAGCACAATAATAAAAACTTTCTGAAAAGTAAGTTATTTGGGTACTTGTAAACTTTCTTTTTCTCTTCCAGTGTATCATGTCTGTTTTACAATTATGTATGTATATGAAAATTAACTTATATTTCAGGACTGCACGGGAGGACTTTCGCGGCCGCTGCAGCTTCAAATGTCCATACCAAGTGCAAGTTAGTTAATGGTGTCTATGTTATAACCCTGGACTCTCCAAATGTTAAGGTACATTGCTTCCACATAGCGCTATGTTTTAATTATTACTTATGATTAATTTATCCAAAAATATTTTTTGCTTTCTGATTAATAATTTCTTTAACACATTTTGTATTTTGAAATGATGATCTTTGTAATCGGTTTTAAACATTGACTGCATACAAAGTACTTCAAAGTAAATCAAATTTTGCTTATATTCATGAATAGAACCTAGAACTTTATAAAATGTAGAAAAATCACTTTTATTTTTATAACATTATATACTATGGGTTCACAATACAGAAATAATAGTGAAGCAGGTACTATTTTCACATTTTTAACATAATAAGAGAACCATATACTTCTAGGTTAATTCACTTAATTCGGCGGTCATTAATGAGGTTAAAAATATTGTAAATGAAGTAGAAAGAAATCCATCAATTGAGGCAGCTGTGCTAATATCTGGTAAACCAGGCTGCTTCATTGCTGGTGCCGATATAAGTATGTTTGAGCAGTGTACAACAAAAGAAGACCTTGTGGAATTATCGAGAGATGGTATGTAGACTAAATTACCTATAATTAACTATAATAAATGCATTTTATTAAATAAATAGTCATAAACAAATAACACTAATAATATTTTAGAGTCATTTTAAATTACTTACAAAAATGGTAAAAGTCAACGACCAGAACAGGTTACAAACATTTAATATCCCATTATATGTGTTAATTTTTAATATTATACCTAGAATAATTGTTTATAGGCATGTAATTTGTAATTTGCATAATGCAGCAATGATGTTTTGTTTTGAAATATTATTTCTTACTTGAAGAATTTCATGCATAATGAAGTTATGTTTGTAATAACTTTAGTGCACACTGGCTATTTTAACATCTGTTTCCTTATTTCTAGGACATGTAATTTTCAAAAAAATGGAATCTCTTAAGAAACCTATTGTGGCTGCTATACAAGGAAGTTGTCTTGGAGGTGGATTGGAAACTGCTTTAGCATGTCACTACCGTATTGCAGTCAAAGACAGCAAGACTGCCTTTGCACTTCCTGAAGTTATGTTGGGACTACTCCCTGGTGGTGGTGGCACTCAGCGGTAAATTTAAAAAAATAGATGATTCTATGATACATTACTTTACAAGTTGGTTAATTTATTAATTACTTAAATATTATTCCCAGATTGCCCCAATTGACATCAGTACCTACAACTTTAGATCTTGCACTGACAGGAAAAACTATCAAGGCAGATAAAGCTAAGAAATTGGGCATAGTAGACTTGTTGGTGTCTCCTCTTGGACCTGGTAATTTACATATCTTACCAAATAAATTCTAGTCATGACTCCTGTGATTAGATTTCTCATAATTAGTAAGAAGTCAATCACTAAGACTTCTTCCTCAGCAACTCTAATACTCTTTCAGCAATTGTATAATTTATCAAACTCTCTTTAAATTAAAATCAATGTTGCTTCCATTATTTACTAAAATTTATTATGTCAGGTATGTCCAATCCCCAAGAAAACACAATGAAATACCTAGAAAATGTAGCTGTTCAAATAGCCAAAGATATTGCTTCTGGGAAAATTAAGACAGAGCGGAAAAAAGGTATGATGGACAAGATAATGGGCACAGCCATGCAGTGGGACTTTGTTAAGAATTTCATTTTCAATAAGGCTAAGGAGCAGGTCATGAAGGCTTCACGTGGACTTTACCCAGCTCCTTTGAAGGTAATTGTAGACACTTAACTTTTCGCGGTTATGGTTATTAAAAAATTCAATATGTGATAAAATGTTATTTGCATTTAACTTTAATGAAGAAATATCTTAGTAAATGGAGAAAAACAAATGAGTTATACTACATACTACTAAATAAAATTGCTTGTGTATTGTGGTTAAGACTGATTATAAATAAATATCATAGTTTATAGCTTTGTCAGTGTCAGTTTTATCAAGATTTATTTTATTTTACTTGATTGGCACTAACAAGATTTTTTGGAAACTAGAGACAAACAACATAGAACCCTTCTTTTTTGGAATTATTTCCCTCTCCATCCTCAAATTTATGTATATACAACTTTTATATCATTCCTCATGATTTTATGCAAAATATTGGTCTCCTAGATTTTAGAGGTAATAAGGGTAGGAGTTGATAAAGGGCCCAATGCCGGTTATGAAGCAGAGGCACAGGCATTTGGTGAACTAGCCATGACTTCTCAAAGCAAAGGGTTGATTGGTCTATTCAGGGGCCAAACTGAATGCAAGAAAAACCGATTTGGAAAACCACAAGTGGATGTTAAAACAGTGAGTAAAACTATTATAAAATGCTTATTACTTTAATAGACACATTGTGACAATGTGAATTGTTTTCTGAGTGAGAAGTATGTAGGTAAAATTTCAATGGAATTCCATAAATTGTGTGTGTGTGAGAATTGTTCAAAATCCCCGGGAAATTAAAAAAATATTTTTTTGGGCAGGGCACAGAAGTAATCAACTTGCCTATTATAGAACGGATCTATGAAACTGACACAAAAATGTATTCACCCCACTCCCCACGAGGGGGGAAACGGGATTTCACACACATGCACACATTATATATGTATTAATTTTTTTTTATATATTTGGAATACGTCAGTGTCCTCAATAAAACCTTTTCTAAGTTTTTTTACTTTAATAATGCCCTTTATTCAATATAGAACACTTAAAAGAATGTATAACTTGCATATGTAATTATTAAATAATGTTTCTCTTAGCTTGCAGTTCTTGGTGCTGGATTGATGGGAGCGGGTATAGTACAAGTCTCAATTGATAAAGGCTACAATGTTGTAATGAAGGATGCAACCAATGCTGGTCTATACAGAGGTTTAGGACAGGTTCAAAACGGTCTTGCTAATGCTGTTAAACGAAAAAGGATATCTTCGTAAGTTTAAAAAGCATATACTGATAGAAATAATGTATAGAGACTTGTCTTTAGTAATTCTATAAAGGTAAAAAGTGAGTTTATTTGGTTAAAAGCGCTGATATCCAAACCTTCTGATTAAATTTAAAAATACATATTTTTCTGTTCAGTAGTATATAGGGTACCCAGATATATGTCTAAAAAACCGGGTACAGTTGTACTAAAGGTAAGAAGAACGAGAGAGAACTATTCCATTCGATTGAACTGTGTTGAGATGTTAAGCAATTGCGGTGATAGTAACCAACACATATTAATAATTAATAAATTAGTAAATAAATTTTACAGACTTCAAAAGGATAAATATATATCGAATCTCCTTCCAACCCTGGACTACGCAAAGTTTAACAACGCTGATTGCGTCATTGAAGCTGTATTTGAAGACATCAGTGTGAAGCACAAAGTGATCAAGGAAATCGAGGCTGTTGTGCCCAAACACTGTATAATTGCAACTAACACAAGTGCTATCCCGATCTCGAAAATAGCTGCTGGAAGCAGTCGCCCGGAGAAAGTAATAGGTAGGCATCTTCAAATATATTAAAATCCTAGTATTGTTTCCAACTGCGAATCCAGGGGGGAAGGGGTCAGGTTGTTGACCTCTAATTGGACATTGGATATTTTTTTATTACAAATCTCCATGTCGTTGTTGTTTGGTCAAATTAGATTCTCTTAACAGTAGTAAAAATACATTTCTTTCCAGGTATGCATTACTTCTCCCCGGTCGATCGGATGCAGCTCCTGGAGATTATCCGACACCCAGGAACAAGCGACGACACAGCAGCGGCCGCTGTCGACATTGGGTTAAAGCAGGGTAAAGTTGTCATCACCGTTGGGGACGGACCCGGCTTCTACACCACCCGGATACTTTCCACAATGCTCAGTGAGGCAGTCAGGTTAGTTAATTCTTCTTTGTAATCAAGGTATTTTAGAAAGCTTCAAATCATCATCGTACCGTCCATACGTTCGCGTATATCTATACTTCTATACTAATCTTATAAAGAGGAAAGATTTGTATTTTTGTATGTAACGGGTAAACTCAAAAAGTACTGGACCGATTTTAATAATTCTTTTTTTCTTAGAAAGCTACATTATACACTGAGTAACATAGGCTATATTTAATACTCGATTACTATAGACATATATAGAAATTCTTACAAAAACCAACGGAAGGCGTAAAAAAATTAGCCGTAAAATGTCTTTCTTCGCATACGCTGCGAAAAGTATTAGTGATAGGACAAAAAAATGTTCGACAATATTATAGAATATATCAATATCTACAAAAAACGTCGCGAGAGCATGTCTAACTACTGTAGTTACGTCGCTATAACTACTTTTTTACATTTAACAAATTGATAGAAATGCCGATCAAAATCAGACCGTGTTATCCATACCATTTATATTTTTTATCCAAATAAATAATTTACTATTCAAGACTGTCTCAATACCTGATGATTACTTTTTTAATTATTGAAATCGGACATTCCTATCAAAAGATATCATGAAATTAAAATAAAAATGCATGCCGGGCGCGGCCGCCACGCCGCGAGTAACTAATTCGAGGATAGAGGGGCAGTGGGCGCGAACGACATTGAATATTTCGATTTTTTTCTTTTTATGCTTCACTTAAACAGTTATTTTTAAAGCTACTTAGTTTTAGTAACGCTTTGAACTTGAATATTTTGTTTTTTATTGTTATTAGTTTATTCTTAAAATCCCTGATTAAAATAAATGTATCCTTCATAGCAATATGCCTAGACGAAAAAGGTCGCAGCTATCTAAGAATAGTTCCCAAGCGAGATTAGCAAAAGTTCGTCCTATCGGAGAGTCTTCTTGCTAAAATGATCGTCTGGAAAGTATTAGAGTATACGCGTCCCAATCGCGAGCCAGAGAATCTATCGTCGAATGTTCAGGTTCGTTTTGTAGAACAAAATGCAAGATCGTCGCAGCGACTTGAAGGAAATAGAGCTAGGAATTCGCGAACGCGTGCACGGGCCACTAACAATGAACGCTCGCACCGGCTCCTGAAGCAGCGAGATAGACCACGGTCGTTAACAGCAGCTAGGACGCGAAATACATTTTTTTTTCTAATTTAGTGATTAATGGTCGTTTTAATTAGCATGCTTATAATTTAAATATCTGTACTTATTTATGTCTACCCGTGCGAAGCCGGGACAGGGCCGCTAGTTTATTTATAAGTAGAAACTTTCACTGTTTTATGGGCACTTTTTTTCTAATGAGATAAACGGTAACTTGCTCTTATCTTGAGTACCCTTAGACCTTTATAGACCTTTTTTTCATAAGCTAAATACCCGCGCAATGTTTCTTACTCTAAGTTCTCTTTTACGTTTAGATTATTGCAAGAAGGATTAGATCCCAAGGACCTAGACAAAAGAACGAAAGACTTTGGTTTCCCGGTGGGTGCCGCCACGCTTGCTGACGAAGTGGGTATTGATGTTGGAGCACATATTGCGGCAGACTTGTCCAAGGTATGAAATGAGATGACAAAAATCAACTAGTATCTAATATTCATGTTTAATTATAATTTGTTTTTACCTGTTTAAGGCTTTCGCTGACAGGATTAGTGGTGGCGATCTAGGTATAATGCAAGACTTGGTTAAGTTAGGATTTATGGGAAGAAAAACCGGCAAGGGATTCTATGTGTACGAAAAGGGCAGTAAGAATAAGGAAGTGAACCTTGATGCCATGCAGATGCTCAAAGAGAAATACTCGCTGGAGCCGCGCGGTTCTGTTGCGCCAGAGGATCAGCAACTTCGAATGGTTTCAAGGTAACGAAAAAATATGATCTTTCGTTAAGTTGTATTAATGCGTGATCAACCAAAAAATATAAATAGTGTTAGTAATAAACTTAGATTAATCCTAGCCAAGTTCGCATTTCTTAAGTATAAGATTCCTTTCCCTACTTTAATAATGTTATACAACGCGTTGGCAGACTCGATTATTAGGTACGGGCTTAGCAGTTACGGTCGTACTTATAAAACATACTTGAATGACTTATATGCACTCCAAGTACTAGAATAAACTAAGAATAAACTCAATAATAATGAACGAGACGCTCTGTTTAGGTACTGTAGAATAATGGATATGCAGAATAAAATTAAATATGTCACAATATGTGAGGAGATCTGCCATACCTACCGAGGTAGCTACCTGCTACCGCGTTTTAATAATAAGCATGGCGAATGTGTATGGGATTACATTTTGCCTGATTATTCGAACAAAATGGAGTCAACACATACTTTAAATTACCTTATACGCAGGACAACTGTTAGGAAATAATCAAAGAGAATATATCCTGCATCAGTCCCGGAGCGCGACATTTTAATTCGTTAGTTAATGTAGTTTAGTAGAGTAAGGTAGTTAGTTAACTAAGGGTCTAGATATATATTGTAACCAGTGATCCGTAACAAATAAATTCATGCCCAGCGAAAATATGTACAAATGTATAAAGAAACAAAGTAAGTGAATAAAAAAAACTGTTGTTAGAAATAACCGTATTATAAATGTATACAGGTACTTATGTTGTCAATTCAGTATAAATTAGACAATGAACGAAAATACTTTGTTATATAGATTTTCGTAAATTTAATTATAATATTCTTAAGAAATGAAAAATATATGTAAATGTATTTTGCTATAGATTTGTCAACGAGGCTGTTTTGTCACTTGAGGAGACAATTTTACATAGTCCTCAAGAAGGAGATGTTGGTGCTGTATTTGGTCTTGGCTTCCCACCGTTCACAGGAGGACCTTTCAGGTAATTGTCATCCTGTTTTTAGGTAAATGATATAAAATATATATATATATATATATATATATATATATATATATATATATATATATATATATATTTTTTTTTTTTTTTTTTTTTTTATTATATTATATATATATGAGTTGTAATTTTTAATCCTTTTTATATGAAATTGCAGATGGGTGGACCAATATGGTGCTGATAAATTGGTAAAGAAGATGGAAGAGTTTCATAGTTTGTATGGAGCTCCATTCAAGCCAGCACAAACTCTCATAGATATGGCCAAAGACAGTTCTAAGAAATTTTATAAAAATTGAAATAGTACTTTAAGTGCATATAGTATATAGTGCATAGGGCCTTATGGAAATAATAACTTTAGGCTTATATTTGTATAAAACTGGCTTCTTAAAACTTTCAGACATCTTATGTTTACATCACACCACACTTCCTGTTTATTATTAGATAAAATTTTATTATATTGTGAAGTTTAATGTTATATGGCATGATTGACAGTAAGTTATATACAGTGTATTTTTGAACGTTTTTGATAAGTATTGTTAAGGGTACCTAAATCATTTAATTTATTTATTGTTTTCTTTTGTAAAAAAAACTTGAAATTATTACATATTATATATTTCAAAACTTTGTATAATGTTGTTTTATTAAGCGTAAATATATATTTCTGCAAAATGCAAATGAATTAGTATGCTATTATATTTGTCAACAAATAAAAAAAAGGTTTATAAAATTATTAGGTACTATGTACTAAATTTACAGACCAGGTCATTAAGAAAATAAATGATTGATATTGCAAATTACAAATGTTTTACATGTGTGAAAAGATAATATTATTTATACCTTATTTATCATTTAAAAACTAACAAACTACTATTCCTTCACATACAAAGTAAAACAATTCCTACAAAACTGATTCCAATCATATGTTTAAATACTGCATGTCGTGTCTGATATGAACAATTTTTAAGATTCAATTTATCTGAATAAAGCAATTTAACGATGATATATAAGTAAATAGTAAGATATATTTTAAATGGTGGGTTGGAATATCAAAATTTCGTCCAGATCACGAACCACCGTCCACAGTTAAAAAAGCCGTAAAGTTTAATCTATATACATTATGGACAACGTAAGTCATATATGGCGGCGTTTTTTTTTGAGTTAATATTCGTAGTCTGTAGTCAGAATGAAAATGTATTTAAGCTATATTGTTTGACATATGACTGAGACCCGACATATTACTTACCACTGACGTGACGTATTATATCTGTAATTTTATTTAATCGCAGCTAAAATTGACTTATAACAACTTTTGTATGACACTAAAAAGTAAAAATATAAATATCAAGCCTTATTAATGTTAGCTGTTTATTAGATTACAATTTTTTAACACATTTATAAGAAGTTACAAGAGCTGACATTAAATGTGAGAAGGTACCTTTATATTACTATAGTTACAAACTTATTTAAAAGTTATATACATAAGTAGTTAACCCTAAAGATATTTAGATAGATAAACTTTCCAAAAAATGATAATTAATATTTCAATAAAAATTCAACCGAAATGATAATATTTATTTAACCATGAAAAACTTATATTTTCAGATACTTTTCAAATGTAAACTCGAGAGACAAGACTAGAAAAAATATATAAAGAGATGGTTTCCATCCATTCCATTTTCATCCAAAATGTTACTAAAATTAGATTTTATTCACAATAAGAAGTTAAAAAGACTTCTGGAGCACGGCACCTATCTAACAATAATTCTTGTACTTGTGCCTGTATTTTTGTATTTTGAACTAGTAATAGTTCTACCAGCTACCGTTGAAGAGTGGAGTATACCGTACTTTATACATTATATATGTGCAACATTTCTAGTAATTAATATTTTAGGAAATATGATATATGGTATGTTTACTGATACCAGCATAAAGGGACAAATTTTAGAATCTTTCAATAAAAACGGTTGGACTTTCTGTGCAGTTTGTGAGTGCGACAGACCTCCAAGAGCATGGCATTGTGATAACTGTGATATATGCATTCTAAAAAGAGATCATCATTGCACATTTTTTGCTTGTTGTGTCGGTTATTATAACCAGAGATATTTTATATGTTTTACATTCTATATTTTTATTGCTATGATATATTCATTTTATTATAATGTATTGTATTTGACAAACTTTTTAAAGTGGAATAATGGCCTAGTAATAGGTAAATTTGTGTTTCCCTTGGCCAGTTTTGTCATGGATTATGGGGAAGAAAGTTTTTATGTATTTTTAGTAGAAATCAATTTTTTTGTTGGTATATTTACTGGCTTTCTCTTCTATTATCATTTTAACAATATTTTAAAAGGCAAAATAACCCCTGAAAACAAAGTTTCTTTTGATGGAGTTTCTTACCATAAAGGTATAAAACTAAATTTAATAGAAGTGTTTGGGTCTAGGTGGTATTTAACATGGATTTCTCCATATGTAAAAAGCCCATTGCCAGGGAATGGTATTGAATGGAATATTGTGGATAAATTGAAATAGCAGGAGGGGAATTTTATTTAGAGCTATTGTCTGATATGACAATTTTAATCATATCATGTAACTGTGGTAATTTATGTAATATGTGATGGGCAATATTTCTACTTATATGTATTTAATATTTATACATTTCACTGTCAAATAAAACATCTAAAGCAATTTGTCTCTATAAGTTGTTTTTTTTTATACCAACTTCTTTCAACTTCTATGTCAATTATATTATATAGGAATAAAAGTTCCTAAAAATGTCAACTATTTTTAACATTACTTCTTTAGAAGAACTCTAGAGTTTTCTCTTTTTTTTGCACATAACAAAAGGTGTTTTGTGGGTAAGTAAGTCCACTTCATTAATGAAGTCAATATTGTATGGTCAGGGCAGAGAGTACTGTGAAGTGAAAAGAGCGGATTGCGCAGTGCGCTAGGCGGGCGGGCGGGAGGCAGGGCGCGGGCGGGCGGCGCCGCACACCGCTGGCAGTTGGGGCGCAGGAGCGGTGTGGAGTTCACTCGGCCGCGCGCCACGGCGCGATATGCCCAGCTGATGTTTATTTATACCGCGAGCTCGGCGGAGGGCGCGCGCGGGAGGCCCTCCCCTCCGCGGCACCACGGTTTCGCGTGATGCAGCCGAGCGAGCTAACCGACACCGCGCACGCCGCTAGCGGAAACCCCCCGCAGCGTGGCCTCAACGGCGGCCGATTCGACTTTGACGATGGTGGCACATATTGTGGTGGTTGGGAAGACGGCAAAGCCCACGGCCACGGTGTTTGCACTGGACCCAAGGGACAAGGGGCCTACGCCGGCTCCTGGCACTTTGGATTCGAAGTATCCGGCGTCTACACCTGGCCCAGGTGAGATAGTGTCTCAGCCCGGGCCTCGCACATGCCCGAAATTCGCGTCCGAAGCCGCTCCAAAAATAGTCCGCTATTAATAATTGAGTTCGGTGTTTCGCTAGAAAACGCGTGTAACAGCGGTGAAAGTGCCCAATGTTTCAGTCGCACAGAAACTGTATATCTGCATATTGATCTGTTGTGCCCGATAATGATAAGATACTGATAACACTTGTAGCCTTCGCCACAATTTCCCAGTTGACATATCCATTGACCTGTTGTATGATGTAAACATATTTTATGCGTTCCTATACTCACTTAAGAAACAGGACTCTTGATAAAATGTAATTGAGGCTAATGTATTGCAGATGTTCAATATTTCAGTCACAAGAAATGACATGTGACTGTAAATTTAACGATTCGTTACAATTTTCTTAGCTCTTCTATACTAAAAAAAATACTTATGATGTACACCCATTATGCGACAGTCGCTTATTACGCCAATTATGTATGTAATGTATAAAGAGTACCTATTTTTAAAAATTAAATTCCTAAGAAAACTTACTGAATAAAATTGTACGCGGCTCTGACAGAATGCGTTGCTGTGCCAGGCTTGCCTACCTATTATTCTGAGCGGACGCCTGCGCTCGTGTAACCCACATTCGTCGGGTCGTTGCTCCATCAAAATAGAGAACCCCGACATTGTCATTTAAAAAAATAAAGCATTATGACCACCCCATATCTAAATGATTACACGCGTGAGGTCTTGGGTTCGAATCGGTAATCGGTCCGACGGGAAAAAGGAACCTGATCAACTACTTGCCTGTAAGTAAAACATGTCAATGAAACGGATTCCGAACATTTTTCTGCACAATGCTCAACACAGACGAAGCGGGAATTATCTTTTAGATCTATGACAGTTATGTAAACTTGGAAAACATTTACTTGTTACACATGATTAACGTGATATGGGAAATTTGTATAACAGTTACGGTTTCCTTGAACACAATATTAAGGTTTAGTTTATTGTAGTAAGCAAACAGATCTAAAGACCAGAATAGGTCTTCTCATAACATACTCAAACCTAGTTCCGCAAACACAAGGGTGCCTCTTAAGATATATCTTGACCTACATGACTACTATACTGCACTCCGTGAGCTTTGAATAAGCCTAACATGCTAAGGCCCCGTCGTGGGTGACCTCGCGTAGCGTTAAAGCAACTGCAGCATCAGATCTCAATTTTAATACCGGCAAACCAGCCTCATTTGCCCGTTCGACACTTTCAATTAAATCCCAAAAATCAAAATCTTTTCCGCGGATCTCTTGCGTACCTACTGCTAGAATTTTACTGTTGTACCGCGACAGGAAATTTCTAGAAACATGACTTTGGTCTACAGACGATTTCTTTTTCTACATAAATACAGCTAATGTGGTTAAATTAAAGAAACGTTTCGACCGCTACCGTTGCTCAATAGTTAAACGTGCCACCCCGGGAAAATTCCTTATGAACTTTTCGTTTATCAAATCAGAGAAGTCTGGCCATCTTGCCTAACTAGTTTAATTGAATATTTATTTGTTGTGTGACCTCTTGTAGTAAGTATATAATTGAATTTATATATATCTTAGATACACAATTGATTATTTTGAATAAATCATAAAATTGAATTGTATGGCATTTCCTTTTATACTTATACTATTAGGCGGTAGAGCTTGTTTGTTTATTTGGTAGAATCTCGAACCTACAGTGGGTATTTAATTTTTCTGCGAGAGCAAGGATTCTTTTAGAAAGTTTTAGTAAATATATCATGTTTTCAACTAAGATAAATTTGAACCACAGTGCAAACGTGACTGACAGATGAGCCAATAATATATTACATAAAAAAGTTTATAACCCAATCAGTAAAAATAATTCTTGAATATAAACTTAGTATTGCATATGTAATGAAATGTTCAGAAAAAGCCATCACAAGCGATTGCATATTTAACTCCTCGCTTTAAAACATCGTTAATTTGCGTTTTAGAAATAAATACATACCTACATGATCAGACAAAATCATTTTCCCTCTGACTTCTCTGTTGTAGAGTAGAAAGTCTTTGTATAAGTTACTGTAAAGATATTTTTTTTATAGTTGACTTAAAGGAAACTACGTTAAAATGTTACTATACTGTAATAAATAAATAAAATATAAACACGATAAATCATTCTGTGTATGTATGTATCAATTTATGAAAAACTGTATTTATCTATAGTGAGAAAAAAAATTTTGCTCTGTATATGTACAATAATCTGAGGAAACAAGGGCGAATATTTCGCGGTATTCAACATTTATTGTAGGTTTCGTCTAAGCTAAATTTTTACATTAAAATCGGATGCCCCTAAAAATTGTAATTTAAATATTAATTATTCAACGTCAGCAATAACTTTAAACTGTTTGTTTATGAAGTACGAAAAAAGAAATGTTTAGTTGCAATTTACTTTTTGTGTTTAATTTAATACATATAATTCCAATATTATTAAGCTGTGAAGAGAAATAAGTCACGTATAGCCACGTATGAAAGCTAGCAATGTGATATAATTCATTAATCTTACAACTGTACGCTAAATATACTTAAATGACGAACTGAATTCTGCGAACAACCAAACCGTTGTTAGCATTTAAGAAACATTCATGAGTAACGCCTGTTTTGATACACTATCAACATGGCTTAAACTACGCTGCTAGGTAATTCCATTAATAAACAAATAACTGTGAACATAAAACATTTGTATTAAAATTAGTCGCCCTTATTTCTGCAAGAATGTCCCATTTTAGTTCTTCATATCTTTCATTTCACAATTTGTCTGTTTGATGCTTGACAAAATATATACGCTATAATTCATTGAATTCAAAATCAAAATAGAAGACAATTTAGTTCATTATATAGTTTAATAATGTTATTCGTAGTTATATATAGCTTTAACATTAAACGGATAATGTTGTATCGTGTAAAATTTATTAAAATGTATATTTTTAGAATAATAATACGCTAAGCTGAATTCATACGAAAACACGATATAAAATTCATCTCTGACCTAGAGTAATTATGAATATAAGTATTAGTTAATTATTGCAATAGAAAGAACATTGTTGTCCTTGTATTATAGAAGAAAATCTGAAGAATAATGAAGCTACATACGTGCGTAAAACTGGTAAATTATATAATACAGTTGCCTAGCTCATACATTAATTAGAATTAGCGCTTTGATTAGTGAAAATAAAATGCTTGTGTGAATGTTGATTGCGCTGAAATTCTCGTCATAGGTAAACCATTGTCATTTCATAGTGGGCAACGGTGCGTCACCGCGTGGGCGGCCCGCCCTGCTACTAATTAATATACGTATATATCTTAATATATATATATTTCTTTCTAGACACAGTACCTGTTTTATAAGGGAAAGCAACAATCGATATATATTGCAGCGAAAAGAACCAAAAGTACTCATTAAAACGGGTTTAAAAAAAACTTTGTGGGTCGAACGTGCAAAGGTGGAGAAATTATTTATTATGACAATATCTATGCTTATTATATTAGTATAACTTTGTTTTTTTGAACGTGCTAATCTCAAGAACTACTGGTGCGAATTGAAAAATTATTTTTGTGTTAAATGCAAAATTTTTCGAGGAAGGTTCTAGGTTAAATGAAACATCACGCTGCGACCGAAAAAAGCGTGGTAAAAAAGTGGAAAATGTGGAAATAACGGGGAAAATCATTCATGTTCGTAGGCTTTCTTTATAATAGACTTAGGAAGGCTAGTATGCTCGACCAGAAACCTGATAGTTCATAAAAAAAAAGAATGAATATAAGTGAATAATAAGTAAATAATTAACTTAAGACTTTTTCTTAATTAGTTAACAAATCTAATGTCATTTAAGTATATGCTTTATAAAATAACAAGTTAATAAACGTCTGTGCCTATCTGACCGAAATTACTTTAATTCCCTGGGATCGAGTCCAAGACGTCACTATTCCCAGACATTGCGTTAAAATATTAACCATTGTCTTAGTGCCAGTGGTGCCAATATTCTAGGTCGGTAGGTAGTAATAATGAATACATTTATGTACATTAGAAACAGGGGGTGAATAATAGAGCGACTAGTGCCTGCCCTAGTTCTCGTTCAAGGTCAGTGGTAGCTTTGCAAGGTGGTTGAAATATTGCGTGGACTATACTCGCGGGACGTAGCCATTACTGAGTAGACTTGTGTTATAAATAACTATCTAGGTTCGAGCCTAGCTTGAGAAATCGTATTTAAATTAGAACAAAGCAATATATATATCCCGCTAATTAAACCGGAAAGCATTTAAAACTTCTTAAGAAAGGTTCTGTTTATATTTATTTTTTTATTATATTGATATATGTAATAACTATGAAGTGAAAATAATCGAGGTGATAAAGAATGTGACACTAGCTTAATTGATAGAAGGAATGGAAAGCTGTGTTCGTGAGTTCCAGTCGGAATATTATTTTTTTAAATTTAAATTAATGACAATTAATTGTGTAACTTGTAGCACTATCTGACAAAATATAGCGTACTCTGTCTTGTTCCAGCTAATGACGTTTGCATTTCATATAAAATAAACTTGCTCTATCTATACTTGAATATATCCAACTTATATCAACATTTGTATAACTTAATAAGAATATAAATATCAATGTTTCAAATAAGAATAAAATGCCCACATAATTTTATAATGTATATAATGAGAAACCAAAAAGTAAAACGTTATTAGTGCATACTTACTCTTCTATATTTAAATAACTTGATATCTATGAAACGTTATGACCATAGGATCGCTATATACACTGTAATGTTGGCAAAGAAAGTAAAACAAACAGCACACAACGACAAAAAAAACATTTTTTGTTTTATTTAATAGGTAAAGTACCTCTACTGCCATCGCAACTATACGCGCAACTAAGCAATACTTTCTGTGTGAAATTATACGATTAAAAGTTGACCTCGACAAATAATTAATAGTGAATGAACAAAAACCGAATGTTTTTACTCTCAGTCTAAATTTTACTTTACTTTAAAATTATGCTTGCTAGCCTATATGGGATATATTTGTATTTATAATTTAATAGTACTTAGATTAATAAATTGTGTAAGGCTTTCACGGCCATCGTTCAATTTAAGCAATTCTTTTAACAATCGAGGAGTTAACAACTCTCCTGATGATGCCGTCCGCTCGTGATGGCGAAACGTCGAGAACGTCTTCTCACTTACGTCGGCCGAACAACGCGAATAACATTGATATACAGTACTTAGATTGTTAAGTAATTATATTCTACTTTAAGTCCCTATCAATGAAAGAATATTTCATTTGCATCTTCAGATTTTTTACACTTTTAAAACAACCTTTTCACACTTTATTTAGTTTTGCTTGTAAGTTATATCTTCTCTTAAGATGACACCTCTTTTCCTATAGCGTAATGTTGATAATACTTATAGTAATTTTAACATTCCAGTGGAAGTTCCTTCGAAGGACAATGGCAGAATGGCAAACGTCATGGCCTTGGCGTGGAGACCAGAGACCGATGGCTCTATCGTGGCGAGTGGACGCAAGGCTACAAGGGCCGATACGGGGTCCGGCAGAGCACGACCAGCAACGCCAAGTATGAAGGCACCTGGGCAAATGGAATGCAAGATGGATACGGCTCGGAAACATACGCTGATGGCGGTCAGTACACACTCATTGCCAAACCATTTGAATGCCGACTAAAATACTTCAGTTTACATATCCGTGACGTTCTACTGTTATGCAATATTGAGTTTTTAAATCACAACAATTAACGCTACATATACAACGATCTATTCTACTCTTATTTATAGTTTCATAAACGTTAAAATCTAAAATGTTTACATGGAATATTATTACTATAAAACGTTTTTTGAATATCCATAATTGATTTGATTGGATTACTTTTATTACAATGACGATTTTCTCTTTCTTTTGCAAGGACCGAGTCAATGCAAAGTTACCCTATAGTTTAGATTTATATAATCAGTCAAGAAAAATATTATCTGAGACTTACAAATTCGCTTATTCATATTTTCAATATAAAATATGTATTCATATTATAAGAAACCGAAATAACGTTTTAATTTTTCTTTCTTTAACTAGTTTGTGAAAGATATTACGGTACATATAAGTTTTATACCGGACATGTTTTCATAAATTAGTCATCGTTTCAAACGATTCATAAAAGCTTGGTCTACCGGTCGTTATCTGTTTTATGACAGCGAGCTTATTTCCCCCGTACTAGTCAAAGACGAAGTCCATATTCTTCGACACCTCATTATCAACACTCCTCATGACCTATATAATAAATAATCCTAAATGGAAACCTTTATAGCTCGTACAAATTCTAACTGCTATTCTAGCTTTGACATAAGTGGTAAAAAATCTGCAAGCTTTTATATAAACCAATAATTATCGAACTGTTATGAATATAAAAATACTATTTTCGTTTGTATTTTGTGTCTAAAGTTTCTTGATTCATTTTATATTTACCCTCGGATTTATAACAGTCCCCACTGTTTGAACGCCGGCTTCTTGTAAGATCTACCACGATGGCCAAATACGTCTTGGCAGATGATACACGTCGGGTTCTGGGATTTTGTGACATGCCGATTTCATCACGATGTTTCCTTGACGGGCACGCGAAGATAAATATTTAGATACTACGGCCGGGGATCGAATTCCCGACCTCAAAATGGAAATCAAACGCATTTAGGTTTTCACATATAAAACTAGGGAATAATTAAGTATCAAATAATGTCGTTCTAATGTTGCGTAGGTAGACCAAACATTGTGTAAGTAAAGAACGCTATGGCAACGAAACGTCACGTAATATACGACGCCTGCCCTGAGTCATGACCGCATTAAGATTTGTCATTCATAAAATCGTGGATATGATACACTAGTGCTTCAAAGATTTCGCTAATATTAAATTCGGGTGGAGAAAAATCACCGTTTCCGCTTTGCACTCTGTGTAACATAGAAACAGACGCATTCCAATCGCTTTATAGATACCGTAAATTTAAACTGATTTATGAATACCGATGTATTATAACGGTGTGCTGCCAATGGTAGAGTTCGATGGGCATTTTCATTTGTTCTATAGCGAGTTGGCCCTGCAGCATGCCCCGCCATCTGCGGCCCTCATCGGTTAAAATTAGCATGGGCACGCCTGTTTCGCGCGCCGCAGCGGTACATAAAGCTTATCGACGGCTTATTTCATACTAAAACAAAAGAATAAGAACCAAGGTTGCCACCTTTAGCTCGACGTAGCGAGCGCAGTTTCATTTAATTGGGCTAACGAAAAAATATAATCGCCGTTTGCCTAAATAATTAATTAATGTTTAAACTGCTCTATGCAACTTTGATAATAGTGGCTATATAATGTTGAGAACAAACGCAACACGCAATGCAGATCCCATGTTTTATATTTAAAGAGGCACTAGGTATAATGTGTGTTGTTTACACGCTACCTCGTTTTAGTTTGGTAGGACAATTAAGATTGTAATACTTACTGAAAGTTGTGAAATATATTTACCAGATTATATATTTTTTTGAACTAAAATCCATAAACGTAATTATGGATTTTAGTTTATGTATATTACAATTTTATCCGTGTAGGTCTATACTAATTATAGAATAGATAACTAAAAAAGGGGCACATAGTGTATTTATTAACATATAACAGTATATATAAGTTATAACAGTCACATGTTTACCTATAGTCGTAATATTTAGTAGTTACTATAAACTACCTTGTGTTATAAAAAGGGCGATACGTGTGAAAACTCAGAAGACAAAATATTCCACACGAAATACTCTCTTATTTTCGTCTTGAGTGTCAAAGGCATATGCGGACATGTTTTCAGAGAGTTTATTTTTCAGGAACGTACCAAGGACAATGGATGCGAGGACTTCGCCACGGGTACGGTGTGCGGACGTCCGCTCCGTTCGGCTTGGCGTCACATTACCGCGGTGGCGCGCGTGAGCACCGCGGATCCATGTCATCCCTGGCTGACGCGACGGGCATCCCTGATCCGTCTGACAGACGAAACCATCGCATGGACGAAGCACGTGGCGGCTTTGTACTCAGAACCAGCTCCGACGAACCTCCAAGGAGACGGGGCTCGTTGGGAGAAAAGGCGAAAAAGGGATTATTCAATGTAGGGTTCATAGTACAATCTAAAACTACCTAATTGTCAGCAATTTTTAAGCGTGTTTCATACTTTTTATTTTCAAAATATATATAGTAACTAGTGGCTCGATGGATTGACGCGTTACTTAGTATTTCGATAATTCTACCCCTTATTTTTGGGTTCGAATCACACAGAAGTCTAGTCTAGTCTAGTAGTAATAAACAGGTCACTAAAACAGCAAAATGTGTCTGCCCCTTGCCCAACGTAGGGAATTTCACTCACAGTTGTGCTTGGTTTTCCTCGGTACGTCTAATTTGTATTTCTGAGAAAACTTACTTTCAACGTCGGCCTATGAACAAATGCACATTATTAAAATATAAATCATTTTTATCATCTTGTCATCTCCACTATCATCAGGTGATCGATTTCGACTATGGCCAAAAGTTAATCGGACTCTAATATCCTGTTATGTTTTACAGAGATTTCGTCGAGAGCGAAGTGCCGGCGACTTGGACCCCCGCGGCACCGCTTCTGTCCGATCCGGTGGGTCGGGCGGGTCTGCCGCATCCTGGGTCTCGTCCGTCGAGAGCACGCACTCGGCTACCACCCGCGTCTCTCTACATACTAACTCCAATACGAGCTTCATAGTAGAGGTACTACGCCTTAATTTATTTTATATGATAAGATAACCTGTGACCGTACCTTACCTGTAATGTTAGAATTGTTATAGGGTTAACTACTTATTATTTTTGTCGACAGTATTTTAAGGAATTAATAAGAAGTAATATTTTTATTTTTGAATTTCACAGGATGAACATTTAGATGCCTCAGTCACAGAAACGTACTTGGGAGAATGGAAAAATGACAAACGTACAGGCTTTGGTATCAGTGAGCGCAGCGATGGTCTTCGATATGAAGGAGAATGGTATTCTAATAGAAAATACGGCTACGGTGTGACAACTTTCAGAGATGGGACAAGGGAAGAGGGAAAATACAAGAATAACGTTCTCATAACGAGCCAGAAACGGAAGCACATGTTTCTTATGCGTTCGGCGAAATTTCGAGAAAGAATTGATTCAGCGGTTAATGCGGCTCAAAGAGCTTCCAAGATTGCGTTACAAAAAGCAGATATTGCTATTTCCAGGTAGATATATTTATTTATTCATAGAGCTCGCGGGCCTTATTCTACATAACGATAACAGGGTAGTAAAAATACATTATATTCGAATATACAAGTATTAACACAGTTATTTTTAGTAGATACTTGGGAAATATATTCCGCTGTTCTATGTAAGCAAAGTTTAAATAATTGCTATAATTTCAGGACAGCAACAGCTCGGGGAAAGGCTGAGCAAGCTGATGAATCGGCGGACCAAGCTAAAGAAGACTGTGATATAGCACAAGCTACTGCTAAACAATTCGCTCCTGATTTCAAACATCCTGGTTTTGACAGAATAGGTTTAAGAGAACGATATAGACAAAAGCCCTATGAATCACAGGCTATGGCACCCTCAGTACAAGAATCTGAAAAGATCTTGGACGGAAAGAGCATTCCAAATCACATCCCTCCGACCCACACACAAATGAACAAAATTCCAAACGCAATATCTTCTAGAAGACCTTCAGCGCAATATGGAAAACCAGCACAATCTAGTGATCCCAGATTTGCACATAATCCTAATTTTAACGATGAAAGACATAATGTTGGAAGTAGTTATGACTCTTATTATAATCCTGCGCAAGACTCATGGGCCACAGGTAATGTTCAAAACCAAACAGCCCCGAGCGACACTGGAAATGTATACGGTGCGACTAATATCAATCAACAAGCCACAGGGTATCGATTACAACAACAACAACAACAACCACAATTTGTCGACCAAAATAACCAACAATATGGCAATCAAGATCGCCGAGTGTCATCAGCGACTAGACAATCGCTGAATCAAAAACTTCCAACACAAGACTGGAATACTGGAACAGGTATCACTCGACGACAAAGTATTTTAGCTCAGCCGAGACATGATCCTCAAAGTACTACATATGTAGACAGTGGCACAGCAGTTTATGGAAGAAATGGACTACGTACTGGTACCATTCATTCAGAAGGTGCACTCGAAAAGCCGATGTCTAATATTGACCAACAGATTTTCCGACATCCCGCAGACACTCCAATGTACAGGCAAACAATTGGTCAGCAGTCTTATGAACAGGGTCCCGAACATCAGTTTGGCCAACAGCCCGTAGACCAGCAAAATTATAGACAACTTGCAGACCAACAATTTTATCGACAACCTACTATGGACCACCAACAATACCGCCAAGCACCAATGGATCAAGATGGTATGAACGGGGAAAGAGAAATAAGGCAGACGACGAGTCGACCATCTATTGATTATTTTGATCACTATAAAAGACCACCAAGTAGAGATTCTAGTGTAGACAGATATGGGAGAAGGTCGAGACAGCCCTCCGTAGAGGCTGCAGTGCCCAGTGGGGGTTCGAGATCAGGGTCTATAGCACCTCAAGCGACATCATCATCGCGACCCCCATCGCGTGCCGCAACGCCCGCCAGTAACGGACATTTAACTTCCGGTCGAGGATCCATATCGCATGCTTCAGCCCGAGAACAGCCCTTTGAGGATACGCTGTTGCGGAAACGGAATCTCGGCCAAGAAATATCACCATCGCCTTACCAACCAAAACGAACGGAAAGTTTATTTGTTCCACAAAACCCAACGCCGGCACCTGCAGTGCCAACAGGTGGTGGCGGGGGTGGACGTAAGGTGAGCCCATTTTTATAGTAAAAAAATTATAAAATTAAAAAATATTATTACAAATATCCGTCAATCTTAGATACATTAAGAACAGCGCATAGTGACAAATGAATTCACTAATTACCGAATTAACTAAAAGCATTTGGCATCCATACAAAGCAATTAAAAAATACAAATAGAAGGTTGAAGAATACATTATCGTACATGCCAATAGTGCTACGGGCTACTATTCAGTGAATATCTTAAAATTTCTGTATAAGTAACAAATTAACTATCGTACGACAATAATTATTGTGGTGCATGTGCAATTCGTGAAAGTGATAAATATGTTCTGTACACTTGTGTACTCTTAGTTATAGCTATGGATGACGTTTGGCTCGGGAGTCGGGTCGGGAATCGGTAGGTGGGCGGCGGGAGCTCGCAAGCCCGTTCTATTTCTAATTTGAGACAGTCATTCGTTGCCGCTTTCCGCGCATCACCACTTTGCTAGATATAAATAGCAAATTCCTTTAATTCTATAGAATAAACAAAACTATTTAATTACGTTACACCATGAAGACTTGTGGATTTTTGCTATTGAAACGATAAAATAGAAATTAATATTTTTTAAAACTGATATAATAAAAAGATAGTGCACATTTTATATATTAGTAGACATTAAAATATGTGGTACCAAGTGGAAGATGAGGAAGAAGAAGATCTCATGTGTTCGCCGGCGATACTCGCCCGGCGGGCCTCTGAAAGTTGGATTAATGTTCCTCCTGTCGAGGTATACAAATATTACACAAGAAATATTAAAATTTTACTTAGAAAATCAGTGTTGCAACACAATAGTGTTAGTACCATAATACTGAAGGGCTCCTGTTTTAGGAGTTGCCATAGTAATTTTTTGAAGCCTTTTCTACATAAATCTATTTAAGTCTGGTTATTAAGTTAATCTTAGTTCATATTTGTATTTCTGGGTGCAATTTTTAAATTTATTATTATTATTAAAAGTTCTGACAATTATATTTTCAGATGTTGAGTTCACCTCAAACCCTTCAACGAAAGAAGTCATTGCCTGACGTAGCAGGAATGCCTCGTATGCCCGATGGAGGGGGCATGTCCCGCGAAGAGGTATCCGCTCTCGGCTCCGCGCGAAGAGAAGAAGTACGCCGTATGTACGAAGAATCCGAGAAGTTAAGAGCCAACCCTCTACTCTACTTAGTCAGTCCACAAGTAAAGGTAATTTATTCTAAGAAACACGCATCTTAAATAATGATAATCATCGCAACTAGGAAACTATTTTGATTTGAAAGTGTTGACGAATTTATACGAGATACATACCTTATATGTTAATTCAATAAATTCTCTTCATTATTTATTTATATTAATTAATGATAATGAAATACTTTTCATAAATTTAAACTAAAAATATTCTACACTGAACTATCTCATAAATAGTAGGTATATTGAGGATATTTTTTTTTTGTTTCAGGACTGGTTTTCCAGACAGCAATTAGTGATTTTAGTCCTCTTTATCAACATCTCCCTAGGCATTATGTTCTTCAAGCTACTCACGTAGCGGTGGCAAACGGCGCGAGTTCGCCTTCTCCTTAATCTTGGATGCCTTTGCAAAGTCTACTTGAAAATATACGATCCGTTTGTTACCGTTCTAAATCCTTTGTGTAAATTTTTTATACGAACTATATGTAAGGAATAGGGAAATTATTCCTTCGTTGTAATTAAGGAACTTCGGTTTGCTAGTGTATTTAATGGAAGATGTGTAAATGTGTAAGACAAGAAATAAAAATCGAAGTGGACAAATTCCCCACCCCGTTAGAGCGCAGAACCGCAAGATACTTGGCGTGTGAATGAAGTATAATGAGGTACTTGCAAGTGTGGGAATCACACATCGCTTTAATAAACCTGCATATTGTAGGTGTACGCTTTATACTCGGGGAAGACCATACGTAATATGTATTACATTATTGTAAAAATCGTTTTCGATATGTGTTCTTCGAACAAACGCACAGAGAAGTTACCGAAGTGTAATCTATACATATATTAATTTTATATATTTGTAAATAATAATTATATCAGATTAATTATTATTCTAGCCTTCGTATAGTATAGAGACTCACTATTTCATTGTTTTTGAATGTTTTGTTTAAACTGTTTTATAAGTGTTATTGTTTACTTTGTCTATTTAATGTTCGTTCGTTCTGAAAATATTTGGAGTATAAAATCAAAATCGTTAAATATTAACTAACCTATTTTCACTTATTTGGCTGTAAGTAAACACAAGTCTAGTAACCTAATGGTGCGCTACCTTTTTGATACAATTAGGGGATATAGTAAACTATGTCAATTTCTCGTTGTAAAATTTGATATATCTATGAAACGATATTTATTGTGAATTATAAAATCTATCGACATTTAAGTGTGGATATGAGACTGTCGAGATGCTTAGTGCTAGGATACAACAAAAGTTGTGGGAAGACGCGCAATCGGTACGTTGTTATTTGTATGCGAGACAGTTATCACGATTTCATTACTATGTAAAATGTTATCAGTAAGAATTATAAATACTTGTATCGATTTTATCTACGTTTCAAAAATAAAGTATTTTAACAAAAGTATTCAGTTTCTTTGCTTTGTTTATGTACTTTAAAAATCCTCGAGAAACCCATATTAGGGAGAGAAGAAACAAGACTTTTGAGTCAGGGCATGAAAAAGCTCCCGAGACTCGAATGCTCGACAAAGTGCTGTGCCGTTGCATACTATAAGCTCTTGTGTGCACATATGAACGTTCCAAAGCTTGGATTTCATTTCTTATGAAATATTACTATACTAGTACGTTTTGAGGAAAACTAAAATTTAACTAAATACTAATCTTAATTCTTCCCGAAGGGACTGCGCGTATGATATGACAAGAAAAACCACAGTTGTCTTACTTTAATCCGCGTTTGAGTAATATTTACAGACTCTTTTTTTAATTTCATATTTATTAGTATTATTTCAGTTTTGTGTAGACGAAAATGTCTGTGTTTCGAATGACACACTGACACACATTTGAGAGACAACCCATATAATACGGAAAAACGTTTAGCCTTATGTACCGTGTATCCATCTTTCTTTAATCAATTAGATTAATACTGTACGGCTTCGGCCAATACCAAGGTAGTAGTAGTCATGAATACGTCAGTTGCTCTTATCCAAATCAAATATAGTTTACGCGCGGAAATCGCTTAAAAATGAACGAACGCATTTTAAATTCAGATGGATATAGTACGCAAACTACCCCGGTATATATGTTGTGTCTTTACTACGGTTGAGAGGAATAATCTCTGTGCTAGTGATCTTTTAAAATTGTTTTGAATAATCGCTTCACCTTCCGATGTTTTAAGGCTAAACACGCACACGACGATGATATAGACCTGGATGATTTGCTGCCGAAAATCGGAGAATTTGGAATATACCAGAAATGCCTACTTTGGCTCGTATGCTTACCAGCATGTCTGCCGTGCGGTTTTTGCGCATTCAATCAACTTTTCATGACCGACACTCCTGATCATTGGTGTCACGTGCCGGAGTTGAGGAACTTTTCGGTGGAAGATCGAAAAGTTATGGCGATTCCGAGAAAGGTAACACAGAGATGATTATACCAAGCCCTAATTACCTATTGTTTATATTATGTGAGACCAAAAATAAACATCAATACTTAATTATCTTACTTCGGTATTCTAATAATTCTTACATTTTTAGTATTATCACATATTAATTACAATCTCGGTTATATCTTAAAATATATATAAGCTTAAATAAAACACTTTAAAGGCCCGACGTCTCACCGTGACCACGGCTGCTGCAAAGCGTCCGTGTTCAACTAATATATTTATTTTATATAAATGTGTACTACTCGCGTAAACTACAGACAGTATTTTTTTATACAGACTGTTTATTTGCTTGTCTCTAATGGTCATTCCCCCTCTGTGAACTCACCTGTTTCAGGCAGACGATAATACAACTTTCGAAAGTTGCTTAAGATATTCCGTGAACTGGACAGATATTATCGAATCGAATAAGTCGATAGAAATAAACCAAAGTTTGCCCGTAGAGCCCTGTCTAGATGGTTATGAATATGACAGATCTGAAATAATCTCCTCTGTGGTTATCGATGTAAGTATTCATTAAAAAAGTATTATTATTACTGATTGAATCGTCATGTACTGTTATCTTATGTATACTTAAGTGTAACTGTAGTAATTAACCAACCGTCCGTGCAATCAGCATCTTATATGATAATTAAGTAGTCTGAACTACTTTTTAAAATATGCCAAGTTCAGTAGTATATATAGTGAGTCTACCGTAAAAGATATCAACACTAAAGCCTTCATTAGAAGCCTTTAAAATATTAAACTTTTAAAAATACTTTTTATTTATATTTTTTAACTTTTAAAAATAAATTCGTTTATTTTTATTTTCTATTATTAAGCACACTCAACGGAAGCCCGTAAATAAAATAATTTCTGCCGTTTTTTAACTGTATCCTCTTATACTTTTATTGAAGGTCGAATGGTCTGCGACAGAATGAATTATACAAACGGCGTTGATGTAATACCCCCTTTTATCTACATTCCATTATAGATAGATGAATTAAGAGTTACAAAACCTATAACCCTCTTCTTATTTTTTAAGAAAATGTAGCAAATATTACAATTACCATTAATTTCAGTTTGACTTAGTTTGCGAGTATGATGTTTATCCAACTCTGGGATTGGTAGCATTAAACGTAGGAGGGCCTATAGGAGTGTACTCTTTTGGTATTCTAAATGACCGCATTGGAAGAAAGAAATCGTTCTTCGCATGTCTATCAACGTTATTATTGGGAAGTCTCATGACAGCGTATGCGCATGAGTACTGGTTTTGGGTAGTAGCTCGGATTATCGTCGGACTGACTATTCCTGCAGTCTATCAAATACCGTTCATTATCTGTAAGTATGAATAAGTATAATCGTATTTTTAGATATCTTTTTACCTGACCACGTCAAAAAGGAAGGGTAATGATTTTCGCAGCCTATATATATATTTTTTTCACAAAATTTTATTGAGAAAAGGACCATCTTTGGTATCAAAGGAAACGCCCCGTTGAGTATATTACAAAAAGTGTATATAAGTATTATATTTAAGTCAATAGTAAGTATATTTAAAACCCAGAGAACAGTTTGCGTTTTTCAGTAACTCGGAACGACGTGTCATTTTTTTCGTGTAATTGTTGCCCTTTCCGACCGAAATAATTTTGTGTTTCCCTAGAATTTGAATTTAGAACTTCATAGATTAAACGCAACACTAGGCAACATAACCAGGGATTAAATATTTCTAAAGTTTACCATTTCTTTTTTAGCTTTGGAATTAGCTGGACCAAACTATAGATCATTCGTAACAGTGATGACATGTATATTTTACACACTAGGACTGATACTACTGTCGGGTGTGACCTATGTGTTACGCGATTGGAGATCTCTCGCATTAGCCACCTCTGTTCCCTTTTTCTTTTATTATCTCTATTGGTTTGTATTACCTGAATCGCCACGGTGGTTACTGATGAAAGAGAGACTAGAAGAAGCCAATAACATACTGAAAACTATAGCCCGAGTGAACGGGAAGGAATTGCCCGAAGAGTACACGAGTAAGCTCCAAAAACAAGTTCTCGAACAGAAGGAGAAAGGGGTAAAAGAGACAAAAAACGCTAGTGCTTTTGCCTTGTGCAAGACGCCGAATATGAGATTGAAAACGATCTTGATAACTTTGAATTGGTGCGCTTCCGAGATGGTGTACGTGGGACTAAGTTACTACGGTCCAGCGATAGGCAGTAGCCAATACATGAGTTTCTTTCTATCGTCAGCTGTCGAAATTCCTAGTTACATAGTCTGCTGGATACTAATGGACAAAGTAGGCCGCCGTTGGCCTCTATGCTTATCTATGGTTATTAGTGGAATTTTCTGCATGGTCACCGTACTTTTACCAAGTGGTAATATAATATTATTTTACAGTGCTTTAGATACAATTTATGCTTTGTCTAGTATAGAATGATAAGTTTCACAATTTAACAGTGATGTGGTATTATAGAATATAAACGTTTATAAATCTAATCGATTTATTAATAATATGTAAGTAATAGTAGAATGCAATACTAATTGATGATCGTGAATTATCAGACTTATCATCCTATATTAGGCAGAGTAGAAGGCATTCTAAAATTTGACTATATTTGTAGATGCTGAAACGGAAACACTTATACTGTATTTAATATCTAAATGTTTTATATCCGCATCATTTTTAATAATTTATCCGTACGCTGGAGAACTTTACCCGACGGAGTTGAGAGGCGTTGGAATTGGGACATCGGCGTACATTGGTGGACTGGGATTAATTGTCATACCTTTTATAAATTATTTGGTGAGTTTACATTTTGACTGTCTTATAACAGTGGTGAAATGATGGTGAAACGTCTCAGGCGTGTAACGTCTAAAATGTGTTGTCGACGTATTTTTGCTTAACATCCATCCATAGGTGGTGTTTTGATCGAGGATGAACAGAGTATATATAGTTTGTTCGAAATTTGTAAATATCTTTCCCTCTGACACATGCACATTAAAATGTATGCTTAATCATACTCGCTTTATTTTAAGATCTTAATAACGTACATACTAACATATTATGTACTTGTAATTGTCGAAATATTTGTTATATTGGTATTTTACCTAAACTATTGACGTAACAACAGAAACAAAATAAAAGATTTTTTGGCCCAGGGCACGAGTAATTTAGTATTACCGCTGGTGTTGATGGGCGCTCTGTCAGTCGTTGGGGGGCTAACTTGTCTTCGGTTGCCGGAAACTCTTCATACATCCCTGCCTCAAACCGCTGAAGATGGCGAAGAAATCGGTAAAGATTGGACGTATAAAGACTGTTGGAGCTGTGGTGGGCCTAGGTATTATATTTATTTATTCGTTAAACTTTATGTTCACCTTAGAACAAACGACGGTGAAGCCAAAACGAAGAACAATGATTTTGTCTACGTATTAGTAATTTTTAGATAAACGAAGTATCGAAATAAATGAAAAATCTAATACCAACTCTTCGTGTAAGTAACTAGGTACACTTATGAACGCCAATACAGGGCTAATACAAAATTCGAAATTTACACTTACTATAACAACATTTTATAAAACTAAGTAAATATGACGTAATTTAAATGTAATGTTAAAACATTTTGCCATGTAATACCGTGTTTAAAATATCAAAGATGGTCATTACAAAAATTGATTGACACATTACTTATATGTATCAATAGATTGTTATAAATGCGTATGAGTCGCGCTTTGGAATTGTTAAGTTGTTGTTTATAAGCGTTACTTTTAAAATTTTAAGGGTGGCATCAGAAGGGGACTCTTATGAAAACTTAGATCAACTAGAATTGACTCAAGCACCAGTTTTGGAAGATGAGGTTTCAGAACTGAGGCCGACGCGACGCAGTTCTATGAAGAAGCTAGTTCGTCAGGCCAGTACGCTTGAAACTCAACGAGATCATGATGGTAGTCTAAAAATGACTTATTGGTTTTAGTAAACGACGCCTCGTAGCCATATTTTTATTTATCATGTATGTTGGATGGTACCTCATTATTATGTAGTTCAAATAACGACCTCGTAGTGTAGAAATAGCTTGAATTAATAATTGTACTTTTTTATTTTTCTTTTTAAATGTTATATTAGATTCCGTTGTTTTTTTTTTTCGTTTCTCGCAAAGTTACCAAACTTCATAGACGACCCGGAAGACAAGTAATGTGTCACTATAATGTGATATAACATGCAACTTTTTTAATGCCATCACTGTTTTGAGGAATAATTAATATTTTGTTTGTAGTTTACGCGATAGGTGCAAATTAATTAAATCACAGTTTAACTAAATTTAGGGAACGCCGATATATTACTTAAATTTTTCAACTACAGCCCAAAATGTTTAATACTTTTCAGCATGTATTATTTAGTTTTCTTTCATGAAAAATTATTTTATTGACAACAGAGTGTAAAAAATCTACAGGTAAAATTAATGTTTTTTTACTGAACTCTTACCGTATGAGTTTTACAAATAATAACGACGCTAATGGACTTAACCTTATACGCCAATAATCCGCCCTTGAACTAATTGTTTGTACATAATTGCTATTAGTTTTAATTACAGCCGCAGATATAAATATGAAATTAGATAGTTTTTTTAGTTACTTTTAAATATGCACGGCAAATATCTTCTAACATTTCTCCTTTATACCATGACTTTTTACTTTCATTCTAAATTTTTTATAATAACGTCACATTTTTAACATGTATTGTATCGTTTTAGTTAAGTACTGTCATGGTACTGTAATAAGTTTTCGTACAACTATGCGCAACGTTTGCTAGAAATAGGATGCTTAGATTCTGTCACGTGTTTCGAAGCAGTCAGGTCGACGTTTTTGTTTCATTTAAAACTGTGAATATATCTTAAAAAACAAATTATTTCTGTGTATATACTTGTTATGGTTATAAAGAGATATGTCGGTAGTGAAATAAAAATAACAGTATTATTGAGTTTTTTATTTAAAATATTTGTCTTTATTCACATTTGAAAACAATAAGTCTAAATAATGCTACATCTGAATAATATAGACACAAAATACAAATATTTACATAATATTTCTACCATATTTCTTCTACAATTAGATACAGGTCAAATTACTCTTGGTGTTGTATATAGGTCCTCTCCTGACCATAGAACTAACATATAAACTATAAAGCATTAGGTTATCCCTTATAAAAGTCGTCGTAGTTTATTTAGATGGAAGGTGTCAGTCTTCTAAAATAACGTTTATATCAAAGTAATTTAGCTATGTATCACAAGGTTTAAATAAAACACTGTTAAATTGATAATTAATTAATGAGTAAATTTTCATGTTAGACCATCATCAGCATCATCATCATCATGTGTCAAAAATTCTAAGTCTTCTAATGTATGAAATTAAAGTACGGGTCATATATATTTTTTGAACTTATCTCGTCAAATTAATTTATTTATGCCTATTTTAATTACTTACTGTCTGTCAGGAATGTTAGTGTTTGGCAGTATCTGTGCAATGTACCGGCTTCTAATGCGGTCCGATTGTGTTAAGCCACTGTCCCTTTCATCTTCAGAGGGTCTCACCTCTTCGTCCGCGTCCGAGCTCTCTGCGTGATCTAGGAGATTCGCTCTTTCATCTGTTCGTACTGTAGGCCTAGAATAATATTAAGTAGTTAGGGAAAATACTTATTAGATATATTCCTACAAAAAAAATATTAAAAAAACTTGTAATAAATTAAAAATCGATTATAGATTTAATTAAAAAAAAAACGTTTGTCTGTAAACATTGTTTTTTGGGTGTTTTACCATTGACAAAACTTACTACACAAAATAACTTACATTTTCAAAGCTTCTCTCTCAGACGGCGATAGGTTCAGTACACCAGAGTTAGCTGAATCCAAAATATATATGAGCACGGCAGCAATCAAAGCGACTGCAAAAGAAATAAATTTATTTCTTTAATTGGAAGTTTTCTTAGAATTATCGTTTTTCTCTCAATTGGTGCGTGAAGCAGAGGCATTTCTGTATTACTCTCACTGTCGTCTCACCGACAGATAGATCATCCGTATCTGACCGATACTAATAAAATATTATTTCTCCCAGTTTCGATTCAGGATTCGTTGCGCTTAACCCATTGTTAGGCAAACGTACGGACGAAAATATGTTGTATTTAGTGTGAAGTCCAAAAAGAGTTATATAAATATAAACTTTTTTGATACAATTTGATGAAATTAATTGTTCAAGATTTAAGGGCGTAGTTGTCAGTAAATACAACAATATCATCAGTTCATATTTTTTTACTGCTCAATAAAGCACTTTATTTGGAATTACAATTATTTAAGTGTAATATGAATTTTAAAAGATAAATATAAAAATTAGTAAAAAGTAATTCTCAGTGGCATCTATCGGGACTTTCGTGGATCTATATTTTCTGGTTGCAGACATTCATTATAATAATCTATTTTTTCAACTTTCAAGGAAAAGTCGTTACCTGTCTAGACTGCAAATAAACATAAAGTCTTTCTCGTTATCAGCAATTGACCTTAAAGTTAGATTTGGAGTAAAAAACCCTGGACCAGAATCAGCACTAGAAGTAGATGGTGAAAAATAGGTAGTTGTATGGCTTCTTAGTAACTTAGTTTCAGAAAATAAACCGAGAATAGTTTGAAAATAATTTGGAATATGATCGCCTAGGTCAAAAATGATTTGAAAAATTTTCGACGAAAATAAAGAAGTTTTATTTATATATATTTAAAGTGATATCTTATGATAATATAATACGGCTGCCGTAACTTAGCAAGTCTGAACATAGTTTAGACCAGGGGCGGGCAAACTTTTTTTCAAGCGGGCCAGAAAATCAACAAAAAAAATATTGCCGCGGTCCGGTCAATTAATATCATTTAGAGCAAGGCTGTAAAGTTTTAAAACGTTGTTTATTGAAACTTAAATAGATATTTTTTATTTCTATACATTTTCATATAAAAAAAATTGTCACCTTAGCAATATTGTTGTAAAAAGTACGAGATTTCTATGTTTTAAGTGTAGATAAAATATTTTAAGTTCAAAATAATATGGTAAAATTTGAATTTTTGATGTTAAAATTTTTTGCGAAACGTTCGGCGGACTAGATTACCTCTGGCGGGCCGAAGTTTGCCCATCCCTGATTTAGACGAACTTTGGCGCAAGTACACTCGTAAAGAAAACTAATACTGCCATTTATTTTCGTTACTGGGATAAATAAAAAAAAAATGAAGATTTTACATATAGCAAGCAACAATAACATACCAATAATTGATTCAGAGACAATAAGGGCTACGAACACTTATCTTTCACTAAAATACTAAGACAAAACAAAAATATAACAAAACAGAAATATGTAATAGTATTAAATTTAACTGTAAACAATCACTTTTCTAACCGACTGTGCTAAAGACAGAGATAACGAAATAAACGCCAAGGAGTGACGGAGACACCCTTCTGCTTTCTTCCTTCTCCTACGCTTTGCGAAATAACCAAATAGAGATATCTATAGGCGATGCTTAAGAGTGTCGTTTAATCGATTCCTATTGAAATAGACAAAATTGAATCGTAGAAATCGTTTGTATAAAAAGCTTTAAAGAAGGTAAAAATATGTATAAATAGTAATTATATAAACAATAACTCATATTTAACTAAATAACATCGTCCATTAAAGAAAAACAAATTTTTAATGATTTTATTTTCCTTTAAAAGTAATCATGATATCGTTTATTAACAACACCATTCACTATTCTCATAAATGCATTTACTGCAATATCCCATACGAATTAAAATCCATAATCAAAATTGATAAAAATCGATTACGACATTTAATAGAATAAAAGATCGATTGTGTTGACATTGAGTCAATCTCTACCCTAGATCTCCATCCCGCGCACGTCGCTCTTACCACCATTAACATCATATGGAACATATCTGCGCAGCGTTTCGCGCTAAGTTCAGACTTGCCAAGTAACGTTGGCCGTATTATAACGTTAAGTTATAATGTATATTATTTTAAAAAGTGTCCTAATGATGGACGCGAATCGGTCCAGGGGTGGACGCTACTTGGTTTTTTGTGGAAGTAAACTGAAGTTTATCTATTTAAAAAAGTAACATAAAATGCTTCGAACAAAACTAAAAGTGAATCTTAAAATACATATTATATTGATCACATTACATGAATTTTACAAAGAAATAAGCGCGGGAACATTTTTATTATCGCCCTAAAACTTCCAAACTGCACTAAATGGACGCGAACTGGCGAAATTACCCTAACAACCTTTTAGCACGTGCCTTTTCAAATTTCTTTATTTTTGCATTTTATTCTCATTGCTAAAAATAACTTCTTTTTATTTCCCATTACTTCTGTAATGTAATGTATTGTCATCGTAATTATTGTTTGGAATCAAAAATAATATTTAAATATTTTACTTAGTCAAGTGCAAAGACTCGTCGATCGTTCTATAAATGTCTAAAATCGTAGTACGGTCAATAAACACAGATGCAGCGCGGAGCGATACGTCTACATTCTAGAAAGCCTAGCGGCGGACTGAAATAAATTTTGATTTGCGCGCATCGATTTCTAGTAGTTTTAAAATAATTATAACAAATAGATAGATTTTTTAAGGTAAATATATTAACGAAAGAGTTCGTCTATCGCATAGAACTATTTTAATATTAAATTACACGAGATAAATAGCCAAATAAAACGTTGTAATTCCTTCATATTTCACGTTGCTAGAATTTATTTATTTTTATTGTTCTATACCGAAATTCCAAAATGCATTTTACTAAGTATTTGGTTAAGGATCTTATCGATTGGTTACAAGTTTTTCCTAGTTACACCTTTAAGTAGTTTCATATATTTTAAGCCTCGAAAATGATACTAAAACGAGATTTTAAAAAACCTGTGTTAAGATATCACGATTTAAGGCATTACATACATACAGCGTAAGTCGTGATTTTTTTTTCTACTAAGTTTTCAGACAGTGTAATATCCTAAACATATAAGTGATCAACATGTTTGTACGATAAGTGGTTGATGATAGTAACAGGTTTGAAAAACCCAGTTTTAGGCCAAATTGCGCGTTAGGGAATAAAGCCTCTTAAGTAATTTTCGAAAAATTATGGAATCTCTAGTCACAGTGACATATGTACTTCCATAAAAATCATGCGTTTTGTTGCCAAAATCATTCGGTAAATTGGTTCTAAGATCGAAAACTTACTAAATAAGCATCCCAAGAAGAACATCTCCAGCATGAGATAACCAAATTTATCAACGATAACACCAGCAAGAATAATAACGGTCGCTAAACCAAGGTTTTGGACAGCTTGACATCTGAAAAGTATAAAATCAATTACTGATTAATTTCTATTTATCGAGATAAATTATTATTGAGTTTCGATCGAGCTTAGTGTATTATGAGTGAGCTATATTATAACTACAATTCCTCATTTCTTAAGGTCTCTCTGAACCAGTATTAAAAATTTCATTTTACTTTAAAAAAATCTCACAGTTAATAAACAGAAACATGACGGTAATATATCTTAAGAAATAGAAGTAAAAAGGTGCAGATATTTCCTAAAATAGCTTTTTAGAGGAAAAAGTTACTAGCTATGGTCAAAGCAAGTGTGATATCCCGATTCCCTTCTCCTTCCAGTAAATTGAATATGGTTTTAAGTGTACAAAAGAAGAAGCAAGAAGCAGAAAAAATGACTCGAAAAGCTTACATTCCGTAGGCGGTTCCCAATTGCGATTCTGGAACAATCATAGCAACTAAGGGCCAGAGTCCACTCGCTAGAAGTGAGTAAGAGATTCCTAGTGACATCTGAAAATATATCCCATTATAATAATACCTATGCAAACATCATCCCATTACTTTCTTTTGGGGACACGGATCGAAGTCTACACCCTTTATTACATTTCACCCATTTCCCCACTTCCCTTGGTAGGGGATTTTGGTGTCCGATTCCAAAATATCTTGCTCCTTTTATAAATTGTATGTAAATATGTTGTGTTAAATTTCTCTCTGTCAAAGTTTCGGGAAGGGCATTCGGCGTAATATTATAACGTAAAATTGTTCTATAGCTCACTTTCTTGCGTTTTATACAAATACTTCAATCTTAATAGTTTAAAATTAAATATCGATGGCACAGGCAGAACTCAATTATTAGTCCAGGCCTACAGGAATTTAGAAATTCAATGAACACAGCATCTCAAATTGGCATTGGCATGGGACGCTGCTAGTCGCGGTTCGTATTTCCTATCCTGCATATGTAATCGATTTTTATTTCAATGTAAAATATGTTTTAAATAAATAGTTTTTTTTTTACAACTTACCACTCCTACGTAGGGATTAACAAATGTGAATGCGAGCAGAAAATGGGAACCAATCGTTGTAATAATACTTAATATAACCCAGGTCACATTTCGTCCTGTCTTGTCTATGAGGATCCCGAAAAATGGACTCAGCGCAGCAGATAGAAAATATACCATAGAGTTTACAGTGTTTGCATCTTGTGGATTGAAGTCAAACTTTCTTTCGAAGAATAATCTATTAAAAGTAAAATTAAAATCTTAAAACTTGACTTTACTATATTTCAAATTAATATTTCTTAATACAAGGTTTACAACTACGCCTTTGTTTGGTAGGCAAAAAGAGCATGGGTTCATCGCGGGTTCACATCCTGACACTGTAAGATTTACTTAATTTTTTTCTAAAATACTTTTTGACTTAATATAATGTAATTTTGTTTTATATAAAATATGTTTTCTTCACATAATTATACACATTATAGTGCAATTTAATCTACTACAAACTAAATCTACTAAACTGATCCCTAAGTATGATTAATTTCCTACTTACTTTCCTAAGGCGATAAAAGGGAATATTGCTAAATAGTAAGCAACACAAATCACAGAGACAAGCCAGAATACAGCTTTGAAATTAAGAATGTCAAGCATTCTGAAAGGAGGATCATTTGCATGCTCTTCTCTTCTATCTAATATTTTTTCAGCTCTATGATCCATCCAGCCAAGAAGCAGTCCACATATAAGTGATCCCAGACACGTCATAGAGGCTGAAAAAAATCATATGTACATATGATTGATGATTAAACAATTTTCTTTTTATGACATAAAACAGAGAAGTATTGGGTACACTTAATGTAGAAAGAAATACCTCTATAGAAAGATTTTTTGCTTTGAAAAATTAGACTAAAAAAAAAAGACAAATCTCACATCACAGCTATTCCATCTATGAAAGTATTTATCTTCTAGCTATCCGCACTGTTATGTAACTAAAGAAAAAATTAAGGTTTTCTCTTACCTATGAATAATGTTACACCCAATCGTTCATAACCACCATAGTAATTTGCAACCCAGTGATAAATGGGTTCCATGACCCAAAAGTTAACAGTACTACCAAAACGAGAAAAAGAAAGTTGTAATCCGAACACCATATTGAGTTCTTTTCCTTTGAACCATAGCACAACATAATTGTTCACAGCTACTTGTAACGATTCTCCACCTATGCTAAAAAGCATATACATATATACATATTTAAGTTTATTGTCCCAACATAAATATTTGGCAGAATTTAGGCCATCAGTAGTATTGCTTACCCAAATATAAATCTGCCAAGTATCATCAACCAAAACTTATCTATGTATACTCCAAATGCAAAAAGGACAGCTCCAACAAACAATATGGACATATAGATAATGGTACCTAGTCTTACACCAAAATACCTGAAAAAGTTATTTGTATATCAGCAATACATTGTCTCTGAATAAAAAAAATACCATTTACACCAAAACAAATGATATTGTGGAACATTACATTTCTTTTGTATATGTGACATGGGCCAAAATTCATTGGTCTGTATTACTGATTGATTTTATATATAGGCCCCTTAGTGCCTTGTCTAACCAAATTATTATCATTGTTTGCCCAGGCACTCTCATGCTAAACAAAAATGTTGTAACTAGAAGTACTTAGTGTACTACAACTACATAATCTAATTAAGATTTACACAAACATACATAATAAAAATTTTATAAGTACATAAAACATAGCAATGGAGGCTGTACATGGAGGTAATGATAGGTGAAACATATATCATAAAACAGTAAATTCAATAAATTAAAATGATTAAGCAGTTATCCAGTCTACAATTAACAATCTTCTGAACTATACCCATACAGTGAAGCATTCCACAGTTTGTAAACATTTTTTTTAACAATGCAAAAAGTAAGTATTTTTAAATAGTCCTTGACCTCCAGAGTCGATTCCCCTTAAATAGAACCTGACACATGGATTTAAAAAGCCACAAAGTATTATATTTTAACAGATACAATTATCAGCATAACTCTATAATGAGAGCATATTATTAATATGATAGGTGATGAGTCATATGCAGCTGGATAACATGTGTACAAACCTATCAATGAGATAACCACCGATGAAACATAACACCACATTTGGCCATGAGTATATAGAGTATAAGAGCGCAAACTGTGATGTATTTAGGTGGGAATCCCCTTTGAAATTATCAGCTAAGGCTCCAGGTGTATCATAACAAAAATATGATCCTGAAAAAAGTATTGAATATAATGTAGTCAAACATGATACAAAATTGTTATATTATGTGTATATAAATAGGACTAATCATTCATAATTCTTTGCTAAGCTTTAGAGCCATATAAGAAACAAATTATGAAGTTCTCACCAAAACAAAGAAAACACATCAATATCAATGCAATAAATCTATGAACTCGATGCGCCGGGTGACAACACGATGTAGTATTTTCCATGTTTGCTCTCGCAGTTATGCTTTCGGAATTTTCCATATTTAAAAATATTTGACCCCTTTGTTACTTATATAGTAGGTACATTTACTTGTATATTGTAAAAACCATCACTGATTGTTTAGTATTTAAGATTAACGTGTGAACATTTTTCTTCTTTGTTTATTGAAAATATATCTAGACATTCAAATATAAAAATCACAAGGAAACGGTTACAAAATCACTTTATATAATTATTATCAATAAAATAAACAAAGAATTATCAATCACAACCAATCTCGGCTGCTACAAAATTGCTTAAATAAAACGCCACAAACGTCAGAGTCTGACATAAATTACTTATTAATCAAATGTCACTAGTGACTATTGATAACTTTCAGCTTAATAAATTGTCACCGTGGAGTAGTATATATACATATAAGTTATATATAAATAGTATACTATATTTACATATAGTCTACTATTTGTATATAACACTTCATCAACTTATTCTTCTTCCTTTTTTTAATTTTTTTTCCATAGGCTTTTCCATTTTTACTAACTTGATTTTTATAATGGGCAATATAAAACACAATGAGTCATGAGCTCTGTAGTTTGTAGTATATTCTTTGGTCATGAGTTAACGTTAATTGTCATTTTTTAATGCCATAGGGAGCTCACTAGACACTACTATAACTTGTACACTTACTAGCTAGTAACTATAATTTTTGGCTGTAAGTGTAGCTTAACATAATTACATACTTGCTCAGTGTAATATAATGCAATCAACTTACAAACGGCAAGCCTACAAAATATCCAATAAGTAAAACTTTTATTACACAGTTCTGTAAATCTCTAAAAATAAAATGGGTTCTCGTCAAATAACTGAAAAAGCCTTAACTATGTTAAGATCCCTACCGCGGGTGTCATTGGGTAACATTCGGGACAATCCAGGATATAAAAAAAACGTATGTTTTAAAATTACGATAAGCGAATTTTAAACTTTTAATGACATTACGTTCACAATTCGTTAAATTTTTAGCCTAAACGCGGCCGTGGACAGCATGGTGGTGACAAACACGGCGCTGGAAACAAGGGATCTGGCCAGAGACAAAATTATATGCGTCTCGGTTATGAAACTGGAAATAACCCATTTTACTTGAGAATGCCACATGAACACTACTATAAAGGCCATCAGTAAGTGCAATTTATGGTAACCAGCAACAGCTTAAATTAAGATAAGATATAAATTCTAATTGTTTTCTTTCAGTCTCCGAAGACAATATCCACCTTTCTCATTACATGAATTACAGCTGATAATTGATAAGGATCGTTTGGATATTTCAAAACCTATTGATATAGCTTCAATAGTGAAAAGTGGAATGTATAATTTTACCCCAGATGAGAAACACTTTGGAATTAATTTAACTGATGTAGGTGCAGATTGTTTTGCTGCCAAAATAAATATTGAAGTTCAATGGGCAAGTGAACAGGTCATAGCTGCTATAGAAAAAATGGGGGGGGTAATAACAACTGCTTATTATGATCCTCATAGTTTGTATCTCCTCAGAGACCCAAAAAAATTTTTTGAAAGTGGACAGTCCATACCAAGAAGAATGATTCCCCCACCAGATGCCATAGAATACTATACTAGTGCTAAGTCTAGGGGATATTTAGCTGATCCTGAAGAGATATCAAAAGACAGGTTGAGATTGGCACAAAAGTATGGGTATGAATTACATGTTTTAGAAGATGATCCAAATTATGAAATGCTTTGTGAACGCAAGGACCCAAGACAAATATTTTATGGCCTAGAACCAGGCTGGGTGATTAACTTGAAAGATCAATGTATACTTAAGCCAAAGGATTCAGAATTACAAAGATTCTTTGCCTCTTAATTTTCTTAAGATAAAAGTTACTAATTTTGTAAATGATAAATAGATGTATTGCTGAAAACGTTTTGACTTTATATTTTACTGGTATCAAACTATTCTATTGCATTCTGGAACTCACTCCAGTTCAAGTTTTTTTACCCTGCATAATCACCAACTACTACAAAAACGCATCTAATTATATTAAAGCAAATAGTTTCAGGGTAAATGTGAATCTTATAATCAGTCATATTAATTAAAATTTATGAAGTATTGTTTTAAATACCACTTTATTTAAAAACAAAGATATAAAACCCAATTTCAGAAATTAAGTTTATTTTTAACCATAAAAAGTTGAAAAACATGTAACATCAAAAAAAATGTTAGTCAAATCCCATGTTATTAATTCATGACAATTGATTAGTATCTGTAGTGAACAGGTTTGTATGGACCTTCAATTGCTACACCTATGTATTTTGCTTGTTTTGGTGTCAACTTAGTGAGTTTAACTCCTAGGTGATCCAAGTGAAGAGCTGCCACTTCCTCATCCAATTTCTTAGGGAGAGTATGAACTCCAACTGGGTATGTGTTGTGTTTAGTCCACAATTCAATTTGAGCCAACACTTGGTTTGTGAAAGAATTGGACATGACAAACGATGAATGGCCAGTAGCACAGCCCAAATTAACAAGCCTTCCTGCTGCTAACACAATCAAATGATTTCCATTATCCAGTTCATAACGATCAACATGTGGTTTAAGGTTGACTTTTTTGGCATTCTTGTCTAACCAAGCAACATCTATTTCACAATCAAAATGACCAATGTTACAGAGAATTACATCATCTTTCATTTTAAAGAAATGTTCCTTAGTGATAATATCAATGTTTCCAGTTGTAGTGACAAATATTTGTCCAACTTCAGCTGCTTCGTCCATTGTTGTTACTTGAAAACCTTCCATAGCAGCTTGTAAAGCATTAATTGGATCAATTTCAGTGACAATCACTCTCCCTCCGAATCCTTTAAAAGCCTGTGCACAGCCTTTACCAACATCACCATATCCACCTACGACGCATACTTTACCAGCAATCATCATGTCAGTTGCTCTTTTAATACCATCGAGCAGAGATTCTCTGCAGCCATATAAATTGTCAAATTTACTTTTAGTGACCGAATCATTGACATTTATAGCAGGCAGTTTTAGAACTCCTTCACGGAACATTTTGTACAGATTGTGAACACCAGTTGTTGTCTCTTCGCTGATACCCCTAATGCCCTCCAAAAGATGTGGATACTTTGTATGTACAAGCTTTGTCAAGTCTCCTCCATCATCCAAAATCATATTTAAAGGCTAAAACAAAAAATATAGTTAAAAGGGTTATATAAAATATGTACTCATGAGAACAGTTGTCATGTTAGAAGGCTACTTTTAATTTAATACACAGATTTTCAGTACCTTTCCATCAGAAAAAATAAGAGTTTGTTCTATACACCACATATATTCCTCTTGCGTCTCTCCCTTCCAAGCATAGATAGGCAAACCTCTTGCTACCAGGGCAGCTGCAGCTTCATCTTGTGTGCTGAACACATTGCTGCTAGACCATTGTATCTAAAAAAAATGTTTAAATATAAGGAATAAAACGTCTGAAATTTACAAATGGAAATGGGATACATAAAGCTGATAACATTGTTTTTGCTTAAGAAAAAATGTCAATGTCTTTGAAGCTAGAAAAAAAAAAAATTGGAAACATTAATTAAAAATTCAATATTAGGAAAAAACATATTAAGTTTTTCTAATTCTTTTTCATTATTTTTTTATATTTATTAATTACGTTCCATATTATCTTTTAAGTAATGCCATTAGTCATGAGTAGTAGTTACTTATGAGAGGCAAATAATGAAAACATTAGACATAAAAAACCACAACCAGAAAATAAAATTACAAAGCAATTTGGTATTACAAAAAAGTAATATAAATTGAACACAAGGTGGGTCACAACAAATAATGAAATAAAAATAATATTTGCATTATTATAACTGCTGTGATAAACTGTACTGCTTTTACATGATTCTGGTTTATATTTGAAGGAAACAAATATAATTGATTAGCCTTATTATTGTTTGAGCCCGAAACAGAAACTTAAACTATATTAAATATGTAGATAACTGATATATAGGAAATAGGTTTAAAAAAAATTTACCCCTAACTTGTAATGTAAGCATTTTTCCCTATTTACATTATTTCTTACTTTCATGGGTTTTGATATGGAACTACGCTCATAGAACTTAAGTAAAAGAAAGCATATTACTCACTTCTGCACCTAATTCAACAAGAGTCTCAATCAGTACTGCTGTCTGTACTGTCATATGAAGACTACCAGCTATTCTGGCACCCTTTAAAATCTTGACTGGTGCATATTTTTGCCTACAGGCCATTAGCCCTGGCATTTCTTTTTCAGCCATCATGATTTCATTCCGGCCAAGTTCAGCCAGCTTTTCATCAGCTGTAATAAAAACAATTAATAAATAATTTAGAACTTTAAACCATTTTTATTTGTTTTTTCAATAACATTATTGCAAAGTAATACGAAATTTAATGTGAACCTAACAATATAAAAATATTATTAAGAATTTTAGAAACTTTAAAGCACATGATAGTTTTATAATTATAGACTATTTCAAACTAAAATATATTTTAATTGCAATTGTTACGAATGTTTAAGATTATCAATTAATATAAAGAACTAATTTCAACTTACCGATTTTGTATTGTGGTTTCATTGTTTCTGAAAGAGAAAACATACATACTTTTATAACAATATTGCTAAAATCTACTAAAATATGTTAAATATCACTAAAAAGTTTTGGGTAAACCATCCGTTGTGAATGGTAATATTTTTTTTTTTTGTAATTATTTATTACATAAAGAGGAAGACCTCTATTATTTAATACACGGTTAAAAAATACTGTCAACACGCATTAGATTTTAAAAGTATTTCGAAAGGTTAAGAAATCAAACACCGAGTAAATATAGGAAACATACCAATTATAAATAAAGGCGACGACTACCTATGATTTAAACAGTTCTGTCTGAAAAGTACCTTCAGATATCTATATTAATTAAAATAATAATTAACAAAATTTAAATACCTTGCGGCTAGCACACTGGTACTTAAAGTTATAGATTACAAATTTAATTATTAAGGATATAACAGTCCACAGACTACTAAATTACTGACCACAGACTACAAGTTAAAGCGAAATCACAGAACATATAAGTTTAGAAAAGGTTGCAATATTTTTATCTCAATTGCGTTCAGAAATCCTTTAATTGTAATCTAGTACATATTAGTTTTAAGGAACAAATATTTTATTTTAAAAATAATAGGACCAGCTAATGTTCTAATGTCGTAACTCGTAAACGACAAATGAAAATTCAAAAGGCCACATTCTTGGACTAAATATTGATACGACACTTATCTTTCTATATTAAATTTAGCAAATAGAAGGCGTAAGATAAAATAGATATGGATTTTAATAGTGAATACAATGAATGTCCTTGGAAAATAGGATATTTCACTTGTGGAATTTTTAATGATGGTAAAAAATTTATTCATATAAAAGGTTTACGTACAATCACGAATAATGTTACACTAGCAATAAGCATGGGTTATTTTAGAAACCTAAAATAGTAAAATAAAATTATAAGTAACTTTACTTCAATAAATAAATATTTTATAACCTTCAATAATAATTGTACCCTAAACCCACAAAAACGCGTAATCGCTTTAATTTTTTAAAGTGGTATTTATCATACTTACCAGTTTTAATAGTAACAGCACGTTTGCTCAATGTCAACGACAAAGACTGAATAATGTAATCTTTTGAACTTTAACTTCGCGGTTATTCTATATAACAATAACAACGGATAAGAATCTACGTTCGCGTTTTTATCCAATTTATATTCTACTTAATCTTTACGCATTTTTAACTTGGAGATAATGTTGCACTATACTAAGCTATTCTGTTTGTGATATTTTTCATTATTTATATTTTAAATAATACAATTTGCAAACTTTTAAATTTATTTATTTAGAATGAAATATCTTACAGGACAATATGTTGTAGTTGAAAACAAGATAATCAAAACAATGTACACAACATAAGAATTTCGGCATTTGATTTGCGTGAGTGGGTGGTATTTAAAGACTTGATGCCTATGATTCTAGTTAAGAACCTTTCAGGGCATGGCACTTGTCCCCATACATTCTCCTATCATCCCTAATATAAGTACACATAAAATGATCATATCATTAGGAAATCTCGATCAATTATGTCCACTTAATAACTACCTTCATAACATTTGAAACAAGGACGTATCAGAACACCGGTGTATTAAATAGTATGAAATGACGAATAATAAAATACAAGTCCCAAAGCCGGCGTCTTTAACATCTCTCTTGTGACATCAGACATCGCAGAAAATCTTACATAAATCACGCAGTCACCATTCCAATCAGTGATGCTCACAGACTAGCAGACACTCAAGTATTTATTAACAGTCACATACTTAACAATTTGAATGGAAATATGCACACAATGTCTTACATTGGCGCAATTACTTTTGTTGATTCGATAATTACACATACACACTTAAAGGCACTGACTTATTCAAAACATATATGAAGATAGATTTACATGACAATTTTGAAATGTAATAAACATAAAAACACAAAAATTATCTTTCATGAATAATAAGGATATTAAGGTAATCGTTTTTATTACAATGTTATGTACAAAACGTATGTTTGAGATCTGAAGGCAGTAACTTTTTTTTATTCCCCACAACGAGTCATACATATATTAAGTCATCATATGATTGTCTTATTATCACTGTTCATAATCATATGTATTAAACACTATTCTCTATTGTAGTGTTATCTATATACTCGTATTACATAAATTAGTATACATTTATTCCATTTTTAAACAGTCAATAACACAATTCGGAATTGTTTTGATTGCGTCATGTTATACAATAAGCTGTTTTCATTGTATTGCATCATTAAAAAATTACTCTTTTTACACCCTTCCCGGGAGATTATTTTAAAACTATATATTTCTTTAGATTTAAGTTGTGAAGAATAAACAAGAGTTAGCACCAATATGGCGTCCTTAGACCTCATTCGCGTTGACTGATCGCCATCAACCATTCGTTACATTTTCACTCGCCTTAGTTTACGAAATATCTTTGATATTCATTTGCATACTTCGTCATACATACATCCGTCCATACAGCCTTTCAAAAATCTTACAAAAAATATAATAATTTACAAAATTCAAAATCCCTTGCACGAGTGCATGCCTATTATAACATACATCATCTTTCATACTATCTCTCTTTCGGGTCACATAAGTAAAGATACCACAGCCACTGTCTGTATCTATAATACCAAATAGGAAAATGCTTTGATATTACTTGATGTACATAGATTAATATGGAAAGATCGACGTGAGGCGTTCATTATTACACATATCAAGTTTGCGGTAGATGCATTAGTATTCTCTTAATGCAACAAAAATAATATATTCCATGATAAAAAGTGGGAAAAAAATGAAATGCATACACTGTAATGAATTACAATTAATAGAACCGAGTTTGTATAAATAGCTAATGCATCTATCGTCTTTTAATTAATATATGACATGATATGGCCTCCCAATTAATATATTTTAAACCTGGGGTAGCTTGGTTGTAACCTGGTTACATCACTATTGCTCCATGATATTTCAAATCTGAAACAAAGTATAATAAGCCTTATTATGCGGTATGTTACAGGTGTACAATCTGGCTGGTTGTTTAATGTTTAAAAAAACATGGGAACCCTAAATTGTGCAATAAATAACATACAGTATCATAAATTGTAATCAACAACCAAAACAATATGTGCTTCTTGATAAAGAATAATATGATAATAAAAGTTTATGTACCCATACCGAAACTGTATTTCAATCAAGCATGTTAAATTACAACAATACATAGAATGTGGGTAGAAGCATAATTGTAGAATATTCATATATAAAAAAATATGTATACTGTGTTACAATGAAGGTTAGTGGTTGTGAACTAGGAACAGGCAAATTTCTAACATAAGTTAGGAAAAGGTTAAGAATCAACTATTTGCAAAAAATACTGCTTTGTAGTTTACACGAGTAGTACACATTTAAATACAACACTTTAACGGTTTAAACCGCAATATATAATAGTTAAAGAGTAAGCAGTAAAGTGGTCAGCGGCTGCTGTAAAGCATCCGAAGCGTCAGGCTGTTAAATAATTTTCAAATAAGTTCAACTATATCGGGTTTTAAACCATTAAAGTATTTATTTAATCTTTTACAACTCAATTAACTAGAAAGTATGTAATTTTTTATAAGTTTCATCAAGGTTTTCTAGAAATTAGGATATACAACTATGCGTAAGTATAAATGAAAAACAAAGAATCGAATAATTATTGTAAGGGCCTCATAATAAGTTATGATTTAAAAACAGGTTTTAGGGCATTAATATGTTATACATCCACAAATAAACAACTTTCGCTTTTGAATTTTATTTTATGAACTCTATTTTTATTCTCTTCTGTGCTAAATCGTTAGCTTGTCCGTGATAAAAACGACTGAGCACAAAATCATCACCCTTTCGTTTGTATTTGGGAGATTTAAAGAGATATAACACAGCCAAGGCATACTTACCAGCTAGTAAGCGGCGTTTGTAGCTTGAGCTTGCGTATTTCCTTGGTAGCCCAGTTAGCGAGGGTCTTGGTACGCGGCGTGCGAGATTTGCGAGCTGCTTGCAACAACTCTCCAAGAGTTTTGGTCTCCAGGAGTGGAAGCACCCGTTGGCCGAAGACAGTGCAAAGGTCGCCCGTGAGACCGGCAATCACGGACATGTGGCCGTCTGTGCGTTCCGGTTCAGAAGCGACTTGCATCATGAAGTTTACTATCGCTGGCACATGCGGCTCCATGAGAGCTACATCAGGGCGCACCTGCTTAACAAATATTCAATAAAAACGTATTAATTATTATGGTCCAACAAACCTGTATTTTGAATCTTCACACCAGATCTGATGAATAGCGAAAATCTACACTGATATTATAAAGAGGTAAGATTTCTTTTTTTGTGTGTATGAATAACCGCAAGAAGTATCCATAAGTGCCGATTTAAAAAATCTTTTACCATTAAAAAGCTACATTTACCCTGAAAAACATTGGCTATATTTATTGTTAGAAAAAATTAGGGATCCTTACTAAAACTTTAGTAACATAAGCCTAAGCATATCATTGTTTTTCAGGCTGTTCGGCCGACGTGAGCGAGAAGATGTTCTTGACGTCTCGCGTGCGGATACCTCGAGAACCTCGTCTCGCTCATGTCGGACGAACAGCCCGAAAAACAATGATATGCTGAACGATAGCCGTAAAAACCTTACACAATATAAGTCAAAGTTTTAAAAATGTATAAATGTGTTTAATCGTGTGCGCCCGGAAACTGTCACCCCTATAAATGCTATTTTATTTATACTTTGGTATTAAGCTGTATCAAAATAAATGACGATAAAATCTAAAACGGCTTCAATACTATTGAATAATTTGTTGAATTATCAAATTTGAACAACCAACCCATTGATATAACTAATTCAAAATGTAAGTTAAATATGTGTATGAAAAATGTTTGTAAGAAGCGATGTTGGCGTCACGGGGCAGTAACTCTAAGCCAAATATACCTTTACTTCGAGAATATGTACGAAAACGAATTTCCTTAGTTGTGTTGTAGGGTAAAATGTTGAAATACTTAGAAATTATAGTATCAACAAAACAGACAATTTATGCTAAAAGTAAAAGAATAATATCGATAACGCAAGGACTGCGTTACGATATAGTACATACTACTACTAGTTACTAATAGTTTAAAACTTACAGAATAGTATAAAAAATAATGTATATATTTCATATTAGAATTTTCTTCATGGATTAATTTTTAATTAATTAAAAAAACATTACATAAATAAAAGAAAAATGTTTGGGAATGTGTGTGTAAAAGTGATAAGTATTATAATGCGCAGGATTCGTTCAGCGCTAAAGATGCGTGCCGCTACTTATAGCTAGCAGTCTCCGTACTGCAGAATAAATTAGTGTTCTGTGTTTTGCTGCATTGAGAATAGAGAGAGTGAGAGATAGAAAATATCAATATCTACACAAAACATCGCGAGAGCAGATGTCTAACTGTTGTAGTTACGTCGCTATAACTACTTTTTTACATTTAACAAATTGATTGAAATGCCGATCAAAATCAGACCGTGTTATCCATTCCATTTATACATTTTTATCCAAATAAACAATTTAATATTCAAGACTGTCTCAATACCCGATGATTACTTTTTAATTATTGAAGTCGGACATGCCATTTAAAAGATATCATGAAATTAAAATAAAAAATACATGCCGGTCGACGATAGGAGGGGCAGTGGGCTCCTTGCGCAGGGGGCACGAACGACATTGAATATTTCGATATTTTTTTTAACATTTTTATGCTTTACTTAAAAAATTCTTTCAAAGTTACTTAGTTTTAGTATTAGGAATCACACTTTGCATAATGTTTGTCAAAGTTCTTTTTAGAACTATCGCTTTGAACTTGAATATTTTCTTTTATATTATTATTAGTTTATTCTTAATTTCTCTGATTTAAAATAAATATCCTTTATTGCATTATGCCTAGAAGAAGAAGGTCGCAGCTATCTAAGATTAGATGCCAAGCGAGATTAGCAAAAGTTCGTTCTATTGGAGAGTGTTCTTGCTAAAATGATCGTCTGGAAAGTATTAGAGTGTACGCGTCTCAATCGTGAGGCAGAGATTCTATCGTCGAACGTTCAGGTTCGTCTTGCAGAACAAAATGTAAGATCGTCGCAGCGACTTGAAGGAAATAGAGCTAGGAATTCGCGAACGCGTGCACGGGCCACCAACACTGAAACCTCGCAGCGGCTCCCGAACCAGCGAGACAGACCACGGTCGTTAACAGAGGGGACGCGCAATACAATTTTTTTCTAATTTAGTGATTCATGGTCGTTTTAATTAGCATGCTTATAATTTAAATATTTATAATTATTTATGTCTACCCGTGAGAAGCCGGGACAGGGCCGCTAGTATGGTATAAAATTAAAAGAAATTTTATTATAATTTATATAAGGGTATATACCTACAAACCGATTTACCGCAATATGGGAAGCGTTATAACGACATGTCGTATCATGAAAGAATTCTATTAGCCATATATAGCCAAATTCGGCCTGTTTTGCGACTTAAAAATTTATAATGAATGTAAAGAATTATTACCTCCCCACCAAGTCCTTTTAACCCTTGAATAATTCCAGTATATGCTTCGAGTATACTTTCTCGAAGCTCTCCTAGATACTCTAGCATATCATAATCATTACGATCTACTTGGATATTGCTGGCCTGCAATTATAAGAGAAATGACATAAAAATCTTTTATTAACATTCATTAAAGTATAATTATGATGGTAACATCTACTTAAGTACTAACACTGACAAAATTTCTCTACCCTATAAAATAATACTTAGAGTATATAGTAATTACCTGCAGCAACATTTGCATAACTACATCAAAGTATTTTTTAAAGTCAGGGCCAATACTCAATGCAATATCCCCAAAAACAGACAATATTTGCGGTTTTACTGAGCGATGGATAGATGGATCACTTAAGTTCTCAAGTAACAAGAAAATAATCTCATCACAATATGGTAGCACCTGAAAGAGCAATTCATATGGATGTAAAATCAAATCATTATTATTTTGATGCAACATTCTCTCACTTCATATAAACAAAAAATAATCACCTTACTCTTGAGTGCTCGACAAATGTCACCAGTGAGACCTACTGCTGCAATGCACACCTGATACTCTTGATGATTTTTAAGACCAACATATAGATATTGCTTGAAAGCATCCATATACTTAAGAAAACCTTCACCTAACACTTCTACTAGTGTAGACACTGCCATAAGTGCATCTTCCTGTACGCCACCTGCCTTTCCAGCGTTTCCAGCAAACATGGTTAAAAGAGCTGTCATAATTGCATCTGATATTTGAGGTGCATCTTCCGGAGTCACTTTTCGTAAGACAGACTGTAGAGTCGCACATAAAAGACTTTGCAGATCATTAAACTGGGAACGATCTGCTTGACTAGATATATGGTTTTCCATTTGTAGAACTTGTTGTAGTCTTTCCAGTATAACCATAGTTGTTTTCTGAACAGTCACGTAGCAATCGGTTGGCGAATTTTTCACCATCTCCATTAGAGCTTCGTAAGCAGCTGAGCGCAAGTTATGCTGGGCGGCGTCTTGACGGTCTGTGGTTTCTAAGAGACGTTCTATAATGAAATCAAAATAAGTTGACATGCAGTATGTTTTAGGTTGACTGGAATCAGCACAATCGGCCGCTTCGTAAGCGGCTTCAGCTAATCCAGTAAAAGCCCAACAGACATTTGCAGCAACTCTTGGTTCAGCTTTCAGACCATTTACAAGACTCTCTAGAAGTGGTTTCAAGTATTGATCATTGATTGCAGCTTCTGGTACAATTTCACAGATCCTGCCAAATGTCCATGCAGCTGTGTCTCTTACTGCTACACTAGAGTCATACATAGCTTCAATTAATGTTGGCATTGCGTTCTCCACAAGTGGCTTAAGAGTATTGGACTCAAGTCCACCCAAAATAGAGCCAAAAGCCATTAGAGCAGCCTCTCTGAATCTCCAATTTTCATTTTTAATATTACTGTTAATAAATGGTAAAACATGTGGTACAATTTCATCTTCACAACAATTAGAGAGCAACATTAGGCAAACTGAAGCTGCTTTGGATGGATTCCATTCAAGTTCATCATCAGAGTCATCTTGTTTGGTCAGTTTTTGCATGAGGACAGGTGCTATGTACTGCAGTGCTCCTCTAGCGTAGAATCGAGACGTTCTTGCTGGTGGTCTACCTAGTAAATTTAAAAATCTGTTATTTTAGTTACATTCTTTAAAATTTGAGTGGTTAAGACTTTAAATAGGTACTTGAATTTACATTCTTAAATATCTTTTTTCTTAAGTTGATTAAGCCTGCATAAGTAATAATATTTAAAAGAATAAGAATGTGAATAAATCTTAATCTTGCACATAAAACATTAAACTGTACAGATAAATAATAGATATATCCAAACTTACCAACTTCTGCAGCTTCTGCTTCTTCTATGGCAAGGTCAATTTCTTCATCACTAACATTGGACCAGAACTCAATTCCTTGTAGAGAAATCTCATCAATATCTGACTTCATTGCTTCTAATGTTATGGGGAACAAAGCTTGACCCATGTAGGGCTCCATATATTGGTAATACAATGACAATATTTTAACCTGAAAGTACCAACAATCATGGAGTTCAGTACACCATTCAAGTTGCACTATTAATAGAAAACTATAATTGGAAATTTTCGAGTTCTAATCGGCACAAAAATTGCAGGAAACAAAAAAGGCTGACATTTAGGGTACATATTAATTTTCACTCATTCCATTACAACTACCACTTTAGTGTGATTCTTATTATAAAAAGAAATTAGTAATATTTCTAGATTTTACTTTTTTTACCAACAAGAACAACTTGTACCAAATAGAAAAAAAAATGTCTCCCATGTAAGGTTCAAGGCCGATCACTAAGGTTCACATTTGTAATAACCAATCCAAGACATATTTTTTGCTTTACAAAAGACATCTCTTTAAGAACAATATTTAATATCTTACTAAGCATTGTAGTGCCGCTACACTTATTCTCATGTCACTGGACTGAGTAGATTCACACACTACTTCCATAATAAAGTTGCGTTCATTTTCCTTGTCAAAGTTAGCTTTAGTAAATTCTAATGAATTAAGTAGGGCCTGTGTTGCAGCTAGTCGAACATGGTTACTTGGCTCAGTGGATCTCATTCCATGTATAATGGCAGTTAAAATTGGATTACTTTGCTCAGTTAGAACTTCTGCATCAATTTCTTGACAAATGTAACCTGAAGAAGTAAACATTCACATTGTAGTTTGATTATTTTATATATCATATTGAAATAGGTAATTTTGTTCAGGACAATCAATTTTTTTTTTCTTTTTAATATTAATTTAGGATGATATCATCTAACCTAAGTGGTAAATTATATTCCTTACTATGTTTAATGCCACAATAAGTAAAGTAGTACAAACATACCAATAGCCTCAAGGGTAGCTTCTTTTTTCAGTTCAGTTGATTGTGCATTTACTACATTTTCTACAAGAATGGGTATGAGGTCATTCCATTGGCCCATAGGTAGCTCAGCAACAGCCACATAAGCTACACACTGGGCTGCAGAACTGGGTCTACTGTTCTCAGTTCCTATGGCTGTTAGGATCTATAAAAACCAAGATAACTAAATTAATGTGATCTTTAACTTGTGACCATGGTGTAGAACATAGATACACACAGATTACTTACATTCTTTTTAATGTAGAATCTTATGTCTTCAGGCAATGCTAGCCATCTTTGCTGGTATTCATGCTTTAAAATGGGATCTTTAGATGTAAGGTGGTTCTTTAACTGTAAGCCAGCAGCCATTCGCGCCACTTGACTATTTCCACCTTGTACCAGTACATCTGATAACATTTTGATGAATGTCGTGAAATTCGTAAGGGCTGCATGATTAAGGTATTTCTCAGCTGCTTCTAATTCACTTCGATCTGAAATAATTAACCATTTATTTTATTTAAATGACGCTTAAAACAGAGTAGAAAGTTATGGAATGACGTATATGCAAAGAGGTTATTTACAATTGGTTTCTTAGTATTTGTGCTATCGACGAGTTTTCAATAGCCGTAATAATTAAATAAAGAAAAACATACATTTATTTTTGAAATCACATCTATCTTATCCTTTGTAATATTATTTTGAACTAGAAGCTTCGTTAAACATGACAGTTACTTGTAAGACATGTCATACCTAATAGAAAAGGCGACTTATATCATTTTAAAGGATCCTTTTAAATGATTTTAATGTCGGAAACACGTTAGGCGCCTTGTTAATTTAACAAAGTAATCAAGTAAATATATAACAGTATTCATGGCATATTACATGATACGTACATTCATCTACGCTTGACAATAAAGCGCCATGCTCGAGTTTAACTGTACTTACCTGGAGATATTGTCTTTTCGAGTATTTGGATAAGTGATAACGTGGTTCCCGTATGCATTTTGCTTGTTTGCTTTCTAAGTGAACTTAATTCTATAAGAAATATCTAACAAAAGATGAAAAAATCTTAACCGGCACACGACAAAGTACTCCCTCTTAGCGCCTTACAGCACAGAATTCAAAAATCTTGAACAGAAATTAGAAAGTGTACCATAGGTTACTAATTTATAATATTACCACAGACCTAAAAGAGACTTCTACATAGACCCTTGGCTTATGTTAGATTGAAATACCTAAATGTTTTACATTTTTTTGCTTAAAATAATCTGATTAAGATATTTTTAATATTTCAAGGGGCTAAGTGTAATTTCGTGCTAGATACAATGGTACATCGACTATATATTATTTAACCAATTTTTTGTACCACGATCAATCGATAACATTTACAAGTAATGTCATTTAATCGTGAACTTGTGACTTCATATTATTTTGTAGATGTTAGGGAACCCTAGAAAATTAGTATTTTTTGTATTTAAATAATGCAAATATGTTTTTGCTGAAACATATTAAATTATTTTTTTTATTGCGCCTATACGCTAATTTGCAAAATAGCGCTGCAATAAGGCTAGTGACGGCATGACCTTTTACGGGCTATTGGGGTATGTCAGTCATATTATGATTTACAATCTTCATGCATTTATATAAAACATTTACATTTCAACAGTAATTGTAGTAATGAGTTACAAATTTGTTTACTTATTAATGCAGAAAATAAAACAGTTATGGCCTTAGGAATCACGCAAGCAAGTGGTTTATAGCACTGTTTATAAATAAGTGACGTCATCATAAATCCGACCAATCACTAGCGTTTTGTGTCACATGACAATGTTTACAAAATTTAATTTTTATTTGCGGTTTTTTATTTCAATCAATTGTAATTCTTCAACATAAGTGAGTATGTGACTGTTTTCTTATTCCTAAACTTATACCTAATCCTGATAACAGTAAGTGATACTATAATTTTCGCATTGCCAAATAGCCCATTCTGTTTTCTTTAAGTGCAACATAGACATAGTTGTTGTTGTTGTTGTCTGTGAGAGCTTTGACAGTTCGAGTAATGCTTATGTTTGATGTTTTACCCAAAATTGACGTTTTTGACTATACAGCATACCAGCATTCTTTTTAACTTGACAAGTGGAGTAGTTTAATACCAGAACCGACAAATTCTTAAAAATGGTATTAAATCCGATTAATATTTCACAATCAGTCATTGAAATTAATAAATCATGATTGCCTAAATCTAAATTGTTTATATAAAGTTGTGTCAACAGTGTATTTCCATTCCTATGATGTTTTATCTTTCAGTCGCTGGTTATCCCGGACAAGTTTCAACATATTCTTCGTATTATGAATACAAACATCGATGGCAAGCGCAAAGTTATGTTTGCTATGACTGCTATTAAAGGAGTAGGTCGCCGATACTCTAATATTGTATTGAAAAAGGCCGATATTGACCTCGACAAACGTGCTGGAGAATGCACCGAAGAAGAGGTAAACAATGTGTCTCATAGAACTTTGTCTCTTATAAAAAAATGTGAAGTGCTTTTAATCTTCAGTGAACATTTTCAATCTTGTCGGATAATGAAAAAATGTCCACGAAGCTATTTATTATGAATATACACCTTTTGTTGGTTACAAGTAATAGTATACATACCTTACAACATTCTTATGATCACAAAGATATAAATAATTTTTTTTTCAGGTTGAAAAAATCATTACAATTATGTCTAACCCCAGGCAATATAAAATTCCTGATTGGTTTTTAAACAGACAAAAAGACATTGTCGATGGAAAATACAGTCAACTTACATCATCAAACTTGGATTCAAAGCTTCGTGAAGACTTAGAGAGGTTGAAGAAGATCCGTGCCCATAGAGGTATGCGTCACTACTGGGGACTCCGTGTCCGTGGTCAACACACTAAGACTACTGGTAGACGTGGAAGAACTGTTGGTGTATCTAAGAAGAAGTAAACCTAAATAAATAATTTGTAACTATTAAGCATTTTGAATAAACCTTCATAAACTATATTTTTTTTTAAACAACCAGCTATAATATATACTCGGCGTCAAAAACATCGCACCTTTTGACTTCAAGTGAATGATACTCTATTTATTGTAACCTACCAAAATTAATATCATTTAAAAGCACAATTTATAGACTTTAAAAATGCGTATCGTTCTTTTCTGTATAAACAATAATCACGAAATGCTAGGGTCTTTAAAAAAAAGTGCTGAAAAGCTCATTAGAGGACTCACTACTTGTGCCACCTTGGACATGAATAAAATTGGGGGTAAAGATTAATTATGGGTCATTAGCTATCCAGACATCACAGAAGTCTTATGTGAACAGCTCAAGTAAGAAAAATCCCTAAAAAATGGATACCAGGGTAGAAGAACCAGCTCAAGTGGTAGCACTACTACTTAGTAAAGTTTTAACTTGGGGCATGAATGATTGTTACTTATAAATCATTGCATTGGAAAATAGTATGGTTTGGGTATTTGAAAAATGAAACAAGCTAAGTTGTGATGAAGTAAAATTATATTAAAATATATTTAAATTATTCATACTGAGCAATGATGACCATCATATACACTCCAGCTAATAAGGCTAGTATTTCCTTAATTGATTGAGAAAGTTTATTTGATCCTTCTAACAATTCAGGAATCACTGAAACTGTAGCTATATAAATAAATCCACCAGCAGTAAAGGGTAAAATTAAAGAAGAGACAAGTCCTTCACTAGATCCTTGAAGGTAAATTGACAACACTGTTCCAGATATTGCCCCAAATGCAGTAAGCAACTGCAAAAGCATAGCCTTCTTTCGTGAACAGCCAGATTGCACTAAAATAGCAAAATCTCCTATTTCATGGGGTATCTCGTGAAGTAATATTGTAATTGTTGTAATAAAACCAATATTCTGCCCAGCTATAAATGATGCACCAATAGCTAAGCCATCAGTGAAATTATGAGTAAAGTCCGCAGCCAGGTTCAGATATCCTGCAATTTTGATCTCTTCTTTTTTAGACTTTTGTATTTTTTTGTTTTTATCATCTTTTTTCTTGTCCGAAACATGTGAGTGTCCATGCGCTCCACTAAAGAGTCTCACAGATTTTTCAACAACAAGAAATGTAATTATTCCTCCTAATACTCCAAGCCCAACTGTTATATCATGTGGTCCATGTTCATCATGAGAATGATTGCCTCCATGTGAGTGGCTGTGGCTGTGACTTCCATCACTGGAACTTGTGCTCATAAGTGCATGAGGAATTAAGTGAAGGAATGCATCTCCAAGAAGTCCACCAGAGGCAAACGACAATAAAACCTTAAGTAATGGCTGCTTTTCTATGGTACCATCAATAGGAATAAAGAACAATATTAAAAATGGCACTACGCTTATAAAAATAGTAGAGCTTAAAGCTTTAACATATAAATCATAATTAGTTTCAGGTGCATCTTTTATGTTAGCGGTTTTACTGTACTTGAATGATGGGGGCTCGTGGGAATGTGAATGTCCATACACTAAATGTATAAAAAACACTATTATTAAACATAATGTGAGACAAATATTACGATCTCTTCTTACAGAAAACATAACTGTAGCATTTACTTTTAAGACACGTATATGAGTCTACCCGTCTACAGATATTAAAGTTTGTGATGATAAAAACGACAAAAGTTATAGTTGTTCACAGATATAGGAAGTACAATCAAAAATACAATATTGCTCTCATATCACTAGTTATCACTAAGCACTAGCGTACTAAGATAAAGCATACCCACAAATTATAGAGCTAAATATACGCTCCACAGACTTGACGTGTGGTAGTTTAAATAATATTGTTTTTCTAAAGGACTAACACTAATTCATAATATAGCACACTGAGTGATGCCAACTTAGAATAATCCTTCCTCTGGGAAAAACACGTGCCCAGAAATTATTTTAGGGATAACTAATTAAAGGGTACTATTTTCAGGGACTATATGCTCCAAAATAAAAATCCACTCTCAAAGCTTTAATATTTCTTGACTTAAGTTTCGCTTAATATGTTACGCATCTGAAACCCACAGAGATGAAAAATTTCTCCCGTTTTGTATACATTTCCCGCTGTGTCTTCGCTTCTATTACTCCTCGATAAATGTTCTAACACAAAAATTTACAATTTAAACCCGTAGTTCCTGATATTAGCGCTTTCAAAAACAAACAAACGAACTCTTCAGCTTTATATACCTATTAATATAGATTTATTTTCCTGAAATGGAATTACATTTATAATAGACTAGCTGATTCGGCAAATGTTGTTTAATTTTGACCAAATTTGATTACCATAAAAAAATTCTTGCGAATGAGACTTAAAAGGTAAATATATTACCGCCTATCGCCGTCGATATATTTCTCTAGCATCATTTAAAGAGATATAGTACATACATAGTTTTAGGTTTCTGGAAAACCTCATTTCGTTCGTTTCAGCCCTCGTAACGAGCGGCCATAATGCTTTAGCAACACAACAATAATTTTTCAATTTGAACCAGTAGTTCCCAATTTTAGCGCGTTCAAATAAACAAACTGTTCAGCTATACTTTATAGGTACCTAATATTAGTATAGATGTAATGCCTTACTATAAGTATTCGTTAGTAGAGATGTAGGTAATTAAATAACACTATTATTGGTATCATTCATTTCTTTATATTTTCCACTGTATTTAGAATCGATATAAATTCAAAGTACAGTAATTAAAATATTAATTACTTTGCTTGATATATAATAAAAATGTGATATACTAACTGTTACACAATTAACTACTAAAGAACAAAAAAATGCAAATTTTATGTCAATAATTTTTTCACTTCACTTGGTGTCCGCCGAACAATTGCCTGAGCATCTCCATATTCATTCTTTGGATCTGTAATAGCTGCGTACAGTTGATCGTAAATGGCCAATATAACTTCAAATGCGCGTGTTTTTACTAATGATTTATGTGAGTGACTTATTAATAAATTTAATTGTGGCAAAATGTATACATCTGGATTTACTAGAAACATGTCAAACTTATTTAAAAATGATTTTAATGAAGCTGGATCCATGCCTGGAATTGCTGAAAGTGGTCCATTCACTTTGTCTTGAAGAATTGTATATATAGGCCCCATAATTAAATTAGCAACAAGGAAGCTAGCTTGCTCTGATGTTAAAGTATCTATCTGTGCTTCCGATTGTGCTTGCAGTCTCTCATTATATTCATCTAATATTGGGTACAAAGAAAGCGTACATTGAATGTGATAGATACAATTTAACATATAAACTGACATATCTGTAGAGCTTAGGTGACAGGCAGTTTCATTTATGGCATGCAACAATGGTTCTAAAATATGGGTCACAATTATCCTTTTTTGCATATTATTTATATCATTAGTGTTGTTCATCAAGTTTCTCAAAAAGCCAATTAAATCTGTAACAACTATTGACGGATTTAAGTCCTCTGGAGGTGCTTTTACACCATGACTTAACTCTCTTTGTATTTTATTATCCAATGTTATAAGGAAAATTTCCTCACTCTTCTTTAGGAGCTCATCAAAAGTATCAATAAAGAGACCTTTACCTATATGACTTTTAACTCTATCTTTATAAAAGGAGATAAGGTTTGTTATAGACCAAAGCACTAAAGGCTCTTTATCCGTTTTTAATATAAGTTCTGCTCTGATTTTTAACAACGGGCATAGAGCTTCCATTATGTTAGTGAGGCTTTCAATTACTTTTATATCCTTATCAGCCATAGAACAATGTTTAAATAAGATGCATAAATATTCTTTTTCCACAGGTAATATTTGATATACCCATGCCAAAATATCTCCAATATATCTCTTAGGATCATTTGCGTAAAACTCAATAGGCTTGGAACCATCACTACCTTTAGTCAATATATCTATAAACAACTGTACTACTACACCTTTTCTTGCATTGCTATACTCATCAACTATATTTGCAAATAAAACTTGTCTGTTTTCAAACTTTGCTAATGCTTTAGGAATAAATTGGTTACTAGGTGAGTCCACAATTAGGCATGCCCCAATAGTCCAGTGATACAACTTTTCAATAGCTGCTTCTTGTTGAAGTCCCGTTATTTCCATGAGATCAAATGCTGGTGTTTGGTACCAATTCTTAAGAAGTGTTTTACAGTTTTCGTGAAGTTTCTCAATGTGAGATAAAGAATTTAAAAACATTACCGACAGTGATGAGGTGTTGTAGAGATGTTGATGCAGTTCTGGCGAAACTTTAAATGTGTTTACAAATGCATTTGCCCACATTAACTTTTTTTGTGTTTTCTTCCGCTCATCATTAAGCTTAGTTGTTTGAGCAATGATATGGTGGGTTTTTGTTTTAGACTCATTTAATCGATTAGACATATCCTTTACGGAGACATCCAAAGTTTTGAGTGACTTCAGTAATACATTCAATTTATCTTTTACTTTTCCATACTCAGTTAGAATTGCTTTATTAACTAGTAAGTCCTTTTTTTCAATTTCGTTTAAAATTGTTCTTCGCATATAAGCAGAATCCGACGAACATAATCCCGAAATTGTGTATAGGGCTTCAGAATTATCTGCTATTACGTGGCTATCAAATATTTTGTTTATTTTATGTCTAATAGGATTTTTGTATATATCCTCCATTTCCTTTCTTAGCCGGCACTTCGAAGTTCAAAGTATAGAATCTAAATCTTACTTTAATTACATCAATTTTCGTATTTTCTAAAGATTTGCAAAAATCCAATCTAAAACTCTATAATATAATGACGACTACAAGTAGAACAAAATATTTATGTTCCGAATTTGATAATATGCTACTGTCATGGACTGTTAGCGACGTCTGTACACAGATGTAATCTTTATGTTATTGTCTGATATAAATATTTCTATTTGACTTTTGCCCGTAAAAATTAGATATGTTTTTCACAACCAAAGAATAATAATTATAAGAATAATCAAATCTTAATTCCACATACAAAAATACTTACTGACATTACTTCTTGCTCACAATTCCCTATTTTTACGTCATGACAATTGACATCATGTTACTTGTGTTTTCATTTTTAAATTCAGTGTTCTAGGACTCAGGGTTTTAAGTCTGGTCAAGCATTTTTTAAATATTGAAATATTTTTTTATAAAACATGTGTTACAATTTCTTATTATTTCTGTGATAAACCATATTAAATGCAATTTCATTCCGTGATTATTCATTCATGATATTTAAAAGATTTGCATTATTTACTAAGTGTAAAAGCATTATACATTACTTAACATCTAAGATGGCTAAAAGTTCTTTTGAATATGTAAAAAAATTCGAACTTGATGACACGTTACTGCCTGATACTTGGATTATTGTTAGACTTGATGGTAAATGTTTCCACAAGTTTTCAGAAGATCACAATTTTATGAAACCTAATGATATACGGGCGTTAAAATTAATGAACTATGCAGCATATCAAGTATTGAAAGATTTTAATGATGTATGTTTAGGGTATGGGCAAAGTGATGAATATTCATTTATTTTTAAGAAGAACACTACACTTTACAAAAGAAGAGCAGCAAAGCTTTTGACAACAATAAATAGTAAATTTTCATCTTCATATGTTTATTATTGGAGTAAATTTTTTGGGACACAAGCCCTCCAATACCCCCCTGTATTTGATGGCCGAATTGTGTTGTATCCATCTGAAGCAAATGTTATTGACTATCTTAAGTGGAGACAAGCAGATGTTCACATAAATAATTTGTATAATACAGCTTTTTGGACTCTTGTCCTCCAAGGAAAACTAAGCCCTGCCCAAGCTGAAAAACGTTTGTGTGGAACTGTGTCAGCTGATAAAAATGAGATACTTTTTAAGGAGTTTAACTTAAATTACAATAAGGAAAAAGAGATATTTAAGAGGGGTTCTTTGCTTTTAAGGCAACCTGTAAAAATGGATGAATCAGGGGCAGTTATATCAGCTATTGTAGATATTCACGATGACATGCTTAAAGAAAAATTTTGGGTTAAATATGAAAATTTATTGGATACCAAGGGTAAAAACAAGCTGCCAATATATGAGGGTCCATTAACAGATATAATAGATGAACAAATACCGCTGCCACAAAAAGAGTAATTAAGTGAAGAAAATTTTATTTAAATATAATTTACAACATATAGTTTTGTAATTTATTAATACATATAATATAATTTATAATTTCCATATAACAGTTTTAATTTTAAAAAGAAACAAGTAATAATTAGATTAATTGTAGATTTTTTTAAAACTGCTCAATACTAGTACTGCTTTGTCTTTTATTTTCATATCAAGTCCAATGGGATATTTTGGTGAACAATGGAATGATGAAGCAATAATAATTTGAAGCATTAGTTATATTGCTACTTTTGCATTTTAACACTTATATTAAAGAGTGATACAAGTTCACTTTCATGTTTTATAACAGGTTACAATCAACTACTCGATAAATAATTTCGAACATAAAATCTTACATTTATTTACAATGTGCTAAACTTTTAACCATTTTTGAATTTAGAATATGGGAATGTAGTTATCAATTTTAGCACGGTGCTTTTGTGCCACACACTCACTGATCCATACAATATTCCTGCATTCTTGCTCCTTTAGCTTTAGGTACGAGTAAAATACTCCAAAGTGGAATTGTTGCAAGAAGGCCATTACATTCAAGCTTACCTAAAACAAAGCATTAAATATATGTCTTAGTTATTTTACCAGAAAATGATTCCTAATATCAGCTAGTATTTATTCCCTATGAGGGACATAAAAATTAACTGAAGCATTCAACATTTCAAAATCTTATATACAAATGTAAAACAGCTATCCCAATATAACAAGAATATATGTTTTAGAAATTTTAACAACTAACCTCATGCTCAAAGAATTTATCTTCCAATGTCTTGTCTCCAACATTGCTTCCTGCACCTTCAAAGAGAGCAGAATATTCTGCATAATACTCCGCAACAGCTTTCACTTGTTCGTAGTCATCCGCGCGGGCTAAAGCAGCCAATCCATCAGGGTTAAGTTTACCACAGCGTGGGTACAATTTTGCACGATCATCCTTTGAAAGTTCAGTTCCAAAGGAATTGATAGTAATAATAATGGCACGCCGGTCAGCCTCAAACTAAAACATGAAATACAATTGTTTATAACTGAATACAAAAATACTTGGCAAAAATAAACCACACTTACTGCTAAAATCTCACACATAACATCAGATGTAGTTCCACCAATTTGCTTGCAGAACTCATAGAAAGCTTCCAAATATGCCTTGTATAGTGTGTTACGAATAATCTCAATATTCATTTCATCCAAATCTTGTTCACTGATGCAGTCTACAAAAAATGGTGCTAGTGGGGTGTCCACCAAAACAGCATTGTAAAGCTCAGCTGGTGTTGCTGCTACATGTATAGCTTCCATTTGTTCGAATGAACCCAGTGGGTGACATTTCGGAATCAATTCAGAAATAGGTCTCTGGTGAAGAGTACCAGTGATCAACAAGATAATATTATCAATCATGTAGCTGTAAGTGATAAAATCCAAAAATGTGGACATGGGTTCCACTGAATGATTGCGGAGATGCTGAAACTCGATGACGAGCTTTTCACGTAGTTTATCATCAATGGTAGACACAGCGAGTGGGCTGGGCTCATTCGCTAAGAATGTTCCATAGTCAGTTCCTTGAAGGTGAAGTTTTAAGTCTGCAGAAGAAAACGCAATAATGTATGACATATATCTCATTGGAGCTACACAATAAATAATTCTAAATATATTAGTATAACTCACCTTCCAGGGTCTCGCACTGTACCAAGTTAAGGTAATCAGCTTGTTTTAAAATACCACACTTAAAGCCCCTGCACAGGCCTTCTAGGTATCCTGCATCAATATTAAAAATGCACCCCTTCATTATAACAAATTCCTCTTCAAGTTAAACTTTTTAAAAGGAATACCAAACACTACGATCTACAAATGGGAGGAATACTTCATACAGTCGAAACTCGAAAATACCAAAACCATCGATTGATCATATGACAAGTCCATAGACAAAATGTTAAGTGTTCTACAGATTCATGCGGTGTGAAGCTAGTACACATTGTCTCTATTTATATTTAGTTCGTAAAGTATCTTTATCTGTGATCTCTTTGGCCAGTATGTTAGAGAAAAGTGAAAACATCGATCAATAAAGGCAATATATGTCGCAGAAATAAATTATACCATTTTATCATACTAATTTATGTCATGTTGTCGTTACGAAGAATGTGTTTAAGGACAATCCCAGAGAGTAATTTTTATTATTTTTAATCGCTTTAGTTTAAATAATTTAGTTTTAAGCTAGAAATTAATCGCTTATACATATATTTTTTTAGGAATTCAGAATAACGTGATACTCAAAAGTTATTCTAAAGCTGGAAGCTATGCGAGTGATCCTGAAGATAATACTAAAAAATCTGAATCAAACAGGTTAGCAGAATTTCGAAAGAAACTTAGGGAAACCACACCAATAAATGATTTAGGCGAACAAGCAGACTTATCTTCTCCCAAAGATGACCCTTTACCGGCTTGGCCAAACAATACAAATCCAAACACTGGTGAGGTAGGAGGACCTAGAGGTCCTGAACCTACAAGGTATGGTGATTGGGAAAGGAAAGGAAGAGTATCAGATTTTTAAATAAGTTTCTTGGGACCTGTGATCTAGTTGAAATATGTTAGACCTAAGACTAGAATAAATTCGAAGTGAGGTATGCAATAAATATGAAGTTGACATTAATAAAAATAGTTTATGCTTAAGAGTTTTTATTATGTTTTAGCAGATTTACCAACAATCTTTGGCATCTTCTTGTTAGTTGAATCTTCTAGTTCCTTTGCTTTATAGTAGTGAGGTGCTACTTCTAAGAGCCATTTGCTTTCTATTTCAGTAACTTGCCTCATAAATTCTTTTGAGGTAAACACAAGTTCGTGATAAATAACCCATCTTGGTAGCTCTTCAAACAATGCACTATTTGGATGTATCATAACAGTCTGTAATAGAAATTACCAACTTACTAACAAAATATATTTATAAATACCTTAAATTTAACAAGGGAAATGAATTCTCATAGCCAGAAATTTGTGGACTGTTTTTTCCAGTATTAGTAGGAGTAAGTAAGAGAGTTAGTAAAATATATTTTAATTGATTTATTTAACAAAATTATGTAGAGAACTTGCAGGCATTTTACTTGAAACTGGCAATTTACCTATAGAAGAGTTATACTTACTTGGTTATGTTTGACTGTTTTATAGTGACCGCCTTTGGAAAATTTTGCTATGTGGTAAAAATACCCTGCGGTAATTGCTTTACGTATATTGGAATCTTCTGCTTTACTGGATACCATATCAATTTCCACCCTCTCCATTAACCCAGCAAGCTGATCCCGTACATCACGGGCTCGTTTCATAGATCTATATTGTATGAAGTTTTCATAACACCACTGCACAGAATATTCGGAATCAGCCCATTGGTTGTAGACATTCATAAGTGTCAAATGATCTCCACTCGGATGAAAGAAGTTTTTTCTTGCTGTGTCAGCATGTATTATTTTATCTTTTGGCCTGTAAAATACAGAACTGTTGACAGACAACATTGCTGCAATTGTGACGATTTCTTCAGAGCATTTGTACCTGTAACCAATGATTAGTTTAGGATTATTTTTACTTTACTTTTAAAATTAAACATAGTTTTAGTAATATACTGACTTTTCACTGGCTAATAGCATTTTAGCAAGCATTGGATCAGTTGGAAACTCAGCCATTCTTCTACCTGCTTTAGTTAATTCTCCATGATGATTCAAAGCACCAAGAGCATACAATTGTTCTAATGCTAACACTAATGTTTCATGAGGAGGGGGATCTAGAAAATCAAAGTGTATTAAATCATTGATTCCTAAAGCTTTCAATGTAAGTACTGCATTCCCTAAGTTTATTCTCTGTATTTCTGGAACGGTATTATCTTCAAGTTCATACTTGTAAGCCCAAGCTGTGTACAACCTAAAGCATTTTCCAGGCGCAACTCTACCAGCTCTGCCTGCCCTTTGATTGGCTGATGCTTTTGAGATAGGCACTACCATGAGACTCTCCATGCCCGTTTTTGAATTAAAATTATTTTGTTTAGCAAAACCGGGATCAATAACATATATTATATTGTCTATTGTAAGTGATGTTTCTGCTATGTTTGTTGCCAAAACCACCTTTCTAGCTCCTTCAGGTGTAGGCTCAAATATTTTTGCTTGCATGTCACTAGGAAGATTTGCATACACAGGAAGAATTAAAAGTTCTTTTAATTTTTTTCCTAGCCTCTTAGTCCTTTCTTGTAACATTTCAACACAAGTTTCAATTTCTTCTTGACCAGTAAGGAAAACGAGAATATCACCCAGTGGTTGTGTGGCATGTATTTGCAACACAGATACAACACTTGCATCAATATAATCTGCCTCAGGTGCTTTTGTATAATAAATATCAACAGGAAATCTTCTACCAGGTATCCTAAATATAGGTGCTTCATCAAAGAAATTAGAAAATTTCTCTGCATCTAATGTAGCACTGGATATGAGAAGCTTCAAATCTGGTCTAAACCGGGTTATATCTTTTACTAAGCCAAATAAAATATCTGTATGGAGTGTCCTTTCATGTGCTTCATCAATGATCATAACACTGTATGATGCAAGATCAGGTTCAGAAAGAAACTCTCTGTGCAATGTACCATCTGTCATATATTTTATAACAGTCCTATCTGATGTACAATCTTCAAATCGAATGCTGTAGCCAACTTCATTACCAAGTTTAACATTCATTTCTTGTGCGACTCTAGCTGCTACAGACATTGCTGCTACTCTTCTTGGTTGGGTGCACCCAATTTTTTTGCCATCTTTTGTGAAGCCAGCTTCATGAAGATATTGAGGAATTTGAGTAGTTTTTCCTGAGCCAGTTTCACCCTCAACAATGAGGATTTGATAATTCTTAATTGCTTCAATTAAAGAATCACGAAAGGGATACACGGGTAATGATTTCTTTGTCTCTTCTATGGACATTCTAAGTTTTTTAAATTCAGAAACCTCTTCGGTTTCACTTTTCTCTTTATTCCCTTCAAGTTGTAAAGCTTGTATAAAATCAATTTGCTCATCCAGAAGTAACTCATATTCATCTTGTGCTTTAGCATCTTTAGCCCCAAATTTAAAGAAAGCAGATTTAATTTGTTCTTGTTCCCATTTTCTCTGTTCTGCATGTGGCAATTTTTCATTATCATCCACTTCAACATAATCACCTATAAGAAGAGAAAAATAATGCATGTAAAATGTTATATTAAAACATGTTGTTCTGTTAAATCCAATGAATGATTTTTATAAGTGTTCAGGAAAATATTTAAAAATATCCAGTATACACACCTTTCTCACCCTTGCCAAGGTCTCGTGGCATATGATACCTTTGAATATTCTCAAGTTCTCTTGCTTTTTCATGTTCTTTTGCTAATTTCAATATGGTTTTTTTATGTTCCCTATCTTTCTTTTCTCTTTCTGTTAAGCTGAAATTTAAATGCACATTTACTTAGTATACAATTAGAATTAAAGAAAAAAAGCAATAGTCTATAACACCAAGTCTTACTTACATACTCTCTTCAAACAAATATTCATCATCTGCAATATCATCTTCAAGTTCAACAACTTTATCATCTTTTCTCTTTTGTAAATATTTCCTTCGAGATTGGACACGCAGTTTTGGCAATAACTTTTCTCTGTCTTCAGCCTCTAATTTTAGACGTTTAGCGGCTTCTTCGTAGGATCGTTTGCTGGATTTCTCAGTTACTCTCTTAGTTTTCTCTTCATCCCGTTTCTTAAGTCTCCTAGCAAATTCGTCTCGTTCCTTCAAATCTTTTAATCGACTTTCTTCGATACTGTCAGAATCCGACGAATGGTGCCGTTTCCCACGTTTATCCATATTTATTTTTAATAGTTCTATTAGAATTGCGAAAAGTGAGTTTCTTATTTACATTATATTTTGAAAAAGGTTCTAAAGACGCCAATACAAACACATTTGACAGTTCTATATGATATCTAGTATTGTAGTTATAGTGATATAGTTTGATATGAGCAACATAGAGACTTCAAATTCAGTACATAATCCCACAGACAAACCATAACGTTTGATAACCGACATACTTTCTGCAATTAAAAAATATTATTTGCTTGCTGATCTTTTACCTTTTTGACTTTGTTTTTAAGTATTTCGAGCAAACTTACAATACAAATTACAATAACGGTTCTTGTGAGTTAATTATAAAAGATAGACATAAGTATATATCTTTTAAGAACTGCACATTTTTAGATCATATAAAGAAGAATTTTATTCCTAATTTTTTGGGATCTTGAATGATTTACGCAGCGGATGCCACTCTAACACTAAAATGTGTTAGAGTGGCGTCATTGTATCATCACCACTATCATTGTATAATTAAGAATTTTATTTGTAATACCTATTATTATTTTTTAAATAGTGTGAAATGAGGAGTGAGGATCTTAAAATACTCGGTAAATCAAAATAAGAAAAGTGTGTGAAATAAATATAATAAAAAAGGTTTTTGTTTTTTTCTCTTAGGTACGGTTTTTTGGACACAATTTTTTAGTTTTTACATTTAAAAAAATATTAAATTAAAAAGTTTTCTAGCGTTTCGTGCTTTTCTTAAATGATATTTACGAACACTTTACATATGTACATTAATTGCTTTTATATTAATTAAGTAAGAAAAACTTTTTTCGTGGTTTATATACTTTTGTAGTGGACACGTGTCAGATGTGATTAAATGTTAATTCTATTAATATTCTTTATGCGTTGAAATGGTTTTGAGACACATTGTGATTTAAGTACAATTATATTGCTTATAATATAATAATTTTGAATAAAAAATAAAGTAACATCATCTTTCTAGTTCTTAACCAATTAGTTAGAAATTTGTTTAACAAAGAAACAATATGTCCAAAAAGTTATTTTTACGGTAAGATTATCTATTAAGACGCTTATGTTGATTAATTATTAATTCACACTGGTGAAATACTTGATTGTAATGATTAAAGATATATTTCAGGTCATATTCTTTATTTTCGGGTTCCGAAAATTTTATACACAAAGTAAAAGCAACAAAATTGCAGCAATGGGCGGGGAGTGCGTTGAAAAATTTCCAGTTTGTGAAAATAATGGGGCCTACTGCAGAAGAAGTAAGTTTTGGTATAGAGTCTGTTCGGTGTAAGTGCTACGTAATGTGATATATTAATGAGTTTCTCTAACTTAATATCGATTACTTTACGTTGTAATTAAGAATTATGTGTTCTGCCCGATCTGTTCTAATTAATATGTTTTCCATGGATACCTCAGAATATCTAGTGCTTTAAAACCTCACTTTAATAGTATTTAATGATTGAAGATCATAAGAGATGCCGATTTATCTAACAAAACCTGTCTCATCACGGGCGCTAATAGTGGTATTGGATTGGAATTGACGAAGTGCCTTAATGCCAACGGTTGTAAAGTGCTGATGGCCTGCCGAAACACGTACGAGGCAAGTGTTGTTGCAAAAAACTGCTGTGAGAAACATGAGAATATTAACCTATATGAGTTAAATCTCGCGTCCTTGGCGTCGGTGAAAAAATGTTCTGAAAAAATATTACAAAATGAAAAGTATGTTAATTGTTATTACATCTTTGTGATTTCTCTCTTTAATACGGTGCCTAAATAACACATTTATCCACAGAAAACTTGACATAGTTATTCTTAACGCAGCTACATTCGGCTTGCCGTGGACCCTCACCGAAGATGGGCTGGAAACTACGTTTCAAGTTAATTATTTAGCCCAGTTCTTTTTCATAATAACCCTAGAGAAAATATTGGCACCAGAGGCAAGAGTCGTTTTCACGAGCGCTGAATCTCATAGGTTATTTTTTTTTAAACCTAATGTAATTGTACCTGTACCAGACCAGTAACATAATCATGTAAGCCTTGGTCTGACATCAAACACAGAATAGCACAGAATATGTTTTGGAGATTAAATAGGTGGCAGGAATAACTTGTTCTGACGCAATTCTGTCCGGACCAAGAGCCGATCGCGTTTCGGTTTCGATCTGTGGATTTATGAAAGTCCAAAGGACGAAGCGCATTTTATCTAAATCCCACGCTGGGCTGTCATAAATAAAATTGAAAGCATTACAACTTTTAGGAACATAAAATGGCCGATCGAGACTATGTTGTCACCGACACTGAACGACATATCGCTTCCGGAGAAAGAGTATACGTCGATCAAAGCGTACAATGTTTCAAAGCTATGCGGGGTGCTGGCCATGCATTACCTGGGTTATCGCTGGTTGAACAGCAACATATCTGTCTTTTGTGCACACCCCGGCTCCTTCATTAAAACGAGGTTGTCGCGAAATTGGTGGGTTTTTGAAACGTTGTACACGTCCATGATTCCGTTTGCAAAGAATGCGGTGAGTGCGTTTTATTTTCTACGACATATCATAAAATGACCAAGTATGGCACTACTGTTTACTAGACGTCGTATTCTCTTTAGGATTGCACATTTTGTGTTAACACAATGTAAAGTAACGTCGCTGTGACGGCAGTTAACAACAAATTTGGAATAATTCTAATAAATACGAATAACAAATAGAAAATACAAAATGACTGATATTAACATACTTCCAATATGAATAGTTTTTTACATTTATTAACACTGGCCTGTAATAAGCTTCTTTACCACCATATATTAACCATTATCATATATTTATTAAGTATACAAATTTGACTATTCTTATCTGTCTAGAAACAAGGCGCAAGCACGATAATGTACTGCGCTACGTCCCCTGAGCTTACGGGTTTATCGACTCTGTATTTCAAGAACTGTCGACGATCTAGCGAAAGCGTCATGGCTAGGGACTCGTATTTATCCTTCAAGATACAGGATTTAACCAGAGACGTCATTCGCGACAAAGTACCAGGTTACGACTACAGTATTGTGAAACCGGATACACAAGGGGACATGGAGAAAGAAACTATGGAAGATACCCTTGCTTCCAATTATTCCACTTAAACAGAATGCATATTTAAAGGGAGTAGTTAGTTTCTTTGTTTTAATAAAAGTCGTTTTAAATAAAACACGTGTTTATATAAGTACGAGCACAATAATTGTTAATAATAATTAATATTAAATTTCATCACTTAAATTTGTATTGCCATGGGCTTGTATATATGATATATAAAACTTATGTACTATGTTAACTATTAAAACAAGAATCGAACTTTAAAAACACCTGTGTGATAACAGATTCACTTAGCTTGTGCATAGGTATTTGTTTTATTAAATGCTTCAAATGCAAAGTTAATCTTCTAATTGTTATAATCTTCAGTGTAATATTCTGTGATAGTTCATTCACATTTCATTACTTGAATTTAAATAGAATGGAAACCTAACAAACGTTTATAACATATAACACAGTAAATATTTTTAACTAATTAAATATTAATCACTACTTACTATTTGCTAAAGGACAATTACTATTTTTTATACAATAGATGTAGCCGAAAAGTATTCCTATAATGACAATTGTAACTATTTCATTTAAATAAAAGTCAGGTAGTCTAATTACAATGAATGGGTCTGGATATTAACTTATTTTTTTTATATGTCATTATATATTAATAGTAAAAAATAACGATCTAGCCTTGATTCTTGCTGTACATAAATTGTCTTATTCTACAGCCCATCGACATAACTACGGAATACATTTTATTTATATATTAACCTTTACTTATTCTCTTTAACAATCCACATTCTATAACAATACAATCAAACATTTATTTCTACTCTTATATAATAGATCAGAGTCTAATAGGTTCTTTTTAAATATATTAACGTTACATTTCATGTTAACAAATAATTTTAAACAAGTATACGAGTTATTATAACCTAACTGTATTAACATTACCAGTATTACGAATCTGAACAACAGCGTGAATTTTATTTAAGTATTTCGGCATAATATAATACGTTGTATGATTTGCAATATCAAAAATCTAGTATTATGCATTTGTATCCGCAAACATTTGTAATATTCAAAAACCGTGACGTCATTAATGTAGAATACAAAAATGCACACTGCGTGCATATTATAAGGACACTTTTAGTAGAGAAGAATACGTTTTTCAACTTGCTTACGACATATTGGACACACTGTTATGCAGTCTCCACACATTTGGCACATACCGTGTCCACACAGGAATATCATGTTCTTCAATCGGTCCAAGCAAATCGGGCACATTGTCTGAAAAAAATAATGTACTATTAGTTTACCAAATTATATGCTGCTACTCGAATTTCATCAAGACATCATGGCGTTTGATCACGATGAAATGCCTTAATTCTCATCAATTTATGATGTAAAACATTTTAGATTGAAGAAAATCAATGAGAAGCGTGGGACATGAACCCACTATCGTTTCGTCTTCGCGTCATAGTTAAAGTGTTCTCACGTGCACGCTCAGCGTTCCGTGAGATATTGTGGCCCGGTGGCTCAATTGGTTAGAGCAACAGTCTAAACAATTGAGCTACCGAGCCAGATAGATATATCAGGTAGTTGTAACAAATTACTTGTTCTTTGATATCCTGCAACTGTTGCTGCAGCTTCTGCACCTCTGCTGTCGACGGTATGTTGGCAGTGTTGGAATTGGTAGGTGGAATGGAGGGGGCTGCGTTACTTGGGGCTGGAGGTGCATTTCCAGACCGGCTGCCGTTATTCATGAGATGTGGTCCGGCTTGAACTGGCGCTGGCTGACCCTTATTTACTTGAAGGCTCGCTAGGTTGCTTGTGCTTTCTTTTGCGACTGAAATCAATATAAATAATCGTATATAATGACAATGATAGTATTACAATTTCTTAGTAGAACAACTAAACCAATAATTTACTTTTTACACATTAGGATTGCATTGAATAGGAAAATGTGTGTACAAAGCTCATTCGAGTTTTTCGGCACGGCTTCGACTCGAAGAATATATTGTAAAATAGTTTATACTAATTTTTACTACTACTAAAATTTATACTAATACATTATATAACAAATGGCAAATAAAATAATAGTGTAATGTTCTGTTTTGTGCCTAACCAAATACGTTCAATCAGGTTTGTCTCAGAATAAAAAGCCTTGTAAGTGAACCTGTGACATGGTCAAAACTGTAAAAACAGTACAGTTTTAGTAAATTACACTCACGGTCGATCTTGTGTATATTATGGTGGTGCAGTGGCGTGCGGCATTCGACGCATTTGCGCATTAGCGGCGCGCAAGAGGCGCACGCGCATACATCCCCGCATGGCCAGAAAACCACAGTCGCAGGAGCTTCCGAGCAAACCACGCACTCGCCTACACGCGCCCTCGACGTTACTGGTGCTCGACACTCAAGGCATTTCTTTACCTAGAAAAATTTTAGTGGACTATTAACACCGACACTTAATAAAAGAATTTTTAGAGTCTAATTCACTACCTACAGCGTAATTATTATGATAAATAAGGTCAGGACAAACAGGCGTAAGGGTTCACTTCATGGTAAGTGAAAACCCTAGCCATATGACAGCTAAGAAAGATGAAATCGACAAATTTAGTATCGAGATTTCCAGACAAAGTTCAACATTTAAATAAAACACTTTAACGGTTTAAAACGCGATATATTAGCTAAACTTATTTGAAAATGATTTTTAACTTCGGCCCGACGTTTCGGATGCTTTGCAGCAGCCGTGGTCACGGGGTGACTGACAAAGTTAAAAATCATTGTCAAATAAGTTTAACTAATATATCACGTTTTAAACCGTTAAAGTGTTTTATTTAAATGTGTACTACTCGCGTAAACTATAGACCGTATTTAAAGTTCAACATATTTCAGAAAACTTATAAATTAATTAGAAAAATGTTGGATTCAGTGGATCCAACCCACGGCCATACATTTCTACCATTATAGCAGCCTGTCATTTCGTGGAAGGTCTATAATGTCTAAATAAGATGCGATGTAAAACTATCATGGCATTGGACATTTCTAAATCTGCACACTGTAACCAAAACACAAATTTAATCTACACGCTTTTCCATCTTTGTATCCCAGCTCGTAATCCAGACCAGTTGAAAATTGAACTTATGACCCGTGTAAAGCCAATGGTATTTGAGAGTTACTACTCTGTGAATCGAGTTAATACGAACCACTATAACTTTTCGATCTATGATATATAAGCAATATATGTAGCGTTAATCTTATCTAGTTTTTTCATAGTTTCGTCGAAAATTACATTTGCGAGCGAGTTTGCGTGTCTAAAATGGGTCGGCTGGCACTTTGCCACCCCTTTCTTGTATAAAATCAATCAAATGATAGCAATGTCACTGGCATTATCTTACCTACGTTTGAATCGTAGTAAAAAATTTAGGACAATAAGGTTTTGCCCAACACCAAGCGACGATGAATGTGGAGTAAAAAGTGTTAGGCTTAATGTACTAAGATGATTTTGATAGACGATTTTATGCAATCTACATACAAGAATATGCCAACATTTTGTTATTAAAGCTTTGAGATGCTGAGATAATCACTTAGTATCTGATATCTTTTGTAGTTTACGCGAGCGGTACACATTTGAATCAAACACTTAATGCAGTTCTAAACGCGAGTAGTTCCTCGTGACAGGGTCGTAGTAAAAATAAAAATAACCTAACTTATATAGCTATTTCGCCTTTTCAACCGTTAAGAGTTTTATTTAACCCCGTGTTTCGTATTAGAAGAATGATAAGAAAATGATATTATTCGCGTTTTGTAGCAAACAAATTTTCGGATTAAATTGTATTTGCAAATTAAAAATAAATTTTGTAATTATAAAAACTTTCAGAGTTCTTTATACACATTAATTAAAACTAACTTTACGTGGTAGACTAAATAAAACACGGTTACGTGCAAAGCATCCGAAACGTTGGGCCGAAGTTAAAAATAATTTTCAAATAAGTTTAACTAATATATCGCGTTTTAAACCGCTAAAGTGTTTTATTTATAAGTATAACTAAAAGAAATGCATGCATTTAATTTAATTAATTCATTCAAAAGACGCATAACGTCTCGGTCGAAATCTTTAAAACATTTTATAGACCCGCGAACATCTGTTGAGTGATTCAGTATTTAAAGCTCATAGTTGCGTAGTGTGTATTTCTGTTATTTTTCGGGTGACCACATTTTTTCTGTAACGATCTCTACAGGTCTATAAGTTTAAAATTCAGTGGAATGGCGTAAAAGCAATGTGGAGTATAAACTGTGTATTAAATCTTCACTGTACGTTTGTACTTATTAAAACCAGAAGTATCTAGTCAACAAATCACTCTTAGTAAATCGAACTATGACTTCGATTCGGAAACCAAATGTTCACTTATTTGTTAGTTTTACAGCATTTAAACGCATTCGTTTAGTTACTCATTTGTAGCCAAATGGCTCTTATTTTTGGCACCTATGTGTACCTTTTGGCAGGCACATTTATTTAATGAAAAATACATACATATTTTCCTGGCTTCACCTAAGAACTGTCAACCAGAGTAAGAAGTGGCTATAGAAATAAATTACCCTAGAAGCGCAGACGTTGCAACAGCAAATATGGCCGCAGGGTCTGAACAATGTGTCGCGTTTTGCGTCAGAGCAGACGAGGCATTCGTCAGTTGTAGGGTCGTGCTTTGGAGCAGTTTCGGTGATGGCTGGGGCTTCAGCTGCGACCGACGAGGACGTACTAGGAACTACACTGAACGAAGTGCTCTCACTCTCGGGTGTACCGTCGCTGGGTGCTCCTTTACGATATGATGTTAGTGTTTTGCATAAGTTTGGATCTGGACAAAGGTCTAATGGTGTCTGTCCTGAAATTGGTAAACAAAATATATAAGTTTACTGATTTTAAAGATACTAATCGTATGTGTATGTGCGTTTTAGAAATATTGAATAAAAATAATGTTTACTATATGAAATTGAGTTTTACTGTATGTTTTTTAAATTAACACAATGTCTATATTAATATAATAAAGCTTAAGAGTTTATTTGTCTGAACACGTGAATCCCAGAAAAACTATATAGTGGGAATTGGAAAGTTATTTTTATGTCGGTTGAAGCATTTACTCGGGAACGTTTTAGGCTATAAAACATCAGGTCAATGGTCGCTTACCTATAGTGTGAAGAAACAGAGGGAAATGTGTTAAAGACGGACAAAGCCATTTATTTTAGAGTGTTTCAATATATCCAAAAATCAGAATAATTGAATTATTCATATTTAATTAATAAAAAAAATGTGAAAGAATATGTCTAATTTTTAATATTAACTCACAAGAGCCGTTTTTGAGGTTATCAAATTTTGTTTGAAATATTTCATATGAAAACTTTGCCAGGTTAATAATATTTGCTAGATTAATAATATAACTATCGTATAACATATAATAGCCGACGTCATAATCACATCTGAGCTTTAGTCGAAACGAAGTCTATTTTTTTTAAACTATTATCTACTTTGTCAAAAGTAGCTTAAGAATGCAACAAAAAAAGGTTATATAAAATAATGAGTATTGCCAGTAGTTATTGTTCGTTATAGTAAATGTCGCTACAATTAGAAGTACTTAATATTTAAACAAAATTTCACTATTTTAAGCAATCATAACCTTCGATTGAAATAAATACATAACGTTGACTAAAGAGTAACACATGCCATGTCTAAGTAATTTGGCGCCGATACAAGTTGAGCCATTTAAATGAGCAATGCAATCTATTAAAGTTAGAAATGCAAGAATAAAAGCGTGCGTCGTTATCAAACTGAAATCCCGATTCTCCAACTCCGCCCGTGCGGAAACATTTCTGGTTAGACTAATAGATAATTTTACAGGCTGGGATTCGAACCCGGCATCTTATCCACTAATAGAATGACACGCATTTTAGAGTTTGAGTCATAACGATGATATTAACTGAATGAACATATGAAAAATACTATTAATTATTATAAACATTAATAATTTAAATATACTATAAATTGAAAGAGCAAACGCACTGGATGCCGGTTCGAGTCCTGCCCGAGTCGTATTTTTTTTTTCAATTTATAAATTCAATGAACATACATAAATTAACAACCTTTTTTGTTTTTGATGGTTAAATCTGCTCCATTGGCTGCAAGGAAACAAGCAATAGATGCTGAAGACTTTTTATCAAGTGCATTCGCGATTCCACCAAGAGATGGAAAATCTGTATCCTCTTGTAATCGCCTAAGCTGCTGCAGAGTGTGGTGTCTTAACGCTTCATGAAGAGGCGTATCACCATCCTGTAAAAAAAAAAATATTTTCTCGTATTTGTATTAACGTACGCTACAATTTAAATATTGTAAGCGTCTCTGCACGCTATTTATAGTGTGGGACAGATCGTAGTAAAATATATTAAACTTTTTTTTATATAGTGCATGCGGAGACAGCATGGGGTCATAGGAGGTGAAGTACCCCTGACATATAATATCTAAACAAGATGCGCTGTCGATATAAAATACTGTCAAAAAAATCAAACTAACTAAATAACGACAAACCTTAAAAATCTACAACGGTCAACGCGTAGTTATTGCACCTTTAAACAAAATGTCTTTACAGTTTAAACTGCGATATTTAACTCATTTTAATTATGGCCCGACGTTTCAGATACTTTGAACCAGCCGTGGTCACGAGGGGAATGAACATGTAGTAGGGTGCAATCTGTTTCGGCGTAGTTGATATTTGGAGAAACTGGCTGGGTTCTTACAGAACCGACTCTCGGTGTCCTCTCGTGTAAGGGTCTGATGTTTTTTGGGTATGTACTGTTTTATTTTAATACCGGCTGATACCTAGTGTTGGATATGGCTGTCCTTATTGACATATGGTAGACAAGAGGGAAATCTGACAGTACGTTTTGAAAGGGATACATACGTGCGTATGGATACCAGTACGTCTTGGAAACTAGAAGTGCCATCAGTCCTCAAATAGCGACATGTTCTGTTATGTACAGAATAATTACCTTATCACAAATGTTAAGATTTGCGCCATTCGCTATTAGGAGGCGGATAATCTGAGTGTGCTGTCGCTCAACAGCTAGGTGGAGTGCTGTTTGCAAGTTAGCGTTCTGTAAATCTGGTCTCGCCCCTCCCTGGACAAGCAGCTCTGCGATCTCCGCGTGGTTATTGAGAGCTGCTAAATGTAGAGCGGTGTAACCGTCATCTTTTGCATCGTCCACTATCCACGGCCGAGGCAGCTTAGCTAGCATTATCTTCATAGCACTGCAACAGATGAATTATTCTGTTATATGTGTTATCTACCTATTAAAACTGTATTTAACAAACATTTCTGTTTGCTGGAAAAGCATTCGAAAGAATTTAAAAGCAAACTACTACTATTCTATTTCCTTTTTTCGTTTAAACTTTGATTAGTCTCGAAATAAAGACGTGGTTTTCGTGGCAAAAATGTTGTGAGCTCGTGCCGAGGTGATTGAACCTGGGACAGAAATAGAGCGAATGATCGCGCCTGCCTCTTCATGTAACACGCTGGAATAAAGTTTTTAAAGCAATAAACGCTGAATATAGTATATAGTAGACAACGATGACTAAACTCAGAATCGGGTGTATTATTCTATGCGCCTGAGTTCGAACACAACGCTTCAAGTTGTAAAAGTGGCGAGTAGATGGCAACAATAAATTAAGCGGTACACATTTTAATATGCTGCGTTACGTATCAAAGAGTAAAAACGAACGAACTAATTAAATAAGGTCAAACGTCGTGGTCATCAGGCGGGGCGCTAGTCCCACATACACCAACAGTTGGAATCCGTGCGCTGCACGTCGCGCTGTGCGCTTTACCACGCGCCCGCCCGCGCATTCTTGTTACCCTTAATTTCTATATTGCGAATTTCGTATTAACTTCCCCACTTTAAAATTCCGATAAGGTGATCTGAAGTAATATTGTGAGGATATTCTCAGTGGGTATAACGTTACACAGAGCTGGGAGGCGAGTAAGGATTCCTGGAATATTAAGTGTAAATTTTGGTTGCGTACACATAGCAGAGTATTAAATACGGTTGGAAATGTTGTGTGTTAGAAAACCACGTGAGAGACAAACGATGATTTTAAAATGACTATTTGAATTGAGAACATCAACATAAAACGGCATTAGATGACGTCATTGTATTGCTTTATTTTTTTAAAGAATTTGTAACTGTAATGTAACGAAGACGGTTTCTTAAATGAAGAATGCTGTCCAAAATTATAAACATAGGTATTTCTAGAATTTTTGCGTCAGGCGAGCTTTGTAGTCTACACGATGTGAGTACTACTGTACTATAGTATAGTATAGTTTAAAAGGATAAAAGACTTATAAGATAAAATATATTATAAGTCTTTGACTTTTACGCCGATTTGTCTCTCCATTAGGTATACTTTAGTCATCTAGACACAAAAGACAATACAATTCAGCTTGCGGTTATATCAATAATGCAAATCTACTTATCATACGATAAACTCCACAATCCAGCGAATTCTATTAAAATCAGCTTTCGAGTAAAAGTTTATTCTGTGAAAGGTGTGAATTAGTTGAAAACTAAATTTTATTAGTAGTTAGAACCTAGATTACAGTAGCTATTAGCAGTACTCGGGGCATACTGCAGATGAACTGAAACTTGCAAAGTTGCTAACTGAGTTGCAGCTAGTTTAAAACCGCACCATTTTACAAGCGAGAGCGCTAATTTGTAGTGCGGCTTAACGTAAAGCACTCGTATAGACAAGGATTCCGATAGCATTTGCTATGTTGCTGCATCAATACAGCCAGCTATACATAAAAACTTTTTCTTTGTTTCACACTTCGTACACACACGTACTTACTATGGCAATTATACAAACAAAATATAGTGAAAAGGAATGAATATGATCATAAATTATGATGTGGTAATTACATGTACATTTTAATATTATCGTTATTAATTCAGTAGTTAAAAATCTCTTAATATTGAAAAAAATATTACATGGGCCTGGGTGGGGCTGGAACCGGCATCCATTGTCCTAGTATTTTTATATTAAGTAAGTAGCTAGTAGGGTGCTTTTTAATAAATAAAGTATGTAATTACAAAAATAGTATTTAATCAAAGTGTTTCTAGGTAATAAAGTGTTATGAAGATTTTAGAGCTATTTATTTAGATAAGTCTAACGTATTGTTTAGGCACAATTCGCAGGTAGTCATGACGTATAAACGTTTTTTTTTTGTAACGCGTTATTTTCCTTTTAACGAAAGTTACGAATATCTAATATTTTTTTCTATCTGGATATTGAGCAGCAATTTCTTACTTTTGTGTGTTATTTTTTTAGTTTAAACGAACCGATACTTCCTAGCGAATTCGCTAAGGTAGGTTCGATTTTTTTTAATTTGTGTTTATTCAACAATTCTCGTTAAATAATATTATACAGTAAACAATAGACACAAGAAAAGAATAATGTCAGTTTGCGTAGTATGAGATCACCCTTACAACATGTGGTGCATTATTTGTTTTAAACTATTCAAGCTTTCTTGGGTCTAAACCGGATCATAAAAAATAGTTCGTAACCAATCTCAATTCTCAGGATGTTTGGTGTAATGTGGACTTATAATATATTCGTTTTAATGGTCTCAAAATGTCAAACGCATAGTAAAGTAAGTTATTACAAAATTATTAGTAAAAATTTAATTCTAGGTTTTTCACGTGTCACCTATAAATAATATTTCTTCTATTAAGATTCTAAGGAAATATCTTTTGTAGCTGTAACTTTGTGGTTTGATTTTTTGGTTTTTGTTTCTTGCTCTTATCATATTTGTGATAAGAAAGTATACATATTTGTATTTCGAATGCGAAACGAATTAAAACGAAAACGTGTGACAATTTAATAGTAAAACACCAAATTCGATTCTTTTACAGTGTGGGTATTTGAAGTGATCATATCCTACAAAAGAGAGCTGATTCCCGGCAGATCTCGAATAGTAAGTTATGGAAATGCGCGATTGGGGCAAGAGCGGGCAACTGTGGCCAATAACAATGTCACATTAATATTCAACAGGCGCTCTTTGGCCGTTCATACTGCGGGCAGCATCGCGATTCTTTACCCACTAGCGCATCTTAGCTGATCACGTAAAATGTCGTTAAATTCAAAGGAAAGTATTCCCTTTTGTACTGCAATACGTGAAGGAAATAATATTATCTATTTACGCTTCGAATATATCTTTTTGAATTTTTCCGTGAATTTAATCCAATAACATTGATTCACCAGACTATGTGGTACAGTATTATGTTATATATAGCAAGACAATAAAGAAAAGATTGCAAACTTCGTCAAGTAGAATAAATGTTTCCTGTTTACTTCTTTGAAGCATAACGCTATAAAAATGCTAACCAAACTATGTATGTTGCTTTCAAGCAGACAAAAGATGAGTTGGCTGTCGTCCCACTTGTTTGTCTACAAAAGTTTGCCAAATTCTTTTATTGACTGAGGGGAGGTATATTTAATGGCTAGTGGTGTGACTTCCTAAAGGATTTTTAGGAACATTGTTAATAATTTGATGAAGTGATTTGTTCACAGGTTTAAAATATAGATACATTTTAGTTTACATAAAAAAATTGTTAAATATTTTTTTCTACAATATTCTTAAGGGAGGTCTTTGAACTCAAGGCATTGCCAGATCCCGAGATGTAAACTATGTATAGCTCAACTGCCCTGCGGGAGGTGACAGTGGTAGATGGTGTTCGACTAATAATAGCCTCCCCTCCAGCGAGCGATCCTTGGAACGCTGACGGGAGCGCGCACATGTGGCGCCCGTCGCCGGCGTCGATTTTGTGTGCACGTTTATTTTCGATACGGTCGTCACGCGGTGTACAGTCCTCCTTACATAACAACCTATGGTGAACTCATCCGTAGGCTCCGCGGCGCACCCTGCACGCAGTAAGCTGCAGGTCGGTGCACGTTGGAGTAACCGATCCGATGGGCGTCCGCCGCCCGGGCTATTTCGGGAAAATACAAATTTGGAATGGATGGTACTCGTGAGTCGTAAGCGAACTCCACTGGTTGACTCCATTTTTAGAGCTGGTCTGCGCTTGCGCATAGCGTGCGCTGCCAGTGCTCGTCGGGCTGTCCTCGCGCTGTGTCGCTCGCCAGCATCGCGTTCAATATTTCGGCAACCTTCATGAGTGTTCAATATAGCTTTAGACATGGCGTCATATTTTAAGAGGATAAAATTGTATAAGAATGTGATATAGTGCATCAAGAAAGAAGAAAGAGTAATCTAGCCTTGCGCGAGTTCCGTGCTTCCTTACTTCCCATAGTGCTTATTAATCATATGGAATGTAAAGAAGTATGGAGCTGCGCTGGCGGATCGACGGGGGTGATGAAATCGCCGGATATTTAAAAGTCGTGTTTAATATGGATTGATATTATACCGTGTTGGTTATGGTGTGGTTATTTGTCCGACTCTTGAGGTACGGAGTTTCTTTTCTGATTAATAGAATCTAGAAAATTCCTCGCGCATACATTTTTTTAATGGTTATTTTAAGAAATCTTACGTAACTAAATCTATAGTTATTAATTAATGTAACATAACACGACGAAGCAATTACGTAGTCGAAAATTTATCTACAGACCGCGAATTCATAAATAAACTCGAGATGTCCACGGGTTCCGAACTATCCTCGATGCCAGATTTTATATTTAGTCGTGAAACAAAATAAATGTCTCTTAATGTGAAACTAGCTTGATTATAAGAAAAAGTCTGTCGCTTTCAAAGTCGTTTTGTTGTTCGAATTGCAGTAAAATATTTTATACAGATCGAAATACATTGTAAATATGTAGGTGTTTCTCATACAATATGTATAGTTTTAGTCGAAACATAGGCGCGATTGTAAAAAACGTGATAACAAAAAAGCTTTGGGACCACGGCTGCGCCACATCTGGAGGAACACTGCATCTCATTATGCGCATCGGTCGCGGGCGGCTGAATGGCGCTGCCGTGTACTGGCTGCCGACGACCGAGCACCGCAGACAATGTCTTTGCACATTAAACCCCGACCCCGCCTTACTTTCGACGCTATTGTTTCCCTACAAATGAACCATAACATTTTATTGCCCTATATTGTCTTACGCCGAATGTATTATGTAATTGTTAATAATAAACATTGTTCTATAATATTCCCATGCATGCTTCATTCACATTAATTTCATAACGATGTGTTTTATTTAAATAAAACAGTTTTAACGATTTAAATCGCGAAATGTATTCGTTACGTATTCACAATTAATTTTAATTACGGCCCGAAGTTACATATGTTTTAGAGCAGCCGTTGTTAACCTGTGAGAAGTGTTATATTTAAAAGTTTATTCCATTTAATCCATTTAATCTATAAAAATAAGACAATAAATGGTAAATAAAAATAGTTAAATTACTGTAATGATTGTGTGAGAATATTTCAAAATATTAAATCAGTCGAACAAAAATTTTCTTTTAGTTTTAATTCCTAAAACCTAAAATTTGACTTAAGGTAACTGGAATTACTTTATTTTAGCAGAATTATTAGATTAGGAATTATATTTTATCAATTTCTTAATAATAACGTAACCACAGACTAGAATTTTCGCCTATTAGACTTGAATAGTAGACAAAACGAGAGCTATTCAAGTCGCCGTACAACTTTTACTGGCTTGCAATCATCATAATATACCCTTTAATAGAACACGATTTAAACTATGGCGTAAAAGTGTTTTCTATGAGAAAGGGATCCTGACCTACCAGTTAGTTCGGATCATTCAACTCGTAAAAATCTCTATGAAAAACAATTTATTCATGCAGATCCAACGAGACTTGCCAACAAAAGAAACGTAAAACTAGACAGGGGCTAGTGAATGCTAGTCAAAGACCACTTTAATAGAGTTACTTACGTGCTATTCGGTTTAGTATTATTTCTTAACAATGAATGGGTGAATGGACTGCTGCATGCTGATCGGAAAGGGGTAAAATGGAATACTCCTGCTAATGTTCCACGTTGTTTGATGTGTGTGTAATGTTGATGTGCAATAAAGATATTGAAAATGTATGCTTGTATTTATTTAAATCGGTCACGTATATAAAGTTATTACATCAAATATAGACATATTATATAAGTTGAGAGTAATCTATGGATTAAGTTATGCCGGTGTTCATGGTATTCATACCTATATAGTATGACGCGAAAATAGCCATCAGACGATGTATTGGCAACATTCCAGAGGCCCCTGAAACTTTCTGACGAATTACTGTTTAGTCATGGAGATATTACCAACTTACTTCTTTTCTTGAATAGAATTTATGAGATGAGGATTGCATAACGAACACATGGAAAAGTTTAATGTAATAAATAAATATCTCTTATTTAAGAGACATAAAAGTTTGTCATAATTTAGTGAATATGGTAAAATGTAAAAAAGGAATATATTTAGACACAATTAAATTATTATAATATGAATTGTCTCCCATAGTTAATACAAGAATAATGTCTACGGCAGTAAATGATGGTATGATAAATTTTGAATATTGTATCTATGTAACTATGAGTAGCTTTTAAGGTGTTTAAACTTGAGGATAGAAGCAAATTATTAATAAAATATATCTTACATATGACAAAACCCTTGCGCAGCTGACTCCTAGACATAAGAGATTGATATGAAGGTGAAGCACGAAATAAGGCGACACGACTTTTTGATGAAGGATAACGTTCGAAGGGATTTGGATGGTTCGAGGCATTTGGGTCAAGCAGAATTGGTAACTTTATCAACTTTTTTCCGATGAACATTTGATTTGTTCCGTTGCTTGTTATTAGTCGAAAAAGTTTTTATTATATATATACCTACATTTGTAAGCAACTTTGGTAAGCTCTATTTTGTTAGCTTGAGTGGGCACTGAGTTGATAGGTTTTGGTTTGTATTAAGATCTTTTTGAATCCAATTTAATGAATAGTTTAGATTAGTTGATAACAATGAAATAGAATAGTGTTTCGCAAGATTTAAATAGATTACGTTATTAAAACTAATTTTGAACGGTTTTTAGTACATGAGGGTACGTACCTTTATCGAAGAAACTTTAAAGCGACATTTGAAATAACGTCAATACTAAAAACTACAACGACAAAATGAACACTACATGCTACCAATAGCGGCCGTTAGATGGCGTTATTGAAATAAATAACAATCCGATTTTTCTATTAAATTGTATTGATATTACAGCAATTGTGTAATTGTAAGTTTGATGTAAATGACATAAAATTACTACTTGAATGTGAAACCATAACTGACATTTAAAAAATCCCAACTTTAGTTCTTTGTAACTGTTTGGCTTTAAAAAGAACATTAGATATTACATTCAAATCTATACATTTTAAAGAGGAAAGAATTGTATTTTTGTTTTTTGTATGTAATGGATAAACTCAAAAAGTACTGGACCGATTTGGATAATTCTTTTTTCATTAGAAAGCTACACGCAAGCTTATCACTGAGTAACATAGGCTATATTTAGTATTGATTACTATAGGCATCTATAGAAAAACTTACTAAAACCAACGGAAGGCGCAAAAAAATTTGCCGTAAAATGTAGCTGCGAAAAGTATTAATGATAGGACAAAAAAATGTACGACAATATTATAGAACATCGATATCATCACGAGAGCATATGTCTAACTGTTGTAGTTACGTCGCTATAACTACTTTTTTACATTTAACAAATTAATAGAAAATGCTGATCAAAATCAGACCGTGTTATCCATACCATTTATACATTTTTATCCAAATAAATAATTTAATATTCAAGACTGTCTCAATACCTGATGATTACTTTTTTAATTATTGAAATCCGACATTCCATTCAAAAGATATCATGAAGTTAAAATTAAAATGCAAGCCGGCGGCCGTCACGCCGCGCATCGAGTAACTAACTCGACGAAAGGGGGGTCCTTACGCAGTGGACGCGACCGACATTGAATATTTCTAAAAATGATGTGTATGCGTCCCATTCGCGAGCCAGAGAATCTAGCGTCGAACGTGCAGTTCGTCTTGCAGGAACGAAATGCAAGATCGTCGCAGCTATACGAACGACAGTCAAGCGCCGAGCGCTCGCAGCGACTTGGAAGGAAACAGCTAGAAATTCGCGAACGCGTGCACGGGACTCTAACACTGAATGCTCGCAGCGGATTCTCACATAGTGAGATAGACAACGGTCGTTAACAGCTAGGACGCGCAATACTTTTTTTTCTAATTTAGTGATTCATGGTCGTTTTAATTAGCATGCTTATAATTTAAATATCTGTACCTATTTATGTCTACCCGTGCGAAGCCGGGACGGGCCGCTAGTAATTATATATAATCAGAATCCTCTGTGCGTAGGAAAATATACCCTGTTTCAATGCATAACCCTAAGAAAAAAGATCGATCAAAATAGTGATCAATTGCACGCGTGATATTATGTAAGTATGTATCATAATTTTGCAAAGTTATTTTAACGGGGCCATATAAATAGATATCTCTTGCGTGTATAGCGTATATATGGCGCAAGAAAGTATATTTCTGTACGCTAATTCTTATTTATATGTAAACGAATAAAGACGTAATATATAGTCTATTGGATTCGAAAGAGTGTTCATTAATATGTGTCGTAAATATTAAATACTATAATAATTTACTAATATTAGGTAAACACGTTTTAATCTAAAATATTCAAAGTTTCATATGTAAAGCGGAATCCGCAATAATTTCCTTGATAATTAATCTCATGTCGCTTAAACAAGATACATAGGCACTCGTGTTCAGTACGTGTTACCTAACTAACCATAAATTATTGTGTCAAGTCACGGCAACTCTGCGATACAGTTAAATATTCACACATACACATCTATAGGGCTAGAGCTGTCATGTCAACTCGTTTTTCGTTGATCACAACTAATCGAAAAACCAAACTGGAAAATGCTAAGTGTCTTTTCATCTAAGGAAGGTGGTTCGTGACCCGGACGGAATTTTGATATTCCTATTGCTAAAATGTTTCAGAAAAAGAATTTATTAAAAAAATTAAACCTGGTGGGGATCGCACCCGCGGCCCGTTGATTATTATCTATACATTTCTACCATTACGCCAATGCTTCAGTCTTTTGTGCTGTTATGCCGGGTATCTGTAAGAAACAGTACATGCAGCTTGTCTAC